TGAGCTTTTGATTTTGCAATGAGTCTCTCTGTTTTGAATGTTTTATGATGGGGCGAACTGTATCTTCATAAAAGAAAACACTACCTGACAAGTAAAATATAAGAAAGTTGCCATAACAATTAAAGTGTGGGTAAAAATGCCAAAATCGTGTGAGGCAATCACTCATTGCACATGGGGATGAGGAAAGATTCAATTGAGAATCGGTTCGCGACCGTACGATGTTGCTTATCAAGTACGACCCCCAGTTGAGTGAAGTGCCAGAGGAGGTGCAATGACCCTCCACACGGACCGAGGATAAGGAGTTAAAAGAAGCCCTTATGCGAGTGCTAAGAAGCAGAAATTGCTCTTGCTCGGTCACCGGTAGTAAGAAACAAATCCCACTTGTACTAAATACGACTTCTCGGCAAGCAAAAGCAGAAAGAGAGAAAGCCTCTCCTTGTCATAAAAGGTAGTGATGTGCTTAAAGTAAAATCTTGTTTGCGAAAGGCTTCCCCTATTAGTTTTTTAGACTCATGCATAATTAAGTGCTTATGATTGGTGTGAGTAAGCCAGATTGTCCTCACGAGATATGCACCTCACTGATGTGGTTAGATTCTCCTAATAACTGTTGCACCATAAGTTGTTAACCACCCACTACCGACGATCGAAATTGAGTGTTGCTATTTGAAGTTTTGGTGGATTTGAGTCAGTCAATGGTAATGGTTGCAAAGAACTTGAGTGTGGGGTGAAAGGTATGACCATTAGAGCACAACTTGTTCGTTGAGAAAGAAACTACTGATTACAACAAGAGTACAAGGAAAATTTTGTTTGGTTTGAGTGTTTGATTAGTGAGTCTGTGGTGTGTCATTGTTATGGTTGGTTATGTGTTTGTGTCATTTGAGTCGTTGCTTAGGGACAAGCAAAAATTGAGTGTGGGGTTGTGATATTCGGCTTTAATATATCGGATTCTTGGACTTTATGTGATTATTCATGGTATGTTTTAGCCAATTGGTGCTATTTTAGGGCTCCCTAACCCGAGAATGGTTGAAAAAAACCATTACTGCCTAGTGCCATGAGTTTGATATATTGCAGGTGGAGAAAGCACGAAAGAGGAGCGAGTGCACAAACCATTCTCGAAGCTGGGCTCAAGGCCCAGCTGGATGGGGCAATTAAATTGGGCCGGATTTCTTTTGGGCGGACACAGCAGCGGACGGAATCAAGAGGGCGGCGGGTTTTATTTGAAGGGAGGCCATGTGGGCCGGCTTGGCTGGGCCAATGAAGGCAGAGGGCTGGCGGATTTCTTTGGCGAGGAAGGAAAAGGAAAAATTATTCTCTGGTGGGCGGAATTCTCTGGGCAAATAAATGGGCGGAACTTAATTTGCTGGGGGACTTTTGTTTTTTGGTTGTTTTTGGTGAGGGGGCGAATTTCTTGTGGAGAAAGAAAGGAAGCGGCGCAGCAGGGCAGCAGGCAATCAGTCGATTTCCATCGGCGATTGAGTTTTTTCAAGGCTAGAGCTGAGTTCAACGAGAGCGATTAGTTGGTTTGATTTTCTAAACTGAACTAGTTGTGTATTGTTGATTTAGAACATGATGAACAAAACCCTATCGATTTATCTTAATTTCGTCATGAACTAAACCCCAATTTCTGGGGGAAACACCATAGGATGTAGCTATTTCTTGATTTGATGGATTGATTCATGATTCTTTTCTTCCAATCTCTATTGCATGGAATTGCTTAATGCTTTGTGTTGACTGGCCACCAATACAATGAATCGTAGTTGATTAGGTTATTAGCGACAGTGAAACCCTATTAACTGAACCTATTTCATGTGACATAGTAACTTATCGAAGCGACAGTGGATTAAATAAGGTGCTAGGGTCTTCAATAGGATATCGATCTTCAGGCTGAATAATTAGGTCATTGAGCTACGACAGTAGGATTTGATTTAATTGTTTAGTACGTAGTAATTCCCGACAGGGATAGCTAGCACATTCGTGATATCCTGGCTGTAGAGGTATGGATTAAATTGATTGGAATAGGTGAATTAATCTGGATAGGATAGGTAGTGAATCCCGGTGTTTCTCCCAGAGCTTCTCCCATTGAATTTCTCCCGACAAGTTTACTTTGCTTAATTAGTTTAATTATTTTGCTTTTAGAAATTAGTTTATATCTCAAACCATTTTCACTTATAGTTTGCTCATAAATTTGATAGAATATAAGGTTGTACCAGTCCCTGAGAGACGATACCCGGACTTTCCGGTTTACTACGAGATAGGAATTGAAGCTATACGCTTTTGCCCTATCACTTACCCTCCCTTAAACAGCCACAATCAAGTCCAAATGTCTTGCACATCTTACAAACTGGAGGCAAATGACTATATGTTACCCCTACCCTGATCGAGAAATCGTCAGTAGGCCAAATCAGTATATGATCAGGGAACTCACCATCTGCGCGTAGTTCGACCAGAATTTTTGCAAACCCCAATCGTCCTCTCACCCTAGTCGTTTGATCCACACCCAATGGAATACCTAGCCAACTCGCAGTCTTACTCAGACCACGATAGTTCACATACTCCAGGGGAAGATTCGAGAACTTAACCCAGATTGGCAGCGCTTTGCGTCCCAGATCCTCAACGTCAATTCCAGGTTTCCACGGGCGAAGGTACAGCAGATTGTCCATGTAGAACCATGGGCCGCTCTCCAGAATCCAGTCACAAGTAGCCTGCGACGGGAGCTGGATAAGCAACAGTTTCTCTCCAAGAAGAGACACACGTACTGGTCCATCCCTTCCCCACATCCGATTCGCCCAACGACGAAGCTCCGAAAGCACAGGAAAAGGATAATTGCTATAAAATTTCACGTTTGTCACTAAGATTAATTTATTCCATCTGTAGTCACTCAAATTAGTTAAACCGTCCATGTTTGATCACTGGCCGTTAGTCTCCGTTAACTTTTGCTGAGGTGGCAGTCAACTCTCATAGTTGACCGTTAAATATATGATGTGGCAATTAAAAAATAAATAAAAATTTAATTTAATTTATTAAAAATTCCACATCATTATCATAAAAAAATAAAAAATAAATAAAACATAAAATTATAATTATCAAAATGGAAATGGAAATTTTCTTCCCCAATCCAACCGTCGTCTACCTTGATATGCCTTCGCCGACTATCACCGCTTTCTTTTCGACCTACTCTGTACCGCCATCTACCTAAGCTGATGTGGGAGCTACTAGCTAGAGAGCAAATCGTCAATCGAGCTCGAGGAACGAAAGAAGGAAGAAAGAAATAGAAAAAGGAAAAGCGATGGGAGGCAACGGTAGAAGGATAGGCGTGGCGGTGGATTTCTCGCCATGAAGCATCAAGGCCTTGAGATGGGCGATCGACAACCTCGCCTGCGACGGCGACCACCTCATCCTCGTCCACACCCGCCCCACCGAATACCAAGAATCCGGCGAGATGCAGTTCTTTGAAACCACCGACTCCCGTAAATTAATTTACATCTTCCAAAATTTAATTTCCTTGCCTTTTTTTCTCTTTGATCTCATCTCATTTTCGTCTCTCCCTCGGGCAGCTTTGATTCTGCTGGGAGGTCTCCGATCCGGCGACGATGAGCAAGTGCGGAGTCAAGCCCGATCCGGAGACGCTCGACGTCCTCAACACCGCTGCCAAACAGTAGAAGGTGAGAAAATTTTCCCCTGTTTCTTTACCAACGAACTCTGATTCGGATCCGGATAGGCCCGGTAGCACGATGATTCAGGGTTTTTAATATTATTTTTTATGTTGTAGCAGATAATTGTGGTGATGAAGATTTACTAGGGAGATCCGAGGGAGAAGATTTGTGAAGCCATCGATCACATTTCTCTCACTTCTCTTGTTATTGGCAATAGAGGCTTCGACATGCTCAAGAGGAGGTAAGAATTGAAAATTAAAAATCTCTTCCCAGTTACCCCTTCCGTTTTTACATGTTCCCCTGCTGATTTTCATTTTTACTTTTTACCGTGTTGATTTTCTTGTGCAGGGTGATCGGAGTGAAATAAATGACAAAAATTGTTAATTTATATTTTATTAGCACATATATTGCATTTAACGTGGAGAAATATTAGGAGATGTGATAATTACTAATTCATTGTTTTTAGGGTTGAAGAGATAATTTTTGACTAATTTTGGAGGACGATAATTAAATTAGTAAAGTCCGTGTGTATTATTTTAGATTGCTTACTTAACTACGTAAACTTTTAATATGATATTATGTACACTACCGACTTAGATGACAGTAGACGATTTTTACGATCCAACTGGCGATACACGAAAGAACAATATTTATGGCTAACTATGATGTTAGACAATTCTACTCTTATTTGTATGATATCTTTGTGTATCATTATATAATGGTGACAAATGTTTTTCTCACCGGATCATGGTCAAAACATCTATTTTTGTATTTTAAAAATGAACAAAATTAACAAGGAATAATGTATTTGATCCAATTACGTGGAACGTAAATGTGTGTTAAGTTTCAAGTATAACGACATCAGAGTGTTACATTTTTTAAAGAATGGACGTTATCTTGTACTACAAAAGTAATCAAATTTGTATGAAAAATAAAAGAGAGTTAAATGAACAATTTATGTTCCGTTAACAAATAACAAAATTGATCATGGTTATGTAGAAATTGGTTATTCATAATATTTATTTTCGCATTTTTTGCATATACTTACTATTACATAATCAATAAAACAACATATCTATCACACTTCCCTATATACTTTTTTCCTTTCACTATCCCTTTCACTTTCCCCCATAAAACAACATTTTCTCTCCAATTCCCTTCCCCTCCAATTTTCCTTCCCATCCAAGTTTCCCCTCCCCTCCCCTCCTTTTCCTCTCCTACTTCGGAAACAGAGGATAAGAGTTGACTGTCACCTCAGCAAAAGTTAACGGAGACTAACGGCCAGTGACTAAACATGGACGGTTTAACTAATTTGAGTGACTATGGATGGAATAAATTAATCTTAGTCGCAAACGTGAACTTTTATAGCAATTCAGGTGACCAAACTTGCAATTTACCCAAAATAATTCACAGGGCATGGGCCACATTGATTTTGTAATCTTGGGAATCTCTTCCCAACTTCAAATAATGAATTTCCTACCACAATCACGTTGGTCTGATATGTTGCGCCAGACGGATTGGAATCAATCCAAAAAAATAAAGTGGATCCCAATTTTGCTAACATGGCCTGCTCAGATCTCGTCAGACTTTTCGTGGTTGTTTGATGAACACAATGACATATTATTTTCACATTATTAATGTGCTTATTCAACGACGACATTTTGTATGTGCGTTATCTAACGACCCCAAACACCTGTGAGTAGGAGGCCGGTCGGTTATCGGTCAACCGAACCATCTCCCAACCCTACTGACCACCGACCGAAAGGCGACTTAAGTCTTCGGTTATCTCGATTTTCGGTTAACCGAACAGCCCCTAAGACCAAAACTATATCACCCAGCCTCCGAACACCGACCGAGTTTCGATTATCTCGATTATCGGTTAGTGGATAACCGGTCAGTTTCAATTATAACCGGACGGTTTCGGTTGTAACCGGCCGGTTAACCGATAACCGATTGTCCAACCCTACCTGTGAGCACCATCATACACTACTAAATGTTGAATCAGAAGGTTTGGCATGAGTTACCAAAAGGTAACATGTTAGTTGTTACACATAGCAGATTTCATCAAAAGGAACAAAAGATGTTGAGGTATTAAACAGAACCAGACAGTGGCATGAGTTGCCAAAATGTGAACATGATGTAACCCTGTCCCTCTACTAGCGCAACACAAACAGAAAACATGACAAAGCGGTCAACTACTACGTCGTTTAACACTGAGAATGCACTAGACTAGAGAATACTGTAAGAAAGTAATTGACCACGGCCCTTTAAGGAACTGGTATTTGGTAATGCAATTCATATCGCAGTAAATAATTTCTCTGAATTACCTAGACAAAAACATAGATATGTTACCACATGACCTGAAAGTAGAAACAAACAGCAAACTATTGCATACTGCGATGAGAAACTATGGCAAGAAATAAGAAGGTTACCAATACCAAATACGCTATGAAAACTCAATACGTGGTTTGACACCAGAAGACCCTTTAAGAAAGTAACTGGCCAGTGCGTAAGGTAATATACTGTCAGCCTTCACGATCAAGGACTTCAATCTCGTGAAGGGAGAGGGTTGTTGTTCCAGAGAGTCGGACATATCATCCAGTATCTACAGAAAACAAAAATCCAACACGAAAATGTATAAGGGAATGTTTCCTGGAAGGAACACTTCATTAGGACGATACAAAATAAAACAGTACCTGGATGGTTTCAGAATCCAACATGAGAGTATCTAACATTACTTGAAGCTTTGAACAGAGAGATCAAACTTTGTCCCGGGGATTCCACGTAACGCTCCATGTAACCGCCACCTTCCTTGACCAGGATCACAGCATGATCAAGGGATGGGAAACTTAACTCGGAGAAGTTAAGATTGCAAAAGAACTGCTCAAATCGGAAGGATTTGAGTCTTGGAGCAACTATTTCCATCTCATAAGAATGAACATACCCCCAATTCCAAGCTAAGCAATTGTGGTCCAGATATCCTGAGACGCCTTTCAGACCCGTCAAAGTCATGGTCCAAATGGGAGCAATGAGTCAGGACCAAATCACTCAGACATGGACAAGCCAGAGAAAAGGGTCAGAGCCCCCGTCCTGATCAGGAGCCAATGGGCAATTCTTCAGATACAGAGTCGTCAGCAATCGAAAAATCTGAAGATAGAAATCCACGGTCGATTGCAACACAACACAGCTCCAGACTCTCGAGGTTCCAGTCCAAGATTGCGCCATACAACTCGGGAGAATCCGTAACATTTTCCTCTGTAGGAATGCAAATAACCCATAGTGATATCTAAATGTTGAGCATTGTGACACAAACGCGTATTTGATCATCCGGACATATGGAGGACTAATGTATCGTTCCCTGTCCCTAGCCACGGGACGTTCAACAGCAAAGTCAATGCAGGTCATCTTGCGGACATTAAAGGGATGGCGGAGAGACAAAACTTTCTCCACATACCTCTTGGAAGCTCGAATGCTGCTCAAAGGAATCGCTACGAAAATGGAGTGCTGGGACGTGCTTCCACGCGAACCTCCACACTCGGGACAACACAGAGGTCTGAACGGCGGCTTTGGTGTCGAGAAATGAAAGGATGTGATGAATAATGGGTTCCGGAAGATGGCTTAACCTATCAGTATCAGCAGTACCATCTTGACGGCGCGTTTTTACAGTTCCCCCTGAATCGCAATTGCTGCGGCTGTTGTTGTTGTTGTTCATGTTCATGGCTCGCTAATGGAAGCTACTACAGATTGATTCAATTCGACCTAAAACCAGAAATTGAAAGGGTATTGGGAACGAACAATTGAACAAAGGAAGGAATCAACAAACAGCGACTTACCTGTTCTTGATGATCATTACAGGAGACGAGACTGCCTCGTAGAGCTGCAACACGATAGTCGGAAATCGCTGGGGAAAACTGAAGCGGACAGCAAAACGATGGTCGGAAGAAAGCTCCGGTTCACAGGTTTAGGGTTTTGATTTTGCTTCAATGGGGGAAAGGGAATGAATTTTATTTTAATTTGAAACTTCGAAGTACGAAGATGAGTATTTATGTCCCATCGACACTGAAACGCGCGCCAGTCCTTCGTTTGGGCTCGATTGTCAGAATCCATCCCTGAAATTTGTAGGCCCAATAGTGGGCTGGTGGCCATTGGAGTAGGCCCATGAGGCTAATTAATGACCCATTACAACAGAATTTCTTTTACTGGTCTCCTACGTGAAGGGGTGAGCAAGCATGGTAGAAAAAGTAATTTATATTTGAGTTCACTAACAAAATAATAATTTGTGTTTGAGGTTATTAACAAAAAAGTCTTTGATTGTTATTTAATTAGGGACCTACGTTTGCACTAATTACTGAAAGAAAATTAATGTTTTCTTGCCTTATAAATAAACACATTCTAGTGGGTTACCCTCAACACTGACGGCTCCGTCATTCATGAGTCAGGTCGGGCCCCCAGCAGGCGGCCTGATTCGAGATCACCGAGGATGATGCCTTGCAGCATTTGCTATGAACTTGGGTGCTTGCTCCATCACCCGAGCGGAGTTGAGGGGCGCTATGGAAGGGCTTCAGCTGGCTTGGAACTTGAGATTCAGGCGGGTCCAACTGGAACTCGACTGCAATGTGCAGTCCTCCTTCTGCGTAGTCGAGATTGTCCGGAACACCCTCATGCAACCATTATCCATCGCTTTCAGGAGATGTTGCATGGAGACTGGGATGTCACTATTCACCACGTCTATAGGGAAGGCAACAAATGAGCTGATTTCCTTGCAAATTATGGCCATTCCTTACCTGTTGGCCTTCATACTGTATCTAGTTCGATGCCGGATTTTCATCAGATTCTCTTGTACGACTGTTAAGGTCTCTCTGAGACTCGTTTGGTTGTGAATGAAAGCTAGATGCGCTGCGTCCATTTATAAAAAAAAAATACATTCTAGTTTTACATATATGAAGTTGAACTACAAGATATAATATGTCCACCATCTATCTGAACCTGATTGACAACATAATGTTTATATTTAAACCTTTCCTAACAACTTCAATTATTGAGATCGAATTTCTCTTTTACCTATTATCACTTGCAAGTTGCATAGTTGCATTGCATTATACACACGTTTTAATTTTTATGTTCTTGGAAAAAAACTAGGACCCATAGCCATATTATCTCCTCCAACAAATCTCCATTTGTAGGATCGATGCTCCCACTTGTGTTGTGTCTATGAGATTGGATAGGGATTCCCAAGAATGTCAAAGAGCATAAAGTTTCCATATCCATGCATCTTTTTTAGCACTCCTATATGGCTACTATAATGATCTTCACTAGCCATCAGATCTCCCATAGATAAGATTTAGATGCGGTGACTGACCTATTTTTCGAAGCCACAACTTTTACGTACTAATAATTAGAGAGATTTCAATTTATAAAAAAAAAAAAAAAAAAAAGTACAGCTAGTAGTTCAGTCAATAGCATCGAGCAATCGTGAAAATATGTTCTCATTTAGGCACCCTGAAACACACGTTCTCATAGACATCATGTGAACACCGCAACCGGATTGATGGACATCGTGTGAACACCGCAACTGGATTGATGGGCATCCCAAGATTGATAAATGTGGGTTGAATAAAGTAATGTCAATATGTGAATAATCAATTTTGGAGGTAAATAATAGAGTGAAGATGCTTCTTTTTCATTTTAATCGACGAAACTGACAAATCTCACACACTTGTGAATGAGTAAAAAATGTCAGGATTGAAAATTCCACTGAATTTGTAAGGTATTCTATCAAACTAGATTTGGTATTCAAGATTAATAATACTATACTTCATTTGGCAAGCACCTCGGATTTTGATATGGTGCTCACAACCCAATATGTGAGAACGTGCTCACGATGACGTGTGGTTGTCAGATCACAAGTTCGGTACTCCACGATCGCTGAATGTGGTGGCAACTTTACAAATAAAACATCATTCTTGTCCATCTAAAGACGGCAGAGCACCAAACACGCAATCCGACAACTGAACACCTTCTGAACTCGTTCTCATAGACATCGTGCGAACACCACAACCGGATTGATGGGCATCCCAAGATTGATTGATATTTGGCACTTAAAAATGAACTGGCACCCTGTTTTAAGCCATAGGTTGGAAAGAATTGGGATCTGGTTTTAGGCAACTAGATGCCAAGTCATGTTAAGATATGGAGTGGGGGTGGACCGATGGATGCCTCCAAATTCCGGATTGGCACCAAAAGTTTGTCCGACAGGCAGCATTCCAATTTTATCTCCGTACTTCCTAGGGCAAAAGACACAAGAGGACAAATTCCTTGCTATAAAAATGAGGTGAGTTTGCAAGCCAATCTTCTCCAAAGACCAATGCCAACTCCTCTCTCCCACTTTAAAGGAAGCAAGAAGATGGCATAGGCCAGTCACTCACTACAATCAACCCACACCATTTTCTCTCCTTTGTTCTTGTTGCTCTCAATATGTGTTTCTCTGGATTCATGGTTTCAAGGCAGTTTGGTTGCTCACTCTCCTTCAAGGGCTTCCGCACGGACTCGCCACCCGCCGCCGAGAGATAACTCGATCTGCGGTGGTGGTGAGTTCGATCGGAGGCTCGATGCTGGAGAGTAAGAAAGCTCTGTCTTGATACAGCTGGTTAGACAGTTTTCTAAGAACGATATTAATGCATCCATCATCCTGCTTGAGGTATGTATGTTGTTGATCTATGAACAATCATATTATATGTCAAATGTCATTAGTTGTTACGTCTTTCCTCCTTGATACTCTCGGCATTTGCTTGAACGTCCCTATAAATATCAAAACTACAATATTGTTGAGCTTATCATAAATCCCGAACAATTGTATCATCTGTGCAACGTTTGGTGATGAGTCTAGCTAGCTACGACGGCCTCCTTTATCCACAACTATATATAACGTAACGGTTGGATGTGTCCGATCAAACAGAAAACATTTGTTACGTTCTAGGTCCGACGAAGTCCTTCGTGTTGATCAACATCCATTTATGAGAAAACATATGCCCGATTAATTAACTTCTTGCTCTTGGAAGAAATGTAGATGACCATGGAGGATTTTGTCGTTTTGGTAAGAGGTTTGTCTTTCTTTCCCCTTTTTTCTCTTGTTATAGTTATTTCAGGCAAGGAGCAGAAGGCTATGGAAAGAATCATTGTTTGATGTGCTCAAGAAAGAATCATTGTTTGCCAACCTTGTATATATCGACTATTCCATTGTGGAAATGGTTGCCTGGATCATTACCAACATAAAATTCTTTATTTAGTGAGATAATAATCGATAAATATATTGTACTTTTGTTCGGTATAAATATAATACACCACCATTTCTTCTGACTGCTTTGACTGCAGTTAAATGGTTTGCAAAGTGTAGCATATACGTATAGGTGTATATGTCAGTCTGTTAGTTTAGCTTAATTACTCCTTCTTTCGGTGATTGTAATGCATTTTTCTCATCATTTGATGTCTCAAAATAATTATAATCTTCAAATGTATTATGATAAGAGAAATTTTATAATGCCATATAGTATTGGTGTGATAGGTTTTGCTTTTATGGTACAATTTAAAATTGTACATTTACGTTATGGTACAACTTCAAATTGTACTTATACTTTTTGTACAAATTCTTTTATGTACAACTTGAACGTGTACCATTGTGTGATGGTACAACTTCAAGTTGTAAAGTTGTACCATAACATAATGATACAAATTGTTTTATGGCACAATCTAAACTTATACATTTAATGTTATGGTACAACTTTAAGTTGTACATTAAAGCACCAATGCTATATAGCATAGTAGAAGTGCTCTTACGATAAACAAGAAAGTGTATGAATTTGTGCAAAAAATATTAATAATTTACCTGTATATTAGATTTAAAAAAATCTTGGCTTGGAGATAGACCTCCATATATATTCTTCTAATGGCAATAATGTGGACAAATTTTTAAGTTAAGAATGTAGGAATTAGTTATGTTTTAGTCTGTCATTATATTAATTAAATTGTAGGTTTAAAATCCAAGATGTCGCGATAAAACATCTACACATAATATAATACGCCGAAGGGAAAAACGGGAGCCCCATTTCAAATTTCCTGCAACGAGAGTGAAAGTAGGAAGGACATTTTGGTCTTCACAATACATTTTTTTTATTCATTAAAAAGACACGTACTGGGATTTGAACCATGACCATTTTAAAGAAAAGCAAGGATAATAACCAATCACACTAAGCACATTTGTTGTATCTTTTTAAATTAAAAACATATAATAGCAAGGAGGAAAAAACCCTTCCCCCATTTCAAATTCTCTGCTCCATAAGCGTTTGTAGGAAGGGTAGAATAGGGAGTGTCAATTATTTTTCTCTTTCCTCTGTGGAACGGGCCAACTTACTGTACACATGTGAATTTAAACGGGTCCAGGAGTGTCAATTTTTTTTCTTTAAGCCCTTTTATTTCTCCGTGGTGACAAAATATATATGAAAAGGTAAAAATAATACTCCTTTTTATTGTTAAAAATAAAATATTTAACAATAAACTAATGCATGGTATCTAATGGGCTAACCGCCAACCATAAAATAAAAGAGTTGAATGTGCCTGACCTACATGGGATTTGGCCATCAAGTAAAATAAATGAACATCATTGGTTTGTCATTCTAAAATAAGCTAATTTCTCTGACATAATATATATTATGCTATTATTTTATATCTTAGTGGCTAAAATATAATGTATTTTAAAGTTATTCAATGGTTCAACCTCGACCAACACAATTAGTCCAATTTTTATCATTTCAAATATATATTTTATAATTATTTGATATCATAATGATCAAATTATAGTGTATTTTATAGGGAATCGTTTGGTATTTGTTAGTAAAAAAATTAAACATAAAGATCTATTTGGTTATTTTAAACATTATAACGATCCTAAACATTTTCAGTTCCTTTTGAATTTCTATGGTTTTATTCCCGAATAAGTGATGTGCAAATGGCGAATTGTAGTCGTCTCTTTTCTTTCACTATTTTTTATTTTCAAATAGAAAGTTTAAAAGTAAAGAATAATTAGAATTTGGCATGGGTCGTCAAACAGGCTGAATTTCAAGTTTTGGCCCGTTTGTTTTATGCATTGCAAATTTATTAGCATTTTGATGGAAATGGCTTGGAAAAAAGACATATAAGTTGTACCTTTGCAGAAATGTCCTCAAATGTTTTAATGCTTTGTGAATCAGGTTCCGTGACTTTTGTGATGGTGTATGTGCTTGACAATTGCTCGATGTTGTAACTGCTTAATTTGAGAGTAAATCTTTTGATTTTCCCTATGAGTTGTGATACCAGTTCTGGTGGTTGCAGCATGTTGTCGTTGTTGGCCCGTAAAAGTTGTTCCGCCGTGGTGCTAAATACCTTTCTTTCTTTTTTAACAAATTGTGTAGTAGTGCTATGAAACAGACCACCCATGAACGCTACGCTTATTATGGTCTGTTCTTACTTGCGGTAGTGAGAAATTGTGAATTGAGAATCATATTCGCCTACCGCACTGTGTCTGGCTGGTGGCTACTTACTCTCTAGAGTTATGAAACAGACTACCCATGAATGTTTCCCTTAAGAGTCCATAACTTTTGCGAAAAACCAAATTTAGGCAATCAAAGGTGGTGGATGTGTGATGATTTTTTATGGCTTAATTGTTTGTGAATTGGATATTTGATCTTTTTATGATTGGAGGGGATGTTTGCTTAATAGAATAATCCATTTTAATTCATGTTTATTTTTAACATGAACTTTAGTAACTCAAAACCTTCGAGACACATATCACCTACTGCATTGTATCATTTTGCATGGGTGCTTGCTGTGTTGTCAAACTTCTTTGTTGCTGCTGCTGCTGCTTTTACACTAACAGGGGAGTTAAGAACCCATGAATGTTTCCGTTTGACACAAACAGGAGGACTTGCTTCTAAATCGTGCACTAAAGATGATTGGAGGAAACATCTCTATTGCAGTTGATATACTGGAGACCAGAACAAAAGCAATGTATAACATCAAAACCAACCATCTGAACTATTAGCATTGTTGCTTTACTATTTTTTCGTGGTTGAGTCTCCTTCAAAAAATTTAGTTTGATTTTAGAAAATTTTGCTTCTGCAGTCCTGTCTTGCCACCAACGCGTTCAGTAGATGGAGATGGCAGAGGCGAAGGTTATTTTTGTGTTGTTGTTGCTGGTTTAGGGATCGGTTTGTGAAGAAGAGGGAGAAGAGAAGGGGAAAGGGAAATGCAGGAGAGGGGGGTAACTCTTTTCTCTGACAAAAATGGAGTGAAGAAAGGGATTATGATCAGTAAGGATATGGTTATCTTACATAACGGTCTCTATTCTGTTTGAATTGATCTTGGGAGGCAGTGATAAGGACGAGCTGCAACCAATTCATAGTGAGAAGAGAGCTATGAACTGTGATCATGTCTTATTTCAAGTTAGAAGGTAGTTTCAGTATAAGGATTATTTAATTTGACAAGTTGTTTCGTCCATGATTCTTGGTAGTTTCAGTGCCATTCTAGCCATTGTTTAGTCTGTAATTTTTGAGAATTGATGTGCGAGTAATGACTTTCACTTAGCTTCAACTATTATGTGTGTATTTATTGGCATGTGATAGAAATCTCTTTTCCTTTTCTTTGAATTCAGTTTCATACTCTAATTGTATCATTTGTACATAGGCAAATCATGCTCGAGATGACAACTCGCTGATAAGGCTGGTGCAAGGAACGGAGCCATCATTAGAATTCAGACCGACAACGGGGAGGGATGCCCAGGACTAATTCAATGATGATTGATGATGGTATAATAAAAACTGCAGTCTGCATCAACACCAATTTCTAGGCCTAAGTAAAGTTATTCAACCCAGAACTCTGCTTAGCGCTAAAAATTTCCCTCACCCAACCTTGATCCTGTTTGACCCACTTCTGAAGAGTCAAGATATATGAATATGACTAATCCTCTCCGTTCGTATTTTCTTATTGACTCTTTCTGACCCTTTAGGTTGGGGCGGGTCGGGAAGAATCGGATTAGTGGGTCGGTCCTAATCAAGTGGAATCTCAATCCCTTCACTCTCACTTGCTTTCTCTCCTATTCCACAAGTGGGTAACATACAGTAATCCGGCCAACGGGCCGGGTAATAGGCTAGTATTGTAAGAATTGGAAAAGTGATGTATATTAATTTATTTAGTGCATTGTAAAAGTCATCTCGTATACAAACGTGACAGCCCTGCGACAAAATTACACAAACATATCATCATGATGAACCAATTACATTCTATATAAACGGCATGTTTTTTATGAGTTCTTTAGAAATAACATTTCAAGAAAATGCACGTTTGATTCTTTATCCTTAAGACATGCAAGTTTAGCATATTGTACAAAACTTTACATGGAAATTTTATGAAAAAATGTTGGGGTTGATAACCAAAATGGGCACTAATTTTTTTTCTCTAGAGCACTCACATTACCGAGAAATAAAAGAAACAAAATTTGAAATCAATAAACTGATCACAACCACAAAAACAAATCAAACCTACCAAACAATATGAATTTAAAGAAAGAGTTTTTCTTGCCACAAAATGTCAATTCTATTCCTAACTTGACCCACAAACACCGCTTCAAAGTGACTAAACATGACTCCCAAACCTACAATCTCCTTGAAGATGTCTCCCACTCGTGCATCTATCAACTCATCATCGCGGACCTTATCCAAAATCACTTGGGCATCCCCGATGAAAATGATCGGAGTCCGTCCTCTATCAGTATAGCAATGCATCGCAACTAAAAAAGACATCAATTTCACCAAAAATGGATTGTCCATCCCCTCATATGGATCATCTAAAAAAATGGTCATTAAAACTAGGCTATTTTACAAAATCATCGAAGAACTTCAAACTCAACCAAAGTGATCATTTACGTTTCTCGAACATTGGTCACTTAAAAATGTAATCTACACATATTATTTTAGGGTATCCACATGAAAGTAAGATTGTACATAAAAGAAGCTACGCCAGTGTGAAAAATAAGCAAAGTTAAAACTTAGAGAATGCACTATACAGATGCGAAAGAATTTATTACAAATTTGCGCGAACCCCGCCTTAGAACCATCCCTACCAATGGTTCAAAAAATTTACACCCAAGTATAATGTTGTTTGGTATATCCTTTACATCAATCCATTTGGGAGTGTGATTGTTATAAAAATAATGGAGCATTTCAAATAAAATATTGCACAAATATTGCCTAATCAAACAAGTGACAACCCTCAAATAATTGCGTGCGATCACAAATCTCAATGTGTCATTTTCATGGTGGTGCTTTTTCCATTAAACTTCCCCCATCCACTTTAGTTTCATCGTCTTTAATTATTTTGACTCTCTGTTCTATAGGGTGCTCAACTGGACTTGAAATCTCCAAGGGATTCCTCGTATATAGCTTGCTTATGGTTTTCTTATAATTTCCGCTGCCTAATGTTGTTTATCAGCTACGATCCATCCAAGGATCAATTTCCGAGTGGATAAATCTATTAACTACTCAATCTATTTACCTATTTTACCTAATGAAAGTACAGATTAAAACTATCAGCTGAATAGAAAGAGAAGTCCTCTACGAAAGATCTGGCAATTAAGAATTGGGCGATTGTATATGGGGAGTACGTTGAATATTCTACAGAAGGAAGGGAAACGAAGGAGCTCATTTGATCGGCCTTGTTCAATGTAGATGGAAAGAGTATGATATATATATGGATACGACTCGTATGTTCCTGACGCATAGTATGCTTTAAGATTTTCCACCGTTGATCTAATCTAACGTCTGTTATCAAACACTTGGAGTACGTATCTTCGGCGATCGGCACTTCCCCCAGCTCTCGAGTTTGCACTTTTCACTTCATCTTCCAGTCACGGATCTCATGACAATGATGAAATCATCTGGTGCCCCTTGTCGCCATCCTCATCAATTTCGTTTGGGGACGATGAGGTCAATTCTTCGATCATCCCTTCCTCATCCGCCTCTCGAGCACACGATTCAATCCACCAATCCTCGAACAGACCACTCTCTTAATCCATAGAGGGATTAAACAACGATGGGAAGCGCAAAGTCCAATTGCTTCAATCGATAGTCAGATGAGAGGAGAGGGGGTTTTGGGCGTTGAGAAGAGTGGCGAAAGGAATAGATCACCCAACTAAGATTGAAAGTAAACGTAGCTTGATAGATTGAAGACATGATTAGAATAAATTTTGGTACCGTAATACTAAAATATGTGAAAAAAATTGTTAGGGGTTAAAGGGTACGTATAAAAAAGTAATAGGACCAACTAATCATTTTAAAATTATAAATACTAAATAATTTAATTATAATTAATAAACACCGTTAGATTAGATCAGCGGTATAGAAAAACTGATACATAGTATGTGTCAGGTACATACGAGTGTGACCCATATATATATATATCAAATTACCGATACCATACAGAAAAAGTCAGCAGTATGATATTTTATACTGAAATTGTGATCCAATTGATGGTTCAGCAGTTTTTAAACGCAAACATTACTAGAAAGTTTTTCTGATCGAACTGCAAGTACGGTACATATTTTTTTAAGTACTGAAACCAAACGGATTACCTGACTTTTTAGCGCGCACTTGTTATGTAGGCTACAGAATTGAACCAAACCTATCCAGGCCCCTCCGGAAGAGACCTTATTTGAGGCCCATTTTGTCGGATATTAAGCCCAAACTCTTCAAAACAATCAAAGCTACACTAAGCCCATCAGACCTAATGAAAGGATAAAGCTGGCCTGGTTCCCCTGGCAAAAAATTATTTTTTTTAGTCCAAAATTCCATGACCAAACAATCGTCCATTTTCTCGCGGAACTCAAACCCGCAAAAACCGACCAACTTTACGGCCAAAATCTCCCCCCTACAATCCGACCATCAACGGAAATAGCAAGACGTAATCCCGATCAAATCGCCACGCCCTCCGCCTTCCTTATTTATATAATTCAACCACACCGAATCACCACACATCAAAACCGAATTTCTCCGATCAAATCCCGATCAAAATTCACAAAAAAGAAAATGGCACAACAAACTCCCTCCACCATATGCATCGCCGCCGTCCTCGCGATTCTCTTCGCCGTCGCCGCCGACGCTCGTTTCCACCGCGACCTCCCCGTGACCGAACCCACCCCGACGAACGGCGACCGGTTCCCGGACGACGATCCCATCCTCCTCCTCCCGAGCGACGACCAGCTCGTCGCCGGCGAATCATCGGAAAATTCGCCGGCGGCGAAGGAGGAGGATGAGAAGAAGACGGCGGAGGAGGCTCCCGTGACGGTGGTCGGATTCCGCCCAATCAACCGCCACTTCGCCATCCCTCCGGTCAGCCGCCGCCCTCACCTCCGCCGCGGGTGCCGCCACGGCCACACCATCAGAGGGCTGAGGCCGTGGACCCCGCGGTACGGCAGGATCCGGTACGGCAACGAAGACGTCCTGGCAGCCGCCGCCGCCGGCAAGGATTTGAGCGGCGGCCGTCCTGTCGGCGATTCGGCCGACCTACCGCTAAGATGGGGGCAGCCGGGCTACAAGTACGAGAGGCCGGCGGTCATCGATCTCAGCGATGAAGTTATCGTCACCGGCGACGGAGAGCATCTGCAGGAGAACCTTATCCTGAACAAGATTCGCAAGTTTCTGAAGCAATTTTGAAGGTTGTTGTATATATATAAATGGTAATTTCCGCCTACACGGTAGAGAATAATTAATCAGATGATGAAAATGTGTATCTATGGGTAGTTGTAAATGCAATTACTAACTATGTGGTCTTTTCCCCGCTGAAATCTTGATTCAGCTATTTTATTGTAATTAATTATTATATTTGTATATTGAAATAAATTTTCATTTTTATTTTGAATTATATGGATTCTAAATTGCTCCTCCGTTCTCCAATGCCTTAGGGTGTGCAGTCCGACCGTACCAAACTCATGAGGAGCATGGTTCAATATTAAACGACGTTTTAGGATTAATGATTATAGCAACGATGCATTTGGTCTGCTTTATTTTGGTATGGTCTGATCCAAATATCAGTTCGAACAATTTATTCGAATTATCTATATAATTCATGGGACGAGAATCGAATATGATTATATTCAATTCAAAATGATTTAACAATCCCAAAGTTTCTTTTTTTTCAAATAAAAAATACCGAAAAGAACAAAATTTTGTTTTTTTTGTACTCTTTCATAACATAAAGAGTATTAACTATTAAGAGCCATCCGGCGTGAAAACAAAAAAGTTTGTGATTCCCGATTGATGAACAAGAAGGAAAATGGAAGTATTGGATTTTCTGACTCGCTCCCGGCTACGTGTGATTTGAACCCTTCGCCCTTCACCGCCACAAACTAACCCTCTATGTCTTACGACATAGAGAGAATGAACTTTTATTTGCTCCGTTCCAAACATCAATGTGGTCCGATACCTTCCCGGTTTTGCAGAACAGAAATCTTATGACCCGCGTGTTGGAGTTGAGTCCCTTTCGGTTTCTCCGATTCCATGGACAGGGCTGATATGAAAGCCTCTCTAGCTGGCAGGACAACGCTGGGGAAATGCTACAGGCTGTATACTGAGAGGAGCTACAATCAGGATCGTCAGGCGCGGACTGATCGCGAGATACTGAGGTCGAATTTGGGGAACATTGTCCTGATACTGAAGAAGATGCAAGTTTACGATCGAGTTGATTTCATGAACCTGCCTGCACAAGAAGCGTTGTCGAGAGCTTTGGAGTTGTTGTCGGATTTGGGAGCGATGGATGGTAAGGGGAACCTGACGAGGCTAGGGAACATTATGACTGAGTTCCCGCCCGATCCTCGGAAGGAGAGATTATTATTAGGTATTTTTCGGTGTATATTCTCTCTCTAACATCATGTCGTAAATCAATTAGTCCCCAATAATTTGAATTATAAAAAAAGAGTTAATTATTAATTATATACGATGCAATGAATAACCATACTTATCTATCTATCTTTCTACAACTTGTATCTTTCTGTAATTTTTAATCACCTTCCAAAAGGAGGTTTCGTGAGTACTTACTATTGGACACGTGCCATGCGTTAGCGAAGTTCCTGGGTTCCCGAGGACGATATGTGCGAGGTTGTTATCGCATATCGCGGCTGGACCCGAGCCATACCCCAACACTAACCATTCTTATACAAGGTAAACACTACTACCAAAATTATTAACGGCAAATGAACATTTGGATAATTAAAAAAGGAATGCGGGAATCATTTGAGATTTGACTAATAATTAGTGTTTACCAACTATACAAGCAATACAAATCGAATCAACACCAAAATGAAGTTAAAAGGGCAGGACCTATCCAGTTCACTTTACAACAAACACTCCAGATTTCTTCAAAACCCGTTGAAATCGGAGTTGGATCATCGCCAACAGAGCAACGGAAACTGAAACCGATCAGAGATTTCGAAAGTGATCGGAGCAAGAGCCGGTGCCATTACTGTTAGCGAGCTCGGAGCAAGGAGAAGGGCTGACCAGAAAGGAACCACCGCTGACATCAGAGCATTTCCACGTCAGCAGCGTATTATTATTATTTTTCCCCCTCTTCCTCCGAACGACATGTATATTGACATTCGACAAACAAACTCTCTTAAACGGAGCATCCTTCAACCCGCGAATCAAACCGGGCTGACCAACCTTCTGACCCCAAATGCCGTCGAGGGTCAGCCCCTCGACGGCGGGGAGAGCGGTCGGGTTGAAATTGCCGTCCGGGTGGCCGCCGACGTCGCCGGCGATTCTGATCCCGGTCCGGACGTCTTCCATGTAGACGTTGGACACGGTGATGTTGCGGATGAAGCCTCCCCTGCCCGTGTTGGTTTTGATGTGGATCCCTACGCCCATGTTGTAGAGGTTGATGTTCTCGGCGAGGACGTTTTTCACGCCGCCGGAGGTTTCGCTGCCGACGGCGATCCCGGCGAAACGGGATGAGCCAGTGATGCGGCGGATGGTGATGTCCGTGCTGGGTCGGTTGAATGCGATGCCGTACTCGTCCCAGCCGCTCTTCACGGCGACGAGATCGTCGCCGGTGGAGATATAGGAGTCTTCTATGCACACGTTGGAGCTTGAATCTGTTTTGGGGTTTTGGAGATTGAGTTTAGATTTTAGTCGATTGAGACTACTAGTTCGTATTAGAGTACGAGTAGTATTACTCATCGTGGTTTCAGTAATAATATACAACGGTTTTCACCTAGACTAGTTCATGTTAGAGTACGAGTAGTACAATTCATCGTGACTTCAATAGCAAGGCACAACGGTTTTACCTTGACTACATATTAGAGTACGACTCGTCATGGTTTTCAATATATAGTAAGACACAAGAGTTCTCACTGAGTTCTGATTTAACAGTTCCAAGAAGGAATGGTACCGAAGATATGGATAATTACCTGGATCGACTCCATCGGTGTTAGGAGAGTTATGGGGAGCCAAGATGGTAACATATCGAACCACAACGTTGCTGCAAGTTCAAACACGAAAAGTCAAGCCTAAAGAATCCATCAAAACCAATTCGGATTTCGGACGCACACGATCAAACCAACTTCGATATCATGTCATGAATCAGTTGGTGCCAATAACTCGAATTGTTAAGAAAAGTTTAAATAACGATTCTTATACTATGAACTGCTAGGTATTTACCTGCAGTAAACAGGGTGAATGTTCCAAAAGGGAGAGTTCTTGAAGGTGACATTGGAAATGATTATGTCATGTGAATTCATGAACTCGACCAGACTCGGTCTGGTATACTGAAGCGTCCGCTGCTTCCACATGTTCCACCAGACATCTCCTTGCCCCTCGATTGTGCCATTCTCGCCTATGATACAAACAACACTGCTTTGAAGTCAGTTCTCAAAGCAGTACAGTACTTGAACAAAATCTATAGGGTTATAAACAATGAAAATGTGGAAAGCTCTTACCTGTTATGATCACGTCGTGTACTCCATCAGCATGAATGAAGCTCGTGTACCTTCCTCCAGGGAGCTCTCTCCCTCGTCCATAGGATGGCAGAGGAGCAACCACCGGCCAATTCGAAGTTTCCTAGACCACCAACCAACGGCCAAAAGTCTAATGAGGTAAGCTTGAACTAAAGAGGAAAACATGGAGTTAGCTGCACAAACCATGTTACCAAGTGCAAAACCTTACACGCTACCAGAAAATTGGGAAGCAACCAGAAGTCTAAAGGGCTATAGCACAACTATGCTACCAAGTTTCCCAGGCCACCAACCGAAGTCGAAAACTTGACAGAGAATATGCTTGGCAACCAACTCATTGAAGTCAATGAGCTAGCTTAAACTAAAGACAGAAGCAAAGAGTTAATTAGCTAGCTGCACAAACCTTGCTGCCACTTCGAAAATTTACACGCTACCAAAAATGGGGAAGCAAACCAAGGAAAGGAAGAACAGTAGCCAACAGCACCCAACAGAGAAAGCAACTCGAGATTTGGCATCAACTTACAGCCTTCAATTTTTTTTTTTTTTTTTGTTAAAGAATGTTTTTCCTCCTTGGGATCAAGTATTAATATTCATTTCACTCTTCAATCCTCCTTGTTAGTTCCCCAAACTATAATTCAAAATAATTAATAAATAATTTTTTACCATACCGAAATTGTCTTTGGGGTAGAGGAATTGTCAACAAATGACAACCTCAAAAGAGTTGTCACCGTATCTCGTCTCCTTTTATACGTCGTAATAATTATGCCTTCATATATATTTCCCAATCAACTGACTTTATTTCCTAATACCACTAATTGAGGAAGATTTCTGGAGGCACACATTACCTAACCTCCATGACCCACTCACTATCTCTCTTCATTCGTTTTTTCTTCCTCTCTTCCCCTTCTCTTCTTCTCCCTATTTAGGTGTCGGACCGGAAAGCATTCTGGAGGTCGTTTTCAAATCCGACTCAGGTCAGACCGAGTCCAACCGAAAGTTCGATAGGGGTTTAACAACCTTGATGACGAGAACAGTATTTGTTGCTATGTGAAACTTGGACTAACAATCATGAACAAAAGTTTATAAAAAAGGCATAAATTCGTATGCAAGAGTTACGAATATTTTGTCGCATCTGATATTAGGAAAGCACCGAAATCAAATCTGAAATTCATGGCAGCCACCGATGAACGACGGGCGATCGCATCCGAACCAGCAAAATTACCATAAACACTAACCAGGTTGTAAAACCAGCTAATCATGATTAATTCCAGGTTTTGAAAAATGCTCAAGAAAATCCCACAACTAGTTTAGTTCATTAACTGGAAAAATGACAATTACCGAAAAGGGGTCGAAACAGTAAAAAACACACCTGCGTGGCCTTGATAACGGCGCCTGTAGCCAAGAAGAGAGTCATGTGACTGGTGAGGTTGAAGCTCTCCGTCAAGTACTCCCCCGCCGGTATGTAGAGCAGAGTGCCGCCGCGCCTCTTCAAATGCTGAATCCTGTAAATCGCCTCCTTAAACGCCTTGGTGTTGAGCGTCTTCCCGTCTCCGACGCCGCCGAAGTCGCCAATCGAAATGTTATCGCTCCGGTAGCTCATCGAGACTATCCCGGAGCAGGTCGGGATTTCGCCGGCCGAGTCGGTCCAGGGCGGCGCTGCGGCGGCGGCGAAGCAGAGAAGAAGGTAGAGTGGGAGCCGCGGCATTTTGGGGCTCAGAAGAGGATCGAAAATCGGAGGTGGTTGATTTGGGGAACGGTACAAGGAGAAAGCTCCGAAAACGGAGATTTGGGGATGGAGTAAAGAAATGAGGGAGAGGGGATCTGGTGGTGGTATTAGTGATTAGAAGGAAGCCATGAAAGGTGAGCATTGTCTTCCGAGTTCAGACTAAGGTTTTTTTTTTAATAATTTTCCTTCATTAAATCGAAATATTTACAAAACATAACATGTAACAGGTAAGGCAAATTTCATATCGACAAAGTACAGGAGACATCCATAATTCATAAGTAAGAAACCGATTTTAACTGACAAGACGCTTTTTTGGAGTGAGAACTCAGAAGTTTAACGTGCTCGGTGTGGAGTACAACAAGTATGTGTGACCTTATGGGGGATCAACTTGAATTGCACGCCAAGTCGTAATCCGTGAGAGTCGAGGCCCAAATCAGACAATATTTTCGTCTAGAAAAGGTTCAGGATGTTACAAATGGTATCAGAGCCTCTATGCATCCTTCTTGAACGATGGTGGGGCAAACCTCCACGAGAACGTTGAGTCCCAGGAAATGTGTATGTAACACATTAGGAAAATCCCTAATTGGCAAAGGATGGGAGAGATCCATGACTCATAAGTAAGAAACCGACATTAATTGACAAGACGCGTTTTGTGGTGACATTGATTCCAAGTTAAACGTGCTCAGTGTGAAATATAACAAGAATAGGTGACTTTTCAGAAAGTCATCTTGAATTGCATTCTAAATCTGAGTATCCAAGCAGGAAGTGGATAATATCTTCGTCTAGAAAAAGTTTGGCGGATAAAAATTTTCCCGGCATCGGCCTCACATTTTTTTCAAAACAGCGAAATCCAAGCCCACTCGAATGATGTGGGTTTTATTGTAACCATTACATTGGCCCAACATTTTACGTAGGCCCATCAGAGTTTTAGCGGGGGCCATGGCCCAGTTAGGGTCAGAGTGTGACCAAGTTGTGATGAATGATGATTTTCTTTGCTCAATCAACCAAAATGACAAGGGTTGCCAATTTTGTAATCACGAGTCTATATGATTTTGACATTCATGGATAAAAATAGAGCTTATTTCGTAGCTAGCCAATGCCAATTACTGCCTCATGTCATAACAACAGCTAAGAAAGTGTTATGGGATACCACATCGATAATACAAGTGAAAGGTCAAAAGACCCTTGTATATTAGTGTCCACCTAGTCCAATTAGTAGGGATTTTTCCAGAAATAGCACTGTTTAAAAAAAAATTCCAAAAATAGCACCCAACTCCGAAAAATTCCAAAAATAGCACCCTTTTTGAAAAATCGCTCCCTACCAGTGCGGTTTAAGCGAAAACCGCCACCCAGGGGCGCGTTTTTCGATGAAAACCGCACCCCCAGGGGACGGTTTTGCAGACCGCACCCCCAGGGTGCGATCTGTTTTTTTTTTTTTTTTTTTTTTTTTTTGAAAAATCCTAACCTAGGTGGAAACTTCAAACGGACGTATCTTTGTGTTCGGGTATCCGATCGTCGCGAAATTTTTTTTGATTCCGCATAACTTTTTGAGATCTTGCAAGCCGAAGGTGGTTTGATCCTGCCTTCGTCCTAAAAAATGTCGTTTGCTACCCCGAACGAGCTTTTTTCCGATTTCGTCAAACTTTGGACAACCATAACTTTGTGCTCCAAAATCCAAACAACATGAATTTTTTTTTTTATTTCACATAACTTTTTAAGGACTAATTTTGTCACTATGTGTTGTGTCTTTGCATTTTTCAATTTAAATTTTGTGGTTTTTATCTTTGTGTTTATCTCTTTCTAACTTCCTCGAAAATTTCCTCCATCGTACAATAGTTTGCGCCCCTTTCACTTCCCAGTACAAGGAGACCTTTGAAAATCGATCATTCGGTATCTCTTGGCATGCGGTTTTATTGTTGGGGATTTAAGTTGGGCAAGTAAAAGAGTTTAATCAATAATGGAGTTGCAGAAGGAGGATTCGAAATTGAATTTTTGGTTGAAACATATGTCTCTTGAGATAAAAATTTGGTTGTACAATGAAAAGTGGTGGCTATTGGATCTTTATGTTTATGATTTTTACATCTATCACAACCTATTTATATCTTAAAACGAGGAATCATTGATTGATTTATTGAAGTAGGTCGATTCTTTATTCAACCTACTGGAACTGATAGACAAGGAGTGTGTAATTTTGTGCATTATTACTTTGATTGAGTCTATTAGTATGTTGGAGATAACCCTAATTTTGTCATTTGCTGTCAAGTTTTGATGATCCCCTCTTAGCTGAGTTGTTAGTATATAGTTGACTTGAATCAACAACTCTCCATTTTTTTTTATTAGTGACATATTGTTCATTAATGGAGCGCATTAAACCCTTATGTAGGATTGTGTGGTGATTTAGTTTCAAACTATCTAATGGTCGTGTGGAATTTCACTGAGCTTTTATACCCTCTTTCTTGACAATCAACTAACCAATAGTATTTTAACGATGGCTTAATTATCATTATGAAAAAGAAATTAATGATACATTTTATATTTTATATTCTTAAATGATGATGGTATTTCTCTGAATGTTAGACCTACATATTCTTTCTTTATGCATAATCTCGATCGAAGGATTGTCAATAAAATTAAACCGGTTGATTGACTTAACATAACATAAAAATATAAATAATCAAATAAAAACATTCCGGCCAATGGGCCGGGTTATAAGCTAGTAACAAAAATGATAAAATGAATGGTTCAAGTCCCACGTGGAGCTACCACTTTCCCTGGGGTCCCTGATGATTCAAGTTGGCCATCGGATGGAAATGGGATACACCTCTTGACTTGTTACATCCCTCTTGAGAGACTTTATTAAGCATGTGTACATTGCAATTAGGTTCTCATGCTAGCCTTCTAATGGTTCATTTTCGACCTTCGCAACGAGATTGTGTCGGATTAACAATGAATGAAATTTATCTGGTGACGACACCACTTAATAATGCCCTTGATGAATGGGATTTCTCGTGAGGACAATAATCGATGATTGAAATATCTTACGGAAGGTTGTATTGGAAGAGTTAGCGATAGAGTATTTTATGCTAAAACCACAATTTCACCGTTTCATACAGTTAGATACCACCTACAAATTTAGTCTCCAATATAAAGTTTTTCTATAAAATATGATATTTTAATCTTTGAAAAGAATATACATCGGGGTACTACCCAACTTACATTATCAATGAGGGGAGTTCATGGGCTGCAGATGCTGTAGATTTCCCTTGCCCATATTTTACCACTCATTTTGTCTTTACAACTTTTCAGACTCCACTACTTATGGAAAATTCCATTCCACAATTGGGCCTATCGATTTATTTAATTTACTGAACTTTATACCCATTACCCACCCATACCCCTCCCTTACCTTAACCTTAGCCTTTTGGGTTGGCAAACACACAACCGTTAGTCTTGCTTGTCTCCCATCAGAGAAAATATTCATACCCTGCCCCAACCTTAGCCTTTGGAAAGGTAGTATATACCTTTGTATAAAAAAAAAAAAAAATGTTGTAAGGAAGTGGTTAAGCACCACGCACGGACCTATATAAGATCCAGCATAACCTTCTCCCAACAATTCGAGTTATTGGGATCAACTGGTTTATGACAAAGGTAATATATACTTCTTATTTACGGGTACAAGATTTTTTTTTTTTAAATATATATAAGAGGAGTAGAGGACTCATTCATTCATTCAAAGACCCATTCAGGGGAAGCTACATCAGTGGGGAAACAATATTAAGAACAAAAACCCAATCTTGTGGAAGTGAGTTCGTCCTAACATTACGAGCAACCCAATCTGCTCCGTTATTAAATTGGCGGTTGGCTACGGGTACAAGATTGTTATACTTTAGTTATGCCCTACAGTGCTATGTCTCGCAATAGTTTCTATAGGTCTTTGCCATCTATGTCGATTCAAATCCAAACTAAAGGAGATATAGCACTGTAGTTGATAAATAACTATACTTGTCATTGTAGATAGGATTGACTACATCAATTCAATATTACAGTGCTATATCTCGCAATAGTTTCTATAGGTCTTTGCCATCTATGTCGATTCAAATCCAAACTAAAGGAGATATAGCACTGTAGTTGATAAATAACTATACTTGTCATTGTAGATAGGATTGACTACATCAATTCAATATTATCTGAAAGTTCGACTATTTTGACAAACTAATCTTCGTTAGAATTGAGCTCGAATCAACCTTGAGAATGTAGTGCCACGTGGTTCTTTGTTAGCCCGCGTTTATATTTGTAAAATTGAGCAAATATGTGAAAAAAATAACTTTAAAACAAAGATTTGTTATATCATATGCGGTGTGCAATTCATATTTTGTCCTTACAATCCACTCACGTTTTCTCCGCTGCCTGCCGGCCAGTTCCACATCTCCCAAAAATCTTTCTCATCCATCTCTTCACGCTACGTACCTCTGCTTCATATAACCACATCAAGTTCACGAGACTTGGATGAATAATTCAAAGTCAAAAGCCGTCTCTCCTTCTAGAACGATCCATCATCATGTGAACTTCGGCTCACGAGAAGACAAATATGCAGAAAAAATACAACAGTTCTTCATCACAGAAAAGAAAATAATATTTACAATCAGAGATGAACACTTAATCTGTTATTGAAGCAACAAAGCTATCAGGGACAACATAAATCTAGAGAGAGAGAGAGAGAGAGAGAGAGAGAGAGTGCTTGGTTGGTTTTCCTTTTTTTTTTTTCCTGGAAAACACTGTATAATAGACAGCACAGTAGAAAGTAGATAGATAATGATGATGATGATGATGATGAAGTTGACAGTAGTAGTTAGCTGATATAGACAAATCAGGAAGAAGAGGATGACAAGAACAGGAAGGAAGATCGACTTGAGCCAGAAGAAGGTTTTACCAACACTTACAAACCCCCTTATGTGAATAGGAAAAAGAAGAAAAAATGAATAGTTTTTTTTTTTTTTTTGGGCTTCTTCCTTCCTTTCTCCATGGATCTTGGCATCTAAGAGGGATAGACAGAGAGACTTGGCTTTGGCTTGTGCACCTTAAATCCTGTCAATTGGTTCTGTCTGGTCTTGCACAGCCAGGCGTTCCGAAACCTCTGCCAATGACTTCAGGTTGCACTTGATCAGAGCTTCGATGAAGTAGCATGTCTCGTCTTTCGTATTGCCTTCTGGGATGTCGACAACAAATGACTCGATTACCATTGTGCCTGGTCTCCCGTCGATGACCTCAGGATGGACCGAGACTGTGGAAGAGTAGTTCTGTAACAATTTTGAGGTAAACAAGTGGCATATGAGTGAAGGGGCATGGCATTTGCAAGAGCTAAGAGCAAGAAAGCTAGTTCATGATCCAAACATAAGCGGAGAAATATCATTGTAGAAGGGTAGTAGCAAACTGGTGCAAGGTAATGGATATCGAGGTTAGATGATTGTAAGGCAAGAAACTCCTCACTGTGAACTACTTAGATGTAGCTGGATGTCAGATTTAGGTGATGGATCAAGTCAAGGAGAAAGATGGTTTTACACAAAACCCTTGTTTGGTGGAGCCAAAACATGTGCAAACTCCATGGACTTCAGGAATCCATGAAGGTAATTCAGGGTAACCATCTACATGTGGGCTTCTGAAATCAAGACTAACAGTACATTTCCCCACAATCCAACATCCAAATGACCCCTTACAAATAACTTCCTGGAAGAAGCATTCAACAGGCCAAGTGAGGAGCTGATTGGCTAAGCTACAGCGAATGATCTATCTACACAATTGAAGATTAGAATGCCAATTGAAGTACCTAAGAAGCATTCAACAGGCCAAGTTAGGGAACTATCCACTACTCCCTAAATCATACCAATTGAAGTACCTAAGACTTATAATCTAACCAGCAAAATCGCTCTACACAATCGAAGATTAGGATGCCCAAAGAAGCAATGCACAAGGAGATATGAATCCTAGGTATATCATTCATTGAGTAGCAAAGTCAATAGAGCATCGATGTGGTATAAACAAAAATGACTAGAGAAGCTCGATAGAATTTCTGAAAACCTCAGCAACAAGCATAAAAGGGATAGGATATAGAAGTCGAAAAATTGCGAAATCAGGTACCTTGAGTCTGTGATCTCCACCTACAATTCTCATGGCTAAGATATGTTCCTCGTCGTCGAGTTGCTCCAATCTCTCGGTGCTAGTCGTAGCGGGAAGCCCCGACTTCACATTCACTTCCCTAAGGCTTCCAATCCCAAGATCGCCCTGCACAATACACCTACTAACAAATGGCTTATACTTCTGCGGTTGATCAAATCTCCTCACCAATGACCACACCTGATACATTTTTGCCAGGACAACACCCAAAAATCATTTCAACACCGGCGGCAATAGCATAGCAAAATCCAAAATGAACCAGAAACAAAATAAACAAAACAGCAGGAAACAAATTGAATCGAGGTGGAACAGCAATTTCCCCCCCTAACTCCAATTCGCCTAAACCCTAGCCCACTTAGATCCAATTTTTCTCTCTTCCCAGCCCGACTTCACTCAGAGTCAAGATGCGGATACTCAGTCCAACCAAATTTCGTCCGAGAGAGACCACGAGGGATCGAAACGCAACAATTCGAATCGGAAATTTGCAGCAGAAAGTCAAATCGAAAAACATCGAAAGAAAGTAAAGAAGAGACTGGTAAACAAACGAAGGAAGAAAGGCTCACGAGATGGAGAGGAGCTTTGATGTGTTTAACGAGGGAGGAGCTACACTGATTGTCCTGGACTTGGTGGAGATGGTGTCTTCTGATGTACTCGTCCTCCATCCTGCTCAACGCATTGCGGTTGGGGACGACGAGGCAGTCGTCGTCGGTCACCATGGAGCCGGCGGCGGCGGCGGACGGAGGAGGATCGGAAGGGAAGATCGGTTGCGCGAAACGGGGCGATGAGAGAGAGAGAGGTGGTGGGGGAATCCGAGGATGAGAGAGAGTGTCAACGGAAGCGTCCAGAACGCACCGCCATGGGAACTAGTAGGACTAGCAGCCCCTCCAATAGCGAAAGGTCCAGAGCTTCTCATTCGTTTTTTCATTTCCCCCTTGGATTAATAATCATTAAATTAATAAAATAGTCGGAATAAATAAAAAATGGCAAGTTGGCAACTGGACCTTTTTCTTTTTCTTTTTCTTTTTGGGTTTTAATTTATTCGCAAGTGTACTTTCTTGCTGGTCTCCTTGCTTTGGGCCTTTCTCGTCTTGGGCCCTTTTTCAGACCGCCCACCAGCCACGGATTCTAGGAAAAAGTTCCCCAACAAGCAACAGCTTAATGAATCACTCGGCAAATAATTTTAATTTTGTCTAACAAGTAACATGGCTGAAAATTTGACATTGTTTTACGTTATATACTGATATCGTCCCGAATTTTTAAGGAATATTGAATGATCTATTTGTAATATATGAGAATCTTGAATGTATGATTCACTGCTCATCAATTTATAATATGGTGATCTTAAGTTTTAATTTGGTACTTGGAATTGAGCCTAGTGTTCCACCTACACCGCTAAATTACGTGAAAATTTTCGTGCCTAAAATTATATGAAAATTGTTTAATTTTTTTTTCTTACATGCGTAAATTGTACACACTCCAGACTTGATTGGAAAATTGACGAGATAAGTTGACTGAGAAAGAGTTTCTCTATTCTGTCGGATTGTGAGACTCACTCAGAGTCTCAGACGAATGAGGTATAAGTTGGAATTGTTGGACCAGCTGCACATGGTGAGTCAACTTTCCTGGTGATTCCAATATGTTCCGATAAGACAAAAATTATAAGCGTCGCCCTCAAAGCAACAACATAAGGATAGAATTTACATCCCTCTTTTATATTTCTGAGTTCGCCACTATAATTTTGAACTCAGGAGGAGCCACTTTGCTAAAAAAATGAGAACATTCTAGTAAATTCTCTGAAATTTTAATAAATATGGAAAAAAAATCTAAAACAAAATTACAAAATAGAAGTTGGGAATGGGAAGAAAAAAAAAATAAAGCTACCGTACCATGACATACACGGCAGATAGTAAAGACCAAGGATTGCTGCTGCCTACTGCGAGAATCAAGATGGAGCTAAACTTGTGGCGGCAGTCGATCGATTTCGGTTTCACTGTAGGTCAACTTCCCAGGCCTTCAATCTAATCCTCATCTCCACCTCCTAAAACTAGAAAAAAATAAAATCTTGCCATTATTCCAAATATAGAAACAATACCATCGCCTTCATGATTACTTCACGTTAGTAATACATTTTGTGTGGACAAGCAAGGGATAAATTTCATTGGTCGTATACCTAATCATGTGTCATTTTTGTGAGACAAGAGTATGGGATATTTTTATTTGCTGTTGATGAATGATTCATTGGCATTCAAAGTGCAAAAAGTCGACCACACTAGCAAAGGATTTAAATTATGTGATGGTTAAGTCTTAACAACAACGTTAAATTAGGAATGATAGTGGTTCCGAGACTTAACCACATCGATGAAATATGAATGGTAGTGAATAAGAAAAAACAGGAGAGGGAAAACTGAATAAGTTAACTACATCAACGTAAAATAACTATCAAGAGACGACGTTTGCCATGTAAAAAGTGGAGAGGATGACATGATAAATATTCTCAAGTGATCCAAGCGACGAGAACTATCACATGACGCTAATATCTTCGAGAGCTAAATTATGACGTAATAAAAGTTAAAATATATATGAACACATCTCAATTCTCAAGTTCTTCACAAACCAAGTACATAAGAAAGTTTAAATAATAGCAACTCCGCTGGGGATCGAACCCAGAATCTCTTTGGTTTCGTAGACCAGCGCCTTATCCATTGGGCCACGGGGTCATTCAAAATAAATGAAGCTGTGAGGAATCGAACCCCGTACCTCTCGCAAGCTTTGTGAGTACTCTACCAATTGAGCTACAGCCCCTTAATAAAAGTACATAAGTACTTTTAATAAAGGGTTAATATTTTCGTATGGCCTGAACTTTGACCAAAATAAACATCCTGACCAATCTTTTTGATCTATAACATTCTGGCCCGAACTATACACCAAAATAAACAATTTAGCCAGATCCGACTTTTGACCGTTAACTTGGACGGTCAAACGCGTTGACCGTTAGTCAACGCGCCATGTCAATGCCAACTCAGCAAATTTAAATTAAAAAAAATTTACACCTATTCCATTTTATTTCCTTTATCATTTTGACGGAAAAAAAAAACAATTTTCTTCTCCAAAACGCACGACCCCCTGCCCTAAACAGTAAACCCCATTCTTCCCCTTCTTCGTCTCGTCTCGTCTCCTTTGTAGACAACACCATAAGCCCCTTTCCCCTGGAAATTCCTCTGCGAGAACCCATTTGTGGCCTTCTAAAGCTCCACCGACTGAAACCACTTCGCCCCGGAATTCGGCAGCACAACAGATTTCCAAATCTGGTGACTAATTCCTCATGGGAAGCCTCAGAGTGCTTCCTCTTCTTCCTTTTTCGACAGAAAACCACAAACAACAACGCAACAACGACAATACCAACAACACCACCGATTATCCCCAAAACACGAGCTGCAGCGGGTGAGACCGGAGACGTCGGCCCTGCAGGCGGAATCGAGCGGGGTGAGAGGGCCGACCCGCTGGATCCAATCGGCGATGGTGATGACCCCGACGCAGCTGGAAGCGTTGGAGACGAACTGATTGGGGTCGTTGAAGCAGAGAGGGACGAAAGAAGGGTCGATTGAGATGGCGGCGAGGTGGGTCCAGAAGTCGGCGAGGCAGGCGGCGGAGGCGTTGCCGTCGGGGAGCTGGAAGAGGGAGGTATCGCGGAGGTGCTGGGCGATTCCGATGCCGAAGAGGCTGAGTAAGGTATGGCAGCAGTGGCGGCCGTCGGTTTGCTCGCAGAGGGATGTGTCCCATGGGATTGTGAGGACGTAGCTTAGATCGAACGGGCATCGCGGCGGCGAGGTGGGTCCGGAAGTCGGCGAGGCAGGCGGCGGAAGCGTTGAGAGGAGACGAGACGAGACGAAGAAGGGGAAGAATGGGGTTTAGGGCAGGGGATCGGGCGTTTTGGAGAAGAAAAATGTTTTTTTCGTCAAAATGATAAAGGAAATAAAATTGAATAGGTGTAAATTAATTTATTTTTTAATTTAAACTTGCTGAGTTGGCAGTGACATGGCGCGTTGACTAACGGTCAACGCGTTTGACCGTCTAAGTTAACAGTCAAAAGTCGGATTTGGCCAAATTATTTATTTTGGTATATAGTTCGTGCCAGGATGTTATAGATCGAAAAGATTGGCCAGGATATTTAATTTGGTCAAAGTTCAGGCCATACAAAAATATTAACCCTTTAATAAAAATCAGAAGTTGGTACCCACTAGGCCACTACCCAAAAACAAACAAAGCCCACTTACCTACTTATGTAGGAAAGAAATCCACGATAACATACTTTCAAGCCCAAAATGCCCACTTTGCTTGATAACATCCTCTAGAGCTGCAAAAGTCCATTTAGCTGGCCAACAAGCCTAATGAAGCCCATGTAGCGTAGGCCCATGATATATTTCAATAATATTATATTCTTCATCAAAAAAAATACATGCAGTGCCATAAACTAAGAATGTATGTTTGGTAAAAATTCATTGATTGGAAATAATAAAGAACGTATGGATTATATTTATATACAAATTTCATTATACGGTTTGTTCAGGGTATTAATCTCATTTTTATGTATTATGTGTTTAAAAATTTAACAATAATTGTTATAAAATACATGTATTTATATCATAAAAAAATACAATATTTAGAATCAAATATTTCAAATGAGTCATTAATACGAGATAACAATATTTAGTCACAAACTATTGTGAAAACCGCAAGTTTGGACTTTCCGTGGCTTGATGGTCGGTTACATGTGGACCAAAAATATGTTCCCAAAACCTCAAGAAAACAACACAAAAAGAGTCAAACCTAATGGACGAAGAGCTAGTGAAAGTCCTCCTCATCCCATTATCCGTATTATCTTCCAGCTACTGGTTTTCGACTAATCTGCAAAAGAAAAAAAACCAGTGATGGGAGGAACCACGCCTCTGGACCACTCAACCGCCATGAATAAGCCGAAAAGCTATACAAATAAGCCATCCATGGCTGATTTGCCCGATTGTAGATGCCAATTTTGCTGCAGAATGGATGGGAACTGGTACGAAAGTCGCCTTTGGCAACTGGTGATGATCATCCCAAGAACGAGTGCCATGGAGGAGAAGGGGTTTGATCGCCGAAAAAAAAACCCATTTCATGCCCCATACTATAGGCTGGAGACTTTCAAACCGTGCCAAAATGAATAGTCCTAGTTTAGGTCACTAGAAATCGTTGGAAAGCCTATTTCAAATAGAAGCCCATGCCTAACAATTTTGTAAAACCAAATTAGAAATAGGCTTCCAACGATTTCTCGAAATTCCATCATTCCACTCGATTCAAATGCATATCGGCTTCGGTCGTGCAATATACAGGAAGAAAAAGGTTGCAGCTGTAGACTCGTAGTGTGACCTATGAGGATTACGTTAAATCATAGATAGTTGCATATGCAAAGAAAGATGCATATCGACTTCGATCGCGCAATATACAGGAAGAAAGAGGTTGCAGCCGTAGACTCATAGTATGACATATGAGGATCACGTTAAACCATAGTTGGTTTGCATATGCAAAGAAAGAAAAAGGGTGTGATGCATGCCAAACTTTTTTGGAGGTGGAATCGCGATGAAGTGAAATGTGGTTAGTTAACTTCTCATTGCATCGGAGTTTGAAATGCATACCTTTTGAGAAATTCGATGTTTTCATGTAAATATTGAGTATTGAGTTTAATGAATAAATATTTTTGTCTGAATAAACTCGTGAAAAATCATATAAGAAATTAAGCATATTGCATATCACAACTATTCAAGTTAAAGAAAATGAATTGCTATAACTTATAAAACTACCGTAAAAAATTACATTTTGTCCCACTTGCTCAAATTTGGAAGGTTCAACAAAAACACCCTGGCAATTTAGGACTTAGATGGACAAGACCATCAAAATAAAGTGATATTACCACCGATATTAACAGTCCTAATAAAAAAAAATCATACTTATTAGAGCAAATATAGCTTATAAACGCTTGAAAACCTACTGAAGGTACAAATGACCTCGGGTAAAAAACAAGGCCAATATACTTACTGCCCAGTAAAAAGTGGAAAAAAAAACACCCCGTCGCCTAACACAAACACACACCAATAGTACAACGAAGAGAAATTTTAACTCTCCCCTGCATCCAATCCTCGCTACTCTGCAACCAAAAATCACACCTTTTACATTCCTCTCCTCTCTAATTAGTAATTACCCTGACAATGGCGATCTTCAGTTAGCCAGAACCTCCCATATCAACTCCAGATCGTAAGACGGCATTCTCGCCAGCGAACACCCACCACCGTCCATCGCCATCTCTTCCTCCAGGGCCTTTACCGTCCACTCTGTTCCCACCGTCGACGTAGTTGACGAAGAAGACGACGGCGAGGGCGACGGAGACAGCGATTTCGCCTCCACCTTCGGTCCACTGCTGCTGCTATTCGAATTGGGTTTCTTCGCGGCGATCTTCTTAGCCCGCTCCCGTTTCAATTTCTGACATATCGCCTGAATCTTGGCATCCACGGCCGTCCTGAGCGAATTCAATTTCTCCGAGTCGATCAGCCCCAATTTGATTGGGTCGTCGACATTGGGGAAATTCAATCGCGCGTACTCTCCCCTGAGCTTGTAAGCGGCGCGATCGTAAGCGTAGGCGGCGGCTTCAGGGGTCTCGTAGGTGCCAAGCCAGACTCGCATCCTGTTCTGCGGGAGCCGAATCTCGGCGACCCATTTCCCCCAGTGCCTCTGCCTCACACCTCTGTACAGCTTCTTCGCCGTCGCGGGAGCGAACGCCGGGTTGGTCCTCTGCAATGGAGAGAAGCTATGGAGCGAGTAATTGTTCGAATTGAAGCCGGAAATGGTGGTGGGTCTGTTTTGCTCGCTGAATTTTCGGAGGAGGTCTCGCTGGTGGAGGTAGACGGAGGAACCGAGAGGCTCTGTTTTGGCCGGCGGCGGCGGTGATGGGTTGTGACTGCAGAAGGAGAAGACGGAGTCGAGAGTGTTGGAGCCCGCGCCACCCATCAGTATGAGCTGGGAGAGGGAGGTGCCGATGTCAGTTAAATCAGCAGGGAATGTGTGATTGTAATTGTTGTGACCTTGGAGAGCTTCCATGGCTGGTGATGGAAGAAGCTAATGGAAACGGGGAAAAACAGGGGATGGAGTTGAAACAGAGGAGGGGATTGGATTCAAACGGGGACTGCAAAAAATTCGTCCTGTGTTCGTTTCCTTTTGGATGAAGAGGCAAATTGGGGGGTTGTGAAGGTGAAAAAAAAAAGAGCAATCTAGGAGGAGAAAGAGCTTTGAGTTTGAGCTCTGAGAAGATTTGGGAATGGCGATGAATTGAAGAGAAGAGGAGGGTGGAGTTGGTGTGTATTTATAGATGGAATAGTAAATGAGTGTGTTGCTATTTTGTGGGGATCTTTTTCAGCTGCCAGCTGTATGTTCTTTTCTCCTAATTACTGGATGGTCCCCCAATTTCTGTTTTTTGACAAATATGGTGCAGCTTTAATTTTGAATAGTGAATATATCGCAGTATGTATCATATTTTCGAACTTAACTTAAACACTTTGGTGGTTAATAAGTTAATAAATAAATCATCATATAATTTTTCTTTGTGTAAATATTTATTATTGGTAAAGTGTATTAATTATTTGGCACCCACGGACTCATTGTTAATGATCCAGTTCACAAACGAAAAAAAGTTATGTACACATTAGAATTTGAATTGTATTACTCACGCATCCTTAATTAAGAAAACAGTAGTTAATTAGTCAGAACAAGACTTAGAAGCACAATAGTTTCTAAAATTAAAATAATTTTACAAATTCCCCGCCAAAGTAAAGACTAACTACCGTCGAAAACGATTAGCATAACAAAATGGCGGGAAGAATCTTTGCTCTTTGTTTTAACCAACAATTATGCGAGCTAACCTTGCTATCATTAGGAGTAAGTTACATTATCAAACATTTCCTAACAATTTGAGTTATTAGAATCAATTGATTCTTTTACATGGTACCAGAGTCTTTTATAATTGAGATGTCTTATGTTTTGAGTTCAGACGACCTAAGAATTAAGCACCTGTGCGAACTTCAAGGCCAGATGAAACTAGTTGCAGGCACAGATGAAACTTCACCTCACCTCTTTGAGGTAAAGGGTAAAAGGTAAAAAAAAAAGGCTGAAGAAGTTTTGCTTGATTGATTCTTCTTCTTGGCTGCTTGCTTTTGTGGCCTGACCTTTGTGTTATAGAAGGAAGGGCAATGAATGGGAATGGGCAGGAATTGCTGCTGAAATGGGATAAAAGGCTACTTTTTGGATTAAATGCAAGCAAGCAGGGCAACTGGGCAAGGTGGTGGGGAAAGCAGCTTCAGGCTTCAGAGTGAGAGAGTGGGAGTAGTGAAGAGAAGAGAAGAGAAGAGGTCAAAATGGCCACAAAGTCCATACGTTCATTTACTCCATTTCCCTCTTTCCCCTGCCACGCCTCTGTTCCTCGACAGCGACCTTTCTCCTCCTTCTGCTTCTACAGTTTATATCGAGAAGGGCCTTAGTTTACATCTAGAATGTTGATGTGACTCGAATCGGACTATCAGCCGCTACGACTGGTAATCGAGAGTCTCGTTGTTTCCTTTGCCAGATTGGATTAGGTTTAGACTCACATGGAGAAGTACTATAAATACTTCCCATACTTCTCTGTAATCTGTAATCTCCTCGATATAGTGAAACTGGCTCTCTCTCGCCCGTGGACGTAGCTAACACACATCGTGTTAGTGAACCACGAAAATCGTGTGTCTGTGTTTTTCGATTCTCACTTTCGTATTCTTGCTTTATCGATTCCGACGATTTCCCGATCCGTAGCAGCGCGTTTATAACACTATTAATAGTGTGCCTTTGTACACTTCCTCTTTTCTGCTTGATCAGCATATTGTATACCGTTTGTAAAAAAAAAAAAGAACAATGCATGGTGCACTCATAAAAGAAATATGAGTGCATACTGTGCATCCAAATCTGAAAAACATTCTTGTGTTAGCGGGGCGACCCGAAATCACTGATGCAGAGGGGATGCTGTCGTTTGGACTGGAGGTAGCGGAGCGACTTGAATTTCGATGCTTGGCTGCGGAGACGGATTTGCCTAACGCTGACTCGGTATTTGGGGGGGGGGGGGGGGGGGGCGTGAAATGCGTTCCAGCGTGGAGATACGAGATTGGAGAGGGAGTTCGTTTTTCTTTTATGTGCGTCGGGATGCCAACAAGCCATCCCATTTTCTTGTATCCCTACTTCTTGACGACTCACAGGCTTTTGCGACTCATTAATAAACTCTAAATCTTAAATTCTAAACCCTAGACACCTGTATTCCAACGGTAAGCACCCGAACTCTAAAAATACAAGTAAATACTTAAATCTTAATCATCGTCACACACAAAATTTCATTTTTTCCCCCTTGTTCATTACATTACAATTGAAGATTGACCGAACCGACATATAAGAAAATATAAATCATGGTTAATCGGAGAAATATAAACCATCTATGCATGACAAGTTTGAATATTATGTGTACTTCTCTTCCCATGCTAGAAGATGGACATTTGTGTTAAGTACGTGGGAAAGTCGTGTCCTGGTTCACACCCTCACCTCTCCACTTCGCCATTGACTTTCTCGCCGAGGGAACACTTTCATAGATTTGATCCGGCAATCTACTTATCTTCTAATCGTCCTTTCGATGGTTGCCTCGATTTAGATCATACAAGCTCGTTTTTCTCTTTGCTAAAATTACTCATATTCGTATACATATTTACTCACAACCAAGCCCAAAGTACGTGACTTAAATGAGTACTATGTTAATATAGGTGAATTTGCATGTGTCATGTGTGGAGAGGTGCATGTATTCACATTGACATTTCACATAACACCAAGCATGTGTAATAACTGGAGAAGCATATGGTTTTCCTTTTGGTGGTACCATATTGGTATTCGAATTAGCGAGGAGATTTACCGTACTTTATAATATTATCACTGTTTTGATTTTCTAAAAGAAAAAAATTGTTTACGTTACAAACTTGACTTGGGGATCCCTTACGTTCTCTGCTAGCTGATTCCCCTCCTCCGAGTTTTCCAATGGTATGGTACACTTCGCATTCGACTTGTTAGAAGAGGCCCGATAGTATGGTTGAGGTGAGTATGCATTGGTCGATTATATCAAAACCATATCGAATTGTGATACAATCGAATGAGGATGAAGGGGCAATGCCGATCATGAGATCCAGACCAAAAAAACCCCATTTGGTTTCGACCGATTTTCCTTCATATAAGATGAATTGTATTGTGTAATGGGTTGAAACCTAACCATTGTCTATTACTTATGAATCTTATACCATTTCGTCAGATGTCTCCTAAACTGCCATATCATATGCTTAAAATCATCAATTGATATTGCAGATCGCGATAAAAACTCGAGCACGATGCATTCTTTATCAAACCGTGCTCTACCATCATTTATTCTCATGGCTAAACCCACAATACGCAATAAAGAAAAAGAAAACATCTCTTGTCACGTTAGGTGACAGAACACCTAAGACCAGTTCATTTATGCTATTTTATGCTTATTCGCGCCGTTTTGTGCTCATTCACGTAATATTTTGATAATTTACGTAAGAGTATGTTTTTCACGTAAATGGAAAATTCATACTTTTCTCCCTAATAATTCGTAGTGGCTATATTTTATGGAATTAAATTTGGATTATCATTTAATCTGTAAAAATATGCTGCATTGATCATAATCTACACATTGACATTCATTTTGATATATTTCAAAGTTGTAAAATTTTATTTTACAACGGCGTGAACAGTTACCAATATGCGTGAATCAACATCAGGTGGCGTGACCTAACATTAATGGTTGCGTGAATAATCAACACTCTTTACGTAAATAATGCAAATACAACGTGAATGACACAAATACAACGTGAATAACGCAGATATGACGTGAATATCCCAAAATTAGATGTTTTGTCACCTAAACGTTACAAGAGACTTTCACTATAAAGAAAATTGAGAAGCTAGCTCGTCAAGCCATGGAGCGAGCCATATTTCACATGTACAACTGGAAGAAAAGCACAGGAGAACCAAACAAAAACAAGTGAGACCAAGTCAGCAAAGACGAGACACGATTGAGCCACAGGGAAGGCTGGGATCGATGTGGTGTGGCCGTGTGGGCCTGGCAGAGCCCACCTACCCTTTGAAAATACTGCAAACAAACGGGCCCATCGACCATCGAACCAAAGCCGCGCTCCAGGTTCCAGAACGGCCCGAAATTACGTTTTTGTCCTCTTGCTTCAACGATTCTGGACTAACGTCGAGCACAGTTTCCAGCGATGGGAGTGGCATTTAATACGTAAAGGTGTGAAGGAAGGACCCGCTCTGATGCAATTGTCTTGTCTGATTTTGATTGATAGGTAAAAAAAAAAAAAAGAAGCTATATTACTGCCATTTACTGCATATAGATCGATCTGGTAGCCACAACTTAATGAACGGCTTCTAATATTTACCTTTTTCTCTTTCCTTCTCTTCTTAATCAATTCGTTCGATAAGGCGTGATCCGATAATAAGAAGATGTGGCAACCTCGTCAAAAAATTATATCGAATCGTTAACAATAATATGAGTTGATTATTAGTGTTACGCAAATGGATAACATGAAAAAATATCCAAACGAAAAACAAAGGCCGGTGAAAAGAGAGAGATGTCAGATGAACCCTCAATTCTCCATAAGGATAGATATGATGTGGCCTTTCTTTTTTCCTTGTACTTCTGTTTGTGTTTGTGCATGTGAATGTGCCGACCTAACTTCATAAATTCTTATATCGAGTCAATCATTTGAGTAAATTGGGGTGCTGGTGCTCCCTTTCCCTCTCTCTCTTTTTTTTTTTTTATCTCTTCATGTTGTTAGTTAGGTTAGGTCTTTTCCTCACGTTCACTGTTCCCCCATGTTTGTTTCCTTCTCTACACAACCAGGGAAAATATCATTCCTAGCCATCTGTCCTTCCATCCCCGTGGCTAATAGTAATTATGGCTATATTTCATCAGTCATAAATTAACGGGTCTCAATATTTCAAGTTGTTAAGAGCAACGTTATGAAATTGGAATGTTTACTTTTACCTACGGTACTGCAAAATGCCATTGTCAAAGCTTGGATGGTGATTGGAATATGTGACTATGGAGCTTGTGACTTAGATGGACTCAAAGATCACAATCGCACTCATGTACGATTGAGGTGGGGAAAAAAGGGAAGAAGATAAGCGAAATTTAGGGGAAAGGGAATTTGGGTGGATGGAGGAAGGGATTACTAATTTTGGACCCTTTCCAAATTTTGCCAGCCTATACACACCCCCAACAACAACAATAATAAAATCATTAATGCAACCTTTTTGTAATATTTGACTTTTAACGAAAAAGTAGTATTTTGTCGTGTTCCGGGGCAAAATCAGACGACTTGGTCGCAACCCAAACGAAAAAATGACGCCACCCCACGCCGACTTCTGACACTTCTCTCTCACAAACAAGTCGCAAACTGGTCCCCACCCCCGCTCTTGTTTCCTCTCCCCGACACGTCACCCGCAAAAAAATCCACGGCCCACGTTCTCTACTTGATCCGCTCACCCGCTTCTCATTTATGACGTGGGCCCTATCCACTAGGCCCTTTTTTTAACTCCTCTTTTTTTCGGCCCAGTTTCTCGTGACTCCTTTTTTTTTCTTCTTTTCCTGCTCTTACTGCAGTCGCCAAAAAGAAAACTTTGGGCTCTTCAATGGAGAATTTGATTGAGTGGCTGTGTGAAGCTGAGTTTCTACACTATGATTTTATGGTGATGTCTTGGTGAGGTCATCACCATAGCGGGCTGGATTTACTGGAAATAGTCCAGTAAGGACCACAATCGGAGGTTTCAAGTGGGCCTGGGCCTTGGTTTATGTCGGCTGTATCCCGTTGCTATCCTCAACCGGTTTATTTTACTCCTCATTTGACTGACGCTATGATTACGCAGAAGTTTTGGTTAAGGTGTCGCCAATGGTGGTGTTGATTCTAACAAATGTGTCATATTTGAGTAGGTCAGATGTGAAGCATACAATTTTTTATTCTTTGAATTTAACATGAAATTACTTCGTTGAGACTTAAGTGATTAAGTAAACGGAAGACCCCGCCAAAATTATGGGTCATTTATTGTTGGCTACCGATTCTGAACACGATATCTTTGAACATAGATATTGATTCTCATTAATAAATCTCAATTCTCATCCCACCTGATTAATATTATTCTGGTTATAACACTCTTCTCGTCACATTTTCCGGACCATTGAGCTATGTGGTATTTTTGTAAGGAAGTAATTTATTTATGGTTGGTCGAAACATGTGTTCATATTGAATGCATTGAGCAATTGTAGTATGTATTTTTGGGGGAACGTTACACATATAATAACCAAATAATGCTGGATTGGTCGATTAAATGATGATGAAAGTACGTAGGGCCAGCAAGCAACAAAGAAAATGATGCATGGGGAAGTTCTGTTTCTGCTCGATCCCGTTCACAACTCTTAACAAATAAATAACCACTAACTTACGAACTTTGAAAATTGGAGCTACTAACAACTTTCCTCTAATAGCAGCCTGACTTGGTCAGCTACTACAAGGCACACAAAGTAACCAAATATACATCTCTCAGTACGTAGAGTTATTTGAGATGGTCTCGGTGGCGGTTTAATTGTAAATCTCGTGTTCTATCAATTTCCTTATGCCACTCAATATTGATAGCAACGAGAGGTTGCAGTCACCACCGACGAGACTTCTGGACAATAATTTGTAAACCTTCTATATGATTATGACAACATTATCAATTGGAAATAAATCATATATGAATATGACACATTCGATAATGTTAACATTTGACGGACTAAAAATTGGCAATTTAAAGGCGACAACTACTACTGTGTATTATATGCACCGAAAACTCTCACCGTATTGTATGCAGTCTCAAAACAATGTTTGTGAAACCGTATCATCACCGATGATCTGACCGGGAGAAGAAAAAAAAACTCGTATAAAAAAAATCTAAACCTATAGAAGGTTTTAGCAACATGAAACGATTGAACTCCAGTTAAAACCCACAATTTCAGCACAAAACATCATACCACTAACTTTTCCGATACGATGGATAATGCTATTATACGTGTAACGGTGTAAGTGGACTTGGTCTCTCAGACAACCGCCAACCGTTTCCTTCCCATCTGCACAATATGATCCAACCTTTTTTTTTTCCTTTTCATTAAACATTCCGATAGCTGAGCTGCCAAATATTGGAAGTCCCTGGAAACCGGTCCGTTGACGTTTATCAGATTTTGTAGTTAGCTGTGCAGTGTCTTTGCAATGAGCAACCGACACGTTAGCACCGACGAGGACCCGCCGAGCGGTGATTGATTGACATGAGAGAGATTGTGATTTCGTTGGCCGGCGACGAGGAAAGGTGAGGACGGACATTATTCAGTTTGACAAAATGATAAGAGAATAAGATATTGTTGTATATTTATGGGTTGGGACTGTTTATATATCACACTACTACTTGATCGACTTATTGGAACTAATTGTTATTGAACAAGGTCGTAAAACGAATTTGGATGATGACACTCTCTCTGATGCACAAATGGTATTATTGGAAAGGGTGAATTGTGCTCTGATTTAGTTTGTATTAATGACCACATTATATCAATTTGTTAAGATGCAATTGAACAATTTATGCGATTTGATTCAATGTTGTTGTAACTTGGAAGCAAACAAGAGTTCTAATCAAATCAAGATAATGAAAAAAAAAATCACACTTTAGTGGTTTAGTACTATTGAAACGTTACAAAATAAACAATAAAATTGATTGATGGATGGATTTCTCTGGCTCTGTTTTGATAATCTTGAATGCATCCATTAAAGAATACAAGCCCACAACACATTTGCGACGAGGTAATTGCCGAAAATAAAAAGCCCATTAATCGGATTGTTGATGTTGGGCTGGGCTCTGAGTGCGAAGTCCGATAAACTTGGGCCAAACAAGTGTAAGTTCGTTTTCTCTCAAATGAGAAGTCCACATTTGGTATATTTCCTTACCTTGGAGAGCACATTTTGCCTTCTAGAGCCTCCTTGGTGAAGTTAAGCACAAATTCTGCATTGGAAGTTGGAACCTTTTGGGCTTTTGCCAACTTCATTCATTGACCAAAGCGTGTGCAACTGTTTTGAATCGCACCGGAACAAATCGATATCTGGACGGATTAAATCAGGATCTATCACAATGTGTTTCGATTCTCGGTTATACAAATTTTATGAATGTTAAAAAAAGAAAAAAATTAATATTAAAGTCAGATCAAACGGGAGCAAATAAAATGACGATTCGATTCTTGATTCTCTAATTTCATTTACTATTAAATTGCGATTTTCATAATTTGATCAGATTAGCACCGGATCAAACTGTTGCGATAGTATTCATGTGCGGAGCTAGAAATCTGAATGAGAAGAGAGTGACTTGAACTATGATAACAAACAGGGGTTAAGTTCTTATTAACTACTTAATTTTCTAATTCTATTACAAATATAATTTTACGTGTTTACCAAAATTTAGAGTTATAATTCCTCCTATCCGGCTCCTCAAATGCAAGAATGATTTGTAGAACGAGTATAGAACTTGTCATCATGGTTGGAAGCAATCGGCGACTTGGTGACCAAACCAGAAGAAAGAATAAGGAAAGGAAATAGGAAGCAGGAGGACCCAAAAAAAAAAACTAAAAGGAAACTTGGGGCATTTTCAACTTGGCTGTCCTCTACCCAGTTGCCACCTTCCTTCCCTCCAAGTTGCAACCAACTAAACCCGAAGAAGAAGAAGAAAAGTGAGAGTGACCAATAAACCCTAAACAAAATCCACACACAATCTCCATCTCCCCCGGGAGCTCTATCCCGTCCGATCTTGAACCCGGCGAACGGACCAAGCTGGGAATCATGCGACAGACGCTGCTGATCTTCCCGGAGGTTCGTGTTTGTAACTTTTGGCTGTTGTCTGCTGTTTATTGACACACTGCCTGGCGTTTTGAATTCCGTTTCTGGGTCTTTATGAGTTTTCTTGCTGCCAACAGTGGTTTATGCTAGCGTAACGAATTGGGTTCTCTTCGAAATATGGGAATCGATCGAGCACTGCTTCTGGGTCTTGTTCTTGCCTTGCTCGTCTTCGTTGACTTCTCATGGGCTGGTTCAGAGGTAATCAATGGAGGTTTCAGCGTTTGTACTGTTTGGATTCAGTTTTTTTGTACTTCTTCTCTTGGTGTAGGGTGAATTGATTTCGTTAAGCTTGAACTGATTAGGTGGATGTTAAAGGAAATCCGGTTCCGAACTTGAAAAGCGCCAATAACTCAAACGAGAAACCAATTGAGTCAAAATTAGGTTCAGATCCTGTTACTGATGTTAAGCAGAAGGAAAAGAAAACGGAGGAGGGGAAAGTAAGTGAAGCGGATCAAGTGAGGAAGCCAAAGGAGGCTGCTGTTAGTGATGATGGACAGCGGAATGATTCGAAAACTGAGAATAAAGAGACTGATAATGGAAAGAAGGGGAATGCTGATTTAGATGTGCAATTGCAATCGAAAACTGTTGATGGTAATCAAAAGGAGGGTAAGGATGGTGAGAAAGAACCTAAGCTGGATGTGGACACAAAGGATGGAAAGAATGGCGTCCCAGCGGATCCTTTGCCGAAAACCGGGAAGGAGATTTCCCGTGGCGAAGAATGTGATCATTCCAACAAGTGCGTGATTGAGGACAGCAAGCTGGTTGCTTGCATAAGAGTCCCCGGGAATGGTACGTAAGTAGTAGTTCACTCTGAATAGAATGTGTTGATGTGTCCTGATGTTGGCAAATTTACATGAGTGCTCAAGGAGATTAAGTTGATATGATGTGGAACTTTCGTATGACATAATAGTTGATCAAGAAGAACCCCATTGTTCAATAGTTTTTGAAGTTGGAGTACTTTCGATTTGCTGAGTGGATATTGAAATTGGGAGTGCTCTGATAGCTGATCGATGGATATGCTGTTTCAATTCCTTGATGATTCCGAGAATTTGGTTTCTATCATTACTTTTTGAAGTTTATGGTTTACGTTTTCCCAGTTCTTTATCTTGAAGCATGAATTATGGTTTTGTCATGTCATTTTCGAATTTCTGATCAAGGGTTGCTTCATTTTAAATCCCAGAATCTCCGGATCTATCACTTCTAATTCAGAACAATGGCAACGCTCCAGTCAGTGTCACCATTTTGAGTCCAGATTTTGTTCATCTGGAGAAGAAAAACATTCAACTACAGCAAAAAGAAAACAAAAAGGTATGTATTTCCTTGTTTGCTTGCTAATCTAAAGCTCAGGATGTAGATGTTCAGAATTGAACGTTCCTCTCCGTTGTTTTCTTTTCCAGCAAGAGCTTCTCTTGGTTGTGAAAATGATGCCATTACAATATGTTATAATTTTTTAGGTGCACTCTAGTAATGTAGCTCGTTCATGTATTTCGTTCTGCTTAGAACTAGCTTGTCTATGATCGGTTGGTATATGTGAATGTCTCATGCATATGGATGCAAACTTTTGGTACTGTGTTGGAGGGCCATTTCAGAGTCAACCAAGGAAGGGTAGACTGAATCAAGCATAAGAAGTCTTAACTGCATTGCTTCGTGCGCATTATGCTCATATCTCTTTTGCCCAATGATTTAATGCCATCTCTTGTATTGCATGTTCTGAACTGTTTACCTCACCAACTTTAGACAATGTGCACTAGACTTCTCTTGGTTTGACTGCAAATGGCATTTTGTTGGCCATAAACTATTCAGGTGAAAGTATCCATCGCAGACAGGGGGAGCGACAGCTCCATCGTTTTGAAGACAGCAACTGGCAGCTGCAGCCTCGACATAAGAGATGTCATCGATCATTACCTAGGCGAAGATTCAGACAACTCTCTGGGGGGCTCCACTCAAGCAATCTCCAGGTCAAGGACCCATCTGCTGTACCTTCTCGCATGCTTTGTTGCAGTACCAGTGCTGGTGGGATCAGGCTGGCTGTGCTTCATCCTCTGGAGGAAGAAATTCTCCAATGGCACCGGCGGAAGCTCCAAGTACCAGAGGCTGGAGATGGCTCTCCCAGTCTCAGGTGGCGTCGGGAAAACAGCACAGCCAGAAGCTAACGACGATGGATGGGACAACAGCTGGGGCGATGATTGGGGTGATGACGAAGAGATGCCTAAAACTCCATCAATGCCTCTCACCCCAAGCGTCTCGGGGAAAGGTCTTGCCTCTCGACGGTTAAACAAAGATGGATGGAAAGACTAGATGGATTAGCAGAAGATTCTGCAACAGAGGAAAATCTTGATAGACCAAACCGGGAGGGTTAGGAAGATCTTGCATCCAAATTTTTGTTTCAGTTATGAGACTCGAAACATATCCCACGAGTCCACGACCACGAGCTGCTGTGTTTTCCTCTTTCTTATTCTGTCATTTTTTGGGGTCACTGGAAAGGTCTTCGTATGATTATGAGCCTAATCAGAAGGTAGCTTACTGATTTTATCAAAAGATTAGAGTGCACTTCTACTGTTAAGAGTTGAGCGTAGTAACAAGGAGAACAATATCCTAGTGGAGATTTCAGATTTGTTGTTCTTTGTTTTATGAAGAAAAATTCTGGCCGAGCCTAGGGCCTAGTTTTTGCAAAAGTCCTTCGAAGCCCAGTTACAAAGCTCCATATAACCCAAGTATAAAGTAGGCCCACGATGCAAATGATTCCATTCGTATCTATTTGGGCCAATATATGATACTGGACTTCTGAAAATGTAAGAAAGGAGAAAACAGTCAAGGCCCACATATGAGCTAGTGATGGTCATCTCATGGTCATGGGTGTGTTAAATTAAAAAATTAAGTGAGCTAGGTCGTCTCTATGAGTGTTTGTTGCCACTGGAGGAGCAATCATAGACGACATTCGCAAGCTGGCCGGTCTTCTTGAGTTTAGTTATTACTCACATATTACTCGTCGAGTTAATAGAGCAGCTCATTTTGTGGCCAAAAACGCTCTTTAATCGAAAGTTCGATAATTAGTCGACTTCCGCCCGTGGTTAATCTCTGTACTCTGACTTTGTTTCCAGACTTTCGTCTGGTTTTGACTATGTAAAAAAAAAAAGTAATTAATTTTGAAATAAAATGAATTATTTAGTTTCTTTTTCAATAACGCTAATACATCTAACCAAATTATATAAAAAGTATTACTTACTAATCAAAGAAATTTTTTTCGTCTTAAAAAAAACCAAATAAATTTGGCAGTGCCATGAATTCTGTTTTGTTGGACCATGAGAGGTGAGGACAAATGACATAATTATTTCCTCTCCAAATCGCTAATTTGCCGTCGTGTACCCATAAAAAACAAAAACCTTGTTATGGGCAATTCATTATTGTCTGCAAGTAGGCGTTCTGTTAATTATTATATTAAAACAAATCCTTTTACATTCCATGTAAAACGAATAATAATTCTTCTATAATATGAACATCATAATTTCACAAAAATGCATTATTTCTTCCGATTCCCGTAATTTCAGCTGCATCAGCAAAAACAACAAGACAAACAAATGGCCATGTGAGCCGCGAAGCTGGCCACGTATGAGGAGCCCATTGGACCACGTAGGATGCGCCACATGGCGTTTCCTGTTTTGGTTTTTGCTCCCGTCCCAGGTTCTCCGTTCCCCGTAACGCCGTTTTGCTGTATCATCCATTATGCATGAAATGCCCGGCGACCGGCGAGGAAGCGGAGGGGAGGCTCGCACGTGGCGGGGCCCAAATCGGGGGAAGATTGTCAGTGTGCACGTGCAGCCACATGAGGATTAATTACTGCATCCTCCTCCCCACGTGTCGGGACCTCGCCGCGAAACCACTTGACGGACATGCCGATCACCGTCGATGGTGAATTTGCGTGATTGAAGGCTTGGCTCGTGGGAATCGTGGATGGGACATGGACTTACATCCTCACACAAAGTCTGCATCGGCGCAGATTTAGAATAGGGTAGAGCACTGGGCCGTATACGAGAAAAAATTAAAAAATAATTGGGTCGTAACTCGACGTGAATATAAACGAATATCTAAAATCGGAAATTTACAAATGCTATACTAGCTATCCGAATCTCGAGAAGGGCTGGGCCGTGGCTCCGCCGCTGCAAGTCTGGACCCTACCAAGGGAATTACGGCTGGCCGGATGGAGGCTAGCGAATTGGTAGTTAGAATAATTATTAGACAGCATAAATATAACTCGAGTTATCGAGAGAGAGTTTTAATTATGAGTCATTCTCATTCATCAACATGTTTGCTGAAGAGAAAGTTACTCATGTAAATTTAGAGTTTGCACTTGCATCATGTTTATCGACGGGGATTGTCGAGATTCGAATAGCAAAAACATTTCACTAACACAATTAGTTAACCAAATTAGTTCTCATAATTAAGCAACGAAGAAACATGCTTTCTGATTACCCCATATTTTACAAGGAAGGATTGCAGCATGGAAGTTGTCGTGTAACGAGACAGTGATCTCTGACCATTAGGTAATGGAATCGGATAATTGTTATTTGTTGGGTAAAAATATTATATTGACCTTTGTCGTCGTTTTGCTGAGAAATGAATAAAGAAAAGAACTGGTGGCGCAAATTGGGCATATGAAAGGGTTGGAAAAGTCCAAAAATGGGGGACGTAAAATCTGCCACAACTGCACATGATCGGAGATGAAAATCGGGGGGGATTGCAGCAGTCGGTGGAAAACGTTAGAAATCTGGGATTCTGGTGTCGGGATTTGCAGACCAAAAGGATCAAACATGCTTGAATTCGGCAACTGTGCTGCTGCGGTTGTGGGGCTCTATGCAAAATATATGCAATGCACTTAAATTTACCAGGTCTGTCGGCCTGTTGCATGCATATTTATCCATCACCCTCAATCTAAACTGTTCTTTTGGCGTTTCACATGTAGCTACTAACAAAAACTGTTTAGATATTTGATATTGGTAGCTAGTGAAGAAATTTCGATAATATATAAGAGAGGCGCGATTGTCTATAGAATCATCATAAGAGATGTGTAACGGCGTCGTTCACTCGTCTCGAGCATTGGATGCTAGTTTTTGATAGTGTATGAGTTTCTTTCAAGGATGAATTTTAAAGTGTTATTAGTACGGAGTCCATGTTGATTCACAGAAAACGTTCGTTTCGCGTGAATATTCATAAACTGAAAGAGCTACCTAGCTATATAAGTCCATTGAGATTTTCGCGCGCGCAGGATCTTTCACCAACATCTTTACTTTTAATGGAATAAGATGATTATTAATTAGTTCGATTCTCAGTTAACACAGAAAGGAATTGTCAACGACACTCCTGTTTGTGAAAAGAGATAAAAACACGTATGATTCGTCATTTCTATATAATTTGATTCGATGATACAAGTTACAACTACAATTACAACCAAAAAGATGGAGTGGAAAATTCAAGGGAGAGCACTCTTAAGATTGTCTTATGCAAGCACAAATTTGGTGACAAACTTTAGTGGAGTCTTATTGTGATAAGTAGCGCAATCAATGGTGATAAAGTGGTGTTTTATATATATATATATATATATATATATTACTAGTATTAATTCAATCAAATTTAACGTTGCATGTGTATTATTTGGTTGTTGGGATATCATTGTCAAGAAAAGGACTGAAAGGACCCCAGTAGAAAAACTGACGTGCGTCGCGTCGAGATATATCCTAACCGGTGGAAGCTATAAAAAGATGAAAGCCCAATTAGTTACTAATCATTAAACAATTATCGGTTTGGTGAAATAATTGTATGTCTCGAAATGGGAGTGAGTTCAGGTCAATTTGTCGGTAAGACGTAGAACCAGGAGCAAATTCTCTTTTTAGATAAGTATTAGAGGGATACAAAGAAAAACAAAACATCAAAACGTGGGAGAAGCCGGCAGTCGGAATGTAGCGATGTCCGATTAACAGGCCGCCGACGTTTTGTTTTGTTATTTACCGGCCGATGGTCCCCGTCAGTAGTCACGAGACAACTCTGGCAAATTTAGTATTTGGTATTTGTATAAAGTATTGGTGTTTTAATTTATAATTTGAAGTGGATACCATAATTTTAAATGTATAAGGTCAGGTTGTACCATAAAGAAATTTGTACACTTATGTTGTAGTACAACTTTACAACTTAAAGTTGTACCATCACATAAAGGTACAAGTTCAAGTTGTACCATAAACGAATTTGTACAAAAAAGTATATGTACAATATGAAGTTGTATCATAACGTTAAAAGTACAACTTCAAGTCGTACTATAAAAGTAAAAACCTATAGCACTGTAAAATTCCTCATTTGTATTCACGTTGGGTTTTCAAGACTTATCATTTTGAAGGATAACCTTTTAGAAGTTATTGGAATTCCTCATTTGTAATCACGTTGGGTTTTCAAGACTTATCATCATTTTTGACGGATAATGTAGAAATTGATGACGCGGAATTGAAACGAACACAAAAGACAACGATTTTACGTGGTATCCTCGATCGATTGATTGATCGAGACTAATCCATGCACGGTGAGCTCAGAACGAGCTCATGACTGATATTTTATTAGGGACTACATTGTGACGGCTTGCTTACCACAGGCAGATGGCATCTGAGCTTTTATAGAGAGACTTGGGGTTAAAACTCTAATGACAAACAAGTTCATTCTTTTACCATGACAATGAAACAAGGGACTTGTATGACAATTGACAAGGAATTAATTACTTTTGACGAAGTAATTAATATCCTCAACAGATAACTTTTTAGAAGTTATTGGAAAGAGCCGTAAATCCTAATTACTTGTAAGTTTTATAAATGTTGATGATCGAGATAGAAGTGGACTCGACTATATAAAATATGACGAGTCGTAAAATAAACCAACATGTTGCATGTATGCACACGAACTCATCAGTAGTTGTTGAATCAACTCGCTAAATTAGCGATTCATGTGAAGTGAACGTTGACTCATTGTATTAGTGAACCATAACCAAACGTCCCCTATGCTATAAATTCCGAGCAGCAGCCACTACAGCTAATGCTATAACATCACCAAACAGATGGTAGTGCTCAAATGAAAAAAGACCCAAAAGGGAATTGGTCTAAGCTATTTACCTCTTAGGTAGTGAAATCATGATCAGTGTAACCAAAATTCAGGATTCAGCAATGTTTCAGAATATCACAAGGCAACGAAACAGTCCAACAAATCATGCAGCAAGAGGTTATAATGATGAGATGGTAATGGAAGAAGCACTTAAATTGGGTTTATAATTAGTGGTGGAAACCAAGATTTTGAAGAAGATTTTGCTTCTACTCAGTGGTGGCAGGTTGAGAAAAGTTGGCAAAAACACCATCTCATGCTCACATACCGGCTAACAAGCTGGTCCATCTCCTTCAAACTAGATGAATAAATTATAGTATTCGGACAATAAATTATGACGCGCCAGAGATCATTAACGGTTGAGGTAATCTTGAGTGATTGAGCCATGTCGTGTATCCCTCAGCGTACTTTCAAATAATACGATCAATTATATTCCTTTTCTAATTTTCACAGTGAATGACATATGTAATTGTAATCATGGGAATGAAATGTATGAGTATGCCCCCTCAAACGAAAGCCAACTCATGAGCTTGAAGTTTGCCTTGGGGGTCGTGGAGATTCGAACACACGACTACTTGGCCAAACCAGCTCTGATACCATGTCATAAACCAGTTGGTCCCAATAACTCGAGTTGTTGGGAGAAGGTTCTGCTGGATCTTATACCACACTCTAACAACACTAACACGACCCCTCAAACGAAAGCCACTCACAAGGGCTTGAAGTTTGCACAGGTCTGAAGACAATAATAGTAGAATACCATGTGCTTCACAAATGAGGATCACCGAGAATCGAACACAAGACCTCTCGGTCACAGAAGGCTCTGATACCATGTCAAGAACCAGTTGTTCCCAATAACTCGAGTTGTTGGGAGAGGTTCAATCGTTGATCATATACCACACACTAACATGTTTGACAATATCCAATACACTGATATTGGAGGGGGGCACACGATAAAGGTAAAAGCCTTGCAGGTCCCAAATGCCTGCATGCGTTCTTCTTTTTCTTTTTCTTTCTCTTTTTTTCTTCTGTTGATTGGTTACACATTTCATAATCATTGTATCTAATTCGCTCGTGCCGGTCTCTCGATCGAGGGTTTCTCTCATGCTGGAAAAGAAGAACGCTCTCAAATCTCAATGATGGGGAACTGTCCTTGGAGCTCCTAAAAAGAGTGAATGTGGAAATAGCTTCTACTGATTACTAAGGTCGGTTTGTTAATTCCCATCACTCGAGTTATGAGAAGGTTAATTATGGATCGTATACAATCTACTACACGTGACCTGAAAGAAAGATCAACTCACCGACTTGAAGTTTGCACAGATCCAATATCTTATCATGTGTTTAAATCAACGATTAATCTTAGGGTCGGGTTATAGAGGTTCGAACACATGGTTATTTAGCCAAATAATATCTGAGACCATATCATAAATCAATTGTCCCAATAACTCAAATTTTTGTAAATAGCCAGTAACATTTGTAATCATCAAATCAAATGGTGTCCAAGTTGATTTCTAGAGAAACTAGGCAGAAAGCCAAACAACATATGCTCTTTTTTAAGTAGAAGATCAAGATGATTTCTAGAGAGAAGGTCTGAAGGTGGAACTAGGAAAATTGTTATATTATCATATTGTCTCCATATAAAAGAGATTAAAGAAATTACCACGTGCTTTCCCTTTTGACATAATAAGTGGAAGAATGATTAATTATTCCAATCAATCATTGAGTATGAGAAAGGAGTTCTTTTGATGGTATGATTTATTCTGGCATTTCTAATAATAACACAAATTATAGGTAACAAACTGCTGCGGATTTTTTTCCATAATGAGGATAGAAAATATAATTAAAATATCAAATAGAGTACAATTAGCAAGAACCGTCCAATATGTAAGTAACATAGTCAACAAAGAACGACCATGATTTGGGGATTTACCCTGTTTTATATTCAATTTTTTTAGATGGGGTTTTGAATTACTCTAATTAAATTAGGTTTCAAGATCATGAAGTTGCCACAGATAAAAAGAAGCTAACTTGATACGTTGAAAATTGAATTCTCTTCGAGAGTAAATTTTGACACGGTCATATTTCTTTCACATTTCATTCTCATGTCTTCCAATTTAAGTTCAGCATCTCTTTCCATCAAAGAATTTCTTCTTTGATTTGGCTATACACAGTAATACACTTACAAAGGATATTTGAACGTTTTCACAAATTTAATTAAGAAAGACCTTCAGATAACAGATCAATTGGCCATATGTAACCCCTTGAAGCACATGGATCATCCCAGCCAGCAATTATAGGATGCCTAGCTCGAATTAGGTGTCAATAAATTGCATATGGTTGCTCCTGTCTCTCTTAATTGTCGATTTCCCACATTTGGATCTCTTCTGATTTCTAAACTCAATTCAAACTAGAGTCAGGGGAATGTCAAAGGAAATGACTCTTCTTAACTTCAGTGTTGGAGATACTTAGGGTGTGTCAGCTTTCTTTTGGATTCGACGAAATGTTGATCATCATCTCCGACCCATTGTTCGAAATCGATAACTAGTATCTGGAGGTGAATGATTCCGTCAGTATAATTCAATATTTGACAAATCAATCTCTTTTTCCCCCCTCCATATCGTAACATTGTTTATATTAATGCATTAGTTCATATAATATAACATTGTGCTGTGTAAATGAAAGGAAAGGAAAACGGGGCATACTATTTGTTGCTCTAAAACCTTGAAATTAACTCAACTACCTCTAACTCGAAATTTCTCAATCATTCTTTTCATCGTCGTCGCCTACCGTTGTCAAACTCGTCGAATAGCCGTCACCAGCTTCGCATCGATATTCACGTTTTCTTCTGTGCACTCAACTAAAGGAGACTTACTCTCTTTTTCCTTCTACTTTGGATTCTCATAAAAAAATTCCGATTTTCGCGAAGGTGGTGAAATGCATAAACTATATGCGAAGTGTGAACATTACAAAGAAATCAATTGATGCCATACCACAAGGCATCAACCTTACCCCCAACCTTTACCTTGGTAGTCTCCCCCCCAAAAGAATTCCTTTGCTTTGTTTTCTGTAGTGGCAGTGGGAATGGTCAAAAAGAAAAGTGCATCAAACACTGAAGAGAAAAAGGGTGCAAGAGATGAGTCGTAGAAGCAGAGTTTTGAGGTCTCCCACAAATTGCAGTCTCTTTGTCTGTTTGTCTATCTTTCCCATTGCCACTTATGAATGCAAGGCTTCGAAGTTAGAACTTAGGAGTTAGAAGACAGACCCTTTTTGCTTTCCCATTGGCGACCTTAATTTGCAGTCTTCTTCCTTTCTTTTATTTTCCCGACGAATCCCTTTTCATTTACCTCTTAAACAAAGTACCTCAAACAATAAGATCGGATAAAGATTGAATTGGGAGTTGAGGGTTCTATCCCGTTTCATGACTCTCACATTTAGAATGATGAAAGATGTGAGAAATAGACTTCCATGAAGCTAATAAAACTTAGAAATTTGAGATTCTGTAATAATTGACGAGATTTGTTGACGTAGGAAATAACATCAGCTCTTTGTGTCAAATTTAACTGGTCGTTTGGATGGATCAATCTAGAAATGAGTCAATTTGATCAATTGTCTCGTTTTACAAACGAGGCAATTAAAACGAGTCAATTCGAATTACCTGCCCCCACCCCAGGTAATTGAAATTGACTCAAAATGGATCAATTGAAAATACCTTAGACAGATTGATACATCCAAAATTTTTGCTGACAAACGAGGAAATTTAGTACAATTGTCTCAAAACGAGACAATTGTGTCAAATTGATCCGTTACTATTCCTCATCCAAACGACCCATACGCGTTAATCCTAATAATATGTCACGAGGACAACATAGTATTTGCAAGAATTCATTTTCATCATATTTCAAACAAACAGTAAGACATGATGAATCATTTCTCATCTTCGGAAATACTATCATGAATATTCCAGTTCTCATTCGAGATGGAATTCAAATCTCGAATGAATAATATATGAATATGTCGTCATGAGGAATAGAAAGAGTCTCGTAACGATCCCACATCAAATCCAAATCGATCGAAGTAGAACACAGAATCATGACATAAAAACTGAAACCTTAATCAAACTAGACACTCATGCAAATGCATATGCATGTAAAGGCAATCCCACCTAACTCATACAGGACTACTAACTCAATAACTCATGCATGTGTTAGTGTCACTATTAATTGTATACAACCTAAATGTGGCCGGGAAAATTAACTCCGACGGACCAAAACTCCTCTCTTTTCTTTTCCTTCCGGCAGTTTCAGAGACCACGTGGCCGAAGCTCATGTAACGTACAGTAAATCTATTCTCTCCCCCGTTCATTCCTTCTTTTCCCAAACAAGCTGGCTAGCTGCATCGGCTAAATTATTACAGGTTTTTTTTTTTTTACCGGTGGACAGCGCGGTGGAGAGAAAGCGGGTAAATAAATAGTAAAAACGGCCGTGGCCGTGACAGAACCGGCGCCCTCATTCCTATTATCTGTCGAGATCTACTGTCTTTTTATTATGTTCCAGATACTTTAGATTTTAAATTAATTTTTTTTTTTTTATAAAAGGTAGTGTGAATTTATGGATTAGTTAATTTGGGCTGATATCTCTTTTTTCCGGCGGATAGACCGTTGATTGCGGTTGGAATAAAGCGGGCTCTGAACACTCCTGGGACCCTGTATTTTGTTTGACCGCACCATCTCCTTTTGTCATTTTCTGCTAACTTTGTTCTGTTAATTGATTAATTAATTTTTAACCCAGGATTAAAAAAATGTATTTGATTATGAAGACGAATATAATATGAGGGAAGTGGGACTTGTGGACTTGATGAAATGGGCCGGAGGGAGGATGATGGGCCTGGCCGGCGGGGAGGGAGTGTCGGTGTGGTTTAATTTTATGATGTGAGTGACAAGTAAGGTAAGGGAGTAATGATGGGCGTGTGTATTGTGTCGACCTGTCGGATTTGAGAAGAATCATATATCAGACCGAAAATGATCAATACAAATTGTTCAAAATTAAAGATAAACATCTATAAATAATAAGATTAATTGAAAGCTTCTTCCTCGAAAACTAAGTTTCTTCACTCTCCACTTCATAATATCAACTTCATTTTAAACAATTAGAAAGAACAAATTATACATGTCTCCACAAACATAAAAAAATATTAGTTATCTAAAGAAGATATATTATTTATAATATTAAATATACCGGAAAAATAATTATATGTGTGTGGGCGGGTACCCATGGGGCGGGTTTACCTAAACCCAAACCCAACCCAATCTAATGAATAGTATAGCGGGTTTAAACCCGAACCCGACCCAAAACCCGTCAACATGGATTTTACCCTCGTTGACCGGATTGGGTCGGGTGGATACCCGTGGGTTCGAGTTTTGTTACCATCCCTGGATGGGGGAACTGAGTTTACAGCCCAAACTTGTAGGACATTGTTCCCACGAAGCTGCCTTGCCTGCACACGTACTGGATCTCCTCCAACTCACCGCCAAATCCTTCATTTATTGCACACTTCTCTTGTTATTCACCTGATGTTACATCCAGAGCCAGGGGTGGGATTGGAAGTTAGATATGATCATTATCAAATGATTTTAAAATCACAATGTTCATTTATCATTCTAGAATTGTAACGGTGCACGATCGGTTATCGTTCGAGGCGCGAACAATGCCTCGTAATCCGATTCCTCGATCATTTCTCATCTCGACATCCGTTTTTTTCAATTTGAAGAATTCATTGGGGAGGTTGGGATCGAGGGAGTTGGGGAGGTTCGAGCACGACCATGCAAACCTGCCGAATGAGTACTTCAAAGGCTGTCTTGCACCCAATAGATAGCTTGTTGTACGATTTTATCCCCATCTCCGTCTTTTCATTGTTGAAATCGTGATTGTTTCGTTCTCTCCAGGATATACCACTAGGTTGCACTGAATTCTCGAATATTTTCTTATGGAGGAAACTTCGAAAACGTAACCGAGCAAATTCAAACTGCGCAAAGAAGATTCGACGATGGTATATGAACATTGCACTTAATGTAATGAATAGGTAACGAAAATATGTACTAATATAAAATTTTAAACCCCTACAGAAATGAAAAATAAAAATAAAATAAAGAACACATGCACATATAGTTTTACCTCTGTCAGCCAGATTTTTTTTTTTTTAAATGTTTGGGTATTAATTAGCTTACTGTTGTTGTTTCATTAATGTGGTTTTGAATTTGAAAATTATGATAGAGAAATAGCCAGCGATGATGATAAAGAGATTTGAATTGTTATTATAACCCAATGATTCAAATTTGAATTAGGGAGTGTGGGTTTGATTTCCTTCAAGAAAAATTACAACAGGAGAAGGAGAAGGAGAAGAGTATCTGAAGAAATTGCTGCGAAGATGGCAATTTAATGCAGCTGTGCGGTATATACCGTAACTGTGAAGATAGAATACGGATTCAGAATCCAGCCCAGGCCCAGCAGAGCACAGAAGAAAAATATACTATTTATTTTTTCCCCCTCTTTAGTTTGGCAATTGGCATAATGAAGTTTTGAATATGAAATTTGAATTTTTGTAATATAACTTTTTATGTTGTAAATGGGATACACACTCGTAACCCGGTTAGGCATTTTCGATTACCCAATTGATCGAGGATGAAGGGCTTCTGATATGTGTATGTCCAACATTTGTGTATAGCTCCGCATACTGGGTGGTTGAAATGGCAACTTGCTGGAATGGGCGCATAATGGGTTACCCCTCGAACGGTGTTCTCGTGAGCAACAATGTCTAACTCGATGAGTGACACCTAAAGGGATCGCCTCGAATAAGATCACATTACGCAACATTATAGGGTCCTACGGACCGTGGATTAATGCATAAGGATGAGGTCATCATATGTATTAACAATCTTAGTAACCTTTCTCTTATTGGAGATTAAAGGGCATTGATGGATTCGAGCCATGAAATGGGTCATGTTGTGTTTTCCTTAGTGATATGAGGGTAACAGGGCAATATCGAGCGTATCCCTGAGTTTTCATGCGCGTGTTCAAGTGATAAATCAATTTAATCTCTTTTAACGGCTATGCACTTATGTTTATCGATTCAGATTCTCGATCAAAACTACCGTCCCCTACATTATTTCTTAGTCCCAAAATTAAGTAAGAACTAAGAACATAAGGTAAGAATGGTGATTGTACCAATATATACGTGTGCTAAAGACACGAATGGGATCAAAACTCAATTAGTTAAAATATGCCTAAAGATCAAAATGATGAGATTAACATGCAGCATTGGATCATTATTGTAGTAATCACATTGGAACAAATTACAAACGAAAACCAAGGACAGTGTGGGGATTAGATTATATATTGAATGAAAATTCATGCCCAAAAGACACGAATGGGGGACAGTTCCTGAAATCGCTTTTTTTGACTCTTCTTCTTCTTCTTCCGGTAATTATGCCACAAACTTTTCAATTGCCTTCCAACTAGTTTGCCCCTCATTCCTTTCTTTTTCCTTATTATTTTTTATTAATTTTCGTTACCTTATTTATGTTTAGCCAAATTAATCCCCTACTTTTAAGTTGTCTCACAAATGACAATGTTTAAGTGTACTTTAGTACACAAAAGGACGCATTAATTTCAATCCCTTTTTGCTTTTTAGCTTTCAAGAAAGCTCGACGCATTACTGCATTAGCATTACCCACTGAAGTCTAAACCGAGAGAAATACTGTTTGGTTTCCGGAAACAAACAAAAATTCTTTTTGGTTTCTCACTCTTTTTCCCCCATTAGTTTGTATTTTTTTTACCCTTTAGTGAGGCAAATGGCAATAGTAAAATAGTAAAAAAAAAAAAATGTAAAAATGCCAAAAGGGACGTTAATAAATCCACACCGACCTTCCAGTGAAGCGCCAAAGAGACACCCACATGACTCTGTTCTTTCCTTCAACCGTTTCTCTCCACTCCTGCAAATGAGAAAATAATTAACACATTTTATTCAAAAAAAATAAATTTCGATTCATTAATGGAGGCCTGCCAATTTCTGCCTCTTGGGCTACCTTCCTTTTTTTTTTCCCTCCTCGATATATAGTGGCTTGAGCTCCTCCACACACTCACAATCCCTTATTCCTCCTTCCTTCCTTCCTCCAGCCATTTCCTTTCTCTCCCGCACCTTGGTTGTGTGCTTTATCAGAAGTTTTTAGCTGATAATCCACAACCCACATTGCCTAATTAATCCACTCTTAAGTGTGGATTAGTGAGTGCTTAAGCTTCCCTGTGTACATCATACATTTTTCTCTACCTGTCTCTGTTCTTCCCCTGTTTGAGCAGAGATAAGAGTAGCCGCCTGCTACTGCATTTACTGAAAAGTGGAGGAAAGAAGGAACAACCCATTTTCGCTGTGTAATTATACAGTTATGGAGAAGTCTGCGAGGCGAATTTCAGCTGCTGCTGCTCCCCTGCTTCTTCTGTTCTTACTCTGCTCTCTCCACTCTGCTTTCGCCGGCCATGACTACGGCCAAGCTCTCAGCAAGAGCATTCTCTTCTTCGAAGCTCAGCGCTCTGGGTTCCTCCCCCATAACCAGAGGGTGACTTGGAGATCTAACTCTGGCCTCAATGACGGCAAAGCCAGCGGGGTAAGCTTTTAAAAAAAAAACACTTCGGTGAGAGAAGTGAGAAATTTAGTCTGATTTTTTTAGGTTCCTATTTTTTTTACAGGTGGATCTGGTCGGAGGGTACTACGACGCCGGCGACAATGTGAAGTTCGGCCTCCCCATGGCGTTCACCGTCACGATGATGTCGTGGAGCATTATCGAGTACGGCAAGCAAATGGCTGCCAGCGGCGAGCTTCACAACGCCATGGAAGCTATCAAGTGGGGAACCGACTACTTCATCAAAGCTCACCCGGAACCCAATGTTCTCTACGGAGAGGTAAACAAAAACGAAACACCTACTCTCAGCTCTGAGCTTCACTCTGCTTTCCGGTGAATGTTTTTTTTTTCCTTGCCTTTTTCGGTAATCACGGTATTTGATTTTCTATTTGCGTTTATGGTCATTTTCAATTGGGAATTCTCTTTTGGCGTATACTAATTAGTGTTTCCTGTTTGGGGGAAAATCTTAATTTTATTAATTGATAACTAATTTAATTGAATTTGGTTTCGATGGTTAGGTCGGCGACGGGAACACCGATCACTACTGCTGGCAAAGGCCCGAGGACATGACCACCGACCGCCGTGCTTACCGGATCGACCCGAGCAATCCCGGGTCGGATCTCGCCGGAGAGACAGCCGCCGCCATGGCCGCCGCCTCCATCGTCTTCCGCCACTCCAACCCGGCATACTCCCGCGAGCTCCTCAACCACGCTTATCAGGTAAGCATCAAATTGATCCCGCCGGAGCTGCGGCCGACACTCAACTCTGTAGCCGCGTATTTTAGTGTAGAAACGGCGTAAGGTAGCATTGCATTTATGGCGCATGGTAACGCAGTTGGGACTTCCAGCTTTTTGGTCTGGCTGGTCGTTGCCGCTGAGATAGCGCCGCATTAATGGCGCACGGTAGCGCAGAACTCGAAAAATACTAATTAAAAAATTAATCAGAACCTTAAGCATGTTTTCATCTTAATAATTAATAATCATGATATTGCCGTCATTGGGTTTATCAGCCCATCACTGTGTTGCTTTCTTTGGGCCCTAAGCCCATCCTGTCAAATATGCGTGTAATTATGTTATATACCTAAGAAAATTGGTAGTATTAATTATTTCCAATTATGAGGAAACAGCATTAATTACTAATTTACTATCCCCCTTGGCGCATGTTGCGGATCTCTTTTGGTCCGTCTATCACGGGGATTGTCTGATAACCGTACAGATTTGTTATTGCCTCCCGTTAACTACGATCTGAACCGTCCACGTATAATTACCCGGGAAAACCGGGAATTAGTTACCCGCCAAGCCACGTGACCACTGTCGGTGGCACTGACCGTATTGTTTTTCATAACTGCCCATCCAATTCTTGTAAATTACACCACGTGCCACTGAGCAGTTTCCCTTTACCGAACTTCCTCTTGTTTTCTGCAGCTCTTCGATTTCGCCGACAAGTACAGAGGCAAATACGACAGCAGCATCACCGTCGCCCAGAAATATTACCGCTCCGTCAGCGGCTACAATGTCAGTAAAACTCTTCTTACACAATTTACCATCCAATTCTTTTTTTTTTAGTTTTACCTTTTCGTGGGTTTAACCTTGTTTGATCAAATTCCTGCAGGATGAATTACTGTGGGCAGCAGCTTGGCTCTACCAGGCTTCCAACAACCAGTACTACTTGAACTACCTTGCAGCCAACGGCGACGCCCTCGGCGGAACCGGCTGGGGCATGACCGAGTTCGGCTGGGATGTCAAATACGCCGGCGTTCAGACCCTGGTCGCCAAGGTTTGTAACACTTGCCAGACCGTTTCATTTGACACTGAGATTGAATTACTTGGCAATTGGACTCTAAAATACTATTACGCAATTATGCAGTTCTTGATGCAAGGGAGAGCTGGCCCTCACGCCGCGGTCTTCCAGAGGTACCAGCAGAAGGCAGAGTACTTCATGTGCGGCTGCGTCGGGAAGGGGAGCAGGAACATCCAGAAGACACCGGGAGGCTTGATCTTCAGGCAGAGGTGGAACAACTTGCAGTTCGTCACCAGTGCGTCTTTCCTCGCCACGGTCTACTCCGACTACCTGTCCTCGGCTCGCAAGTCCCTGCAGTGCTCTGCTGGAAATGTGTCTCCTTCTGAGCTCTTTAGCTTCGCCAAGTCTCAGGTGGACTACATTCTTGGCGACAACCCTAGGGCAACGAGCTACATGGTTGGGTATGGCAACAACTATCCTCAGCAGGTTCACCACAGGGCGTCGTCGATCGTGTCGTTCAAGAAGGACCCTAGGCCGATCAGCTGCCGCGGAGGGTATGCCACTTGGTTCAGCAAGAAATCGAGCGACCCCAACCTGTTGACTGGTGCCATTGTCGGTGGTCCTGATGCTTATGACAATTTCGCTGACCATAGAGATAACTATGAGCAGACTGAGCCTGCTACTTACAACAATGCACCTCTTCTGGGTATTCTTGCTCGTCTTGGTGGCGGACATGGAGGCTACAACCAGCTCCTCCCAGGTAATGACTTGAAGAAATGACCTCTCTTTGTACTTAGGAAATGAGTTGTGGACATGGTTTTTTGATTGGTGTTGTTTGGTTTTTTTGTTTCTGCAGAAGTTGTTGTTTCTGCTCCAAGACAGCCCACTAGAGCTCCAGCTGCCAGACCTGTTACCCCTGCTCCAGGTAATTCAAATTTACCCTTCTGATTCTTCTCCAATTGGTTAAGAACGTTTCGTGTCCATATGCTAACATTCTACGATTTTCGCTGCTTCTGCTGCAGTTTCGACTTCTGCAGCACCTATCGCCCTTGTTCAAAAGGTGACTGCTTCGTGGAAATCTGGAGGCAAAACTTACTACAGATACTCCACCATTGTGACCAACAAGTCACCCAAGGCACTGAACAGCCTCAAGCTATACATTAACAAGCTCTACGGTCCGATCTGGGGTTTGACGAAATCGGGGAACTCTTATGGCTTCCCATCATGGATCAAGTCACTGCCGGCTGGGAAAAGCCTCGAGTTTGTCTACATTCATTCTGCTTCTCCTGCAGATGTCTCTGTTTCGAGCTACACACTGGCTTGAACAAGAAGATGAACGAAAGAAAAGGGTTTGGAAAGCAAAACCAAAGACGATTTACGGCATTGTGAATTTCAGTAACTGTGCAGCTATATATATACTTCTGGAAGAACGGCAAAAGGATTTGCAGGCAGGGGTGGTCCAAATTTTTGTTTTGGTTGCCTTCCCACCTCGTTTCTCTTTACGTTTTTTTTTACTATTGTGGGATCTTCTCTGCATCTTATATTATGTTGAAGTTTGGAGGATGAAAGGAGCGAAGGGACGACGGTTTGAAGGACGAAAGGAGAAAGTGCTCATCCTCTTTCACCTCCTGCTTCACTGCTACAGCACTCGTGTCATTGTTGTTCTATAGGTCGTCTATCTCTATATAGGGGTTTTGAGAGAAAAAGGGAGAATGATTTGTTTGGTAGTGAGTGAGTACGGGGAGAAGAAAAGGCTTCTCTCGACTTCTCAGATTGCTGTTTGCGGAAGAATGTCTTTTGATTACTTTTCAGCTTTCTGGTCTTTGTTTCGTTGTTGTAAGCTCTGCAACACCACTTTTTGAGGTTTGTGAAGATTTAGTTTGTGGTAATCAACATTGTTGTCTCTCGCCTTCTTGCCCAACGCTCTAATCCAGGTAGCTAATTTGGTAGAGCTAGCTCAAGTGGCATGAATGTTGGCCTGCTGCTTTTCTTGTCGCGATTCAGGGTTCGAAATTTGCCTTCCTCTCCTTGCTTGTGTACACCACAGGTTGGTTTTAAGCTAGTCTTGTGATGGGTGACTATCCAGCACGGTTTGGTTGATGTGCCTCTTCATTTCAACCACAAGGCGAAGTTTGCCTCCTAGGCTCGCCTTGCTTAGCTTCATTGTTTAAGGTTAGATAACGGTTTGGGATACGGCCAGTAATTATTGGTTACTGACCTATAAGTAACTAAATCTGGACCTTTAGATCTAAGTGGACCCAGAAAATTCAAATCTAAGGGTTGTGAAATAAAAACATTTTTTTTCTTAATCGGCTCTTATCTTCTTCGTTCTAACTCGGATTTCATTCCTCTTCGTTTTTAAGTCGTTTTTTAAAACGTTTGCTCAAAAAGAACAAGTTCATCATGATCTATTGGATCTACAAATTTCTGGGTGAAAAAATACATGACCAAAAATTACCATACTTTACCACTATGGTATGTGGATGGTAACTTGTGATAAACAATGATGAAAGTCGTAAATGACAATATACTCCTACTATCGTGTATTCAACCTTCCTACCAAATTGGTATGTTCATACCATCATGATACGCTTTCTTACATATGGTATTAAATAGAAGCATACCATATGTTATTGACTGGTAAAAAATGACTCTTTTTTTTGTTCAAAAAATATATCAAACTGGATATCATTTTAAAGAGCACAATTAATATGATTTATTTGTACAAAAAAATTTAAATTTCGACTTAAAACGAGAGAGAAATCGTCCGTTAAAGATTAAAAGAGCGAAAATAAAAGAATTTACAAGAGAGAGAAGAATGTTGATGTCATGTTGATGTGAACGAATTACTCATAATTATTCACTCTAAGGTTACTGCCCCGATCCTGACAACACAATTAGGGATTTGAGAAAATGTTGTCTGTGGTAATCAACATTGTTTGTCTTTGTGTTGAAAAATATTTGACACTCTGTAATTTGGGTGGGGTACAAGTACTACTTTTGTCCTGCCTTGTGGTGTCGCCTTTTTTTGATTCATTTATCTTAATGTGTCTCAATATCTATTTATTTAACATATTTTGACTTATTTCAACTCATATTTCTTATGAATAATACTGTAAATAAGTGCAAGACTTCATCTTTCAATTATTGAAGTCAATGAATTTACGTATTATCTCTATCTTTCAATTATGAGCTATTTTTTCTTTTGTTTTATCTATACAAAATAAACACTTTTTTCAAATAATATATATCAAAATGAATCGATATACTCTAATCTGATTGGCACTTAACATGAGACGAATCTTACCAAATCTGATATGAATCTTACCCAATCCAATATGCACTTAACATAAAATGAATATGAATATTGAAATACCGCTAATCGCCATAACTAGATCCAGATGTTATGGCTAGACTAATTCCTCGTACTTGTAACTCGTCTTCCACACAAAGACATGGAGATTTTGGCTACTTCCTGGACTTTAAAAGACGTGAGATCACTCAGAACAAGTCGTGTGCCTAAACTACACTCCCGCCAAAAAACTCGACATAGTTTATCAGCCTGAAGCCCGTTTTCAATTTAAACCCAAAGTTGCAAATCAGTGAGGAGCCGTTTGAGTCTAGGCTTCTTCTTCCTCAACTGAAGCCACAAACCATTTTGCCTCCTCATCGAGGATGGAAGTGTATTATGAAATTTTCCCTTACCGTTTCGAAGATCACAGAATGCTCTGATACCATGTCATAAACCAGTTAATCCCAATAAGTCGAATTGTTAAAAGAGGTTCAATCGTGGATCATATACCATTTATGTTACTCTTGGCAGGCCATCGGAACTTGAGTGACGCAAACCAACAAACCCGCCGCTTCATCGTCGTCGTTTGCATGCATATATAAGCCGGGGTTCAATTTCTTCGGAGATAAGAAATAAGAACTTGCTTAACGTTACTCGTCATTTTCGGGAACTTGATCCTCCTCACTCAGAGAATTGTTCGAAAACTCCATGCCAGACCTTTTTTGGTGGAATTCATCGAGTCGACGAGCTCTTGATATCCCCCAAAGGCCAGGCTCTCTCGCCTACAACCAAAAAAGGGTTTTCTGTCTTGATCCTCCCTCTCGTGTCTTCTTGTCGATTACTTGTGGCATTTTACTTAGGAGGCAAGTCAGAAATTTAAACGAGGTTTTATATAAAAAAAAGTGGTTGAGGGATCTGATTCATTGTGATTGGAAAGGGGTTAGTGTGATGAACCAGTTGGTCCCAAAAAAGGGTTTTCTGTCTTGATCCTCCCTCTCGTGTCTTCTTGTCGATTACTTGTGGCATTTTACTTAGGAGGCAAGTCAGAAATTTAAACGAGGTTTTATATAAAAAAAAAAGTGGTTGAGGGATCTGATTCATTGTGATTGGAAAGGGGTTAGTGTGATGAACCAGTTGGTCCCAATAACTTGAGTTGTTGGGAGATGTTCAATCGTGGATCATATACCACAACACTAACACGCACCCTCAAACGAAAACCACTCACAAGGGCTTGAAGTTTGCACAGGGCCGAAGACAAGAATACCAAGTGCTTAACAAATGGTGGTCACTGGGAATCGAACACAAGACCGTCTCGGTCACAGAAGGCTCTGATACCATGTGATGAACCAGTTGGTCTCAATAACTCGAGTTGTTGGAAGAGGTTCAATCGTAAATCATATACCACAACACTAACAGTTAGAGCCTTGTCAAATCGTTTGTTTTCAAATTTCATTGCAAATTTTACATGTAAATTATCCTAAAACTTGAAAATTGAGTTGACTAAAGCCCCTCCTGAATATAACGTTCCTCTGCCACTGAACATAACCTTACACAATTTGGATGTCCCAAAATGTAAATGCGTAGGGTTTAAGTTTAACTACATTAATTGTGGCGTTTTTCTTTAATTTATTTAGAGATATTTCTGTTGATCATGTTATTCTTTTCTAGCTTCCTGACTCCTATATATATCTTCATATTTCAGAAGAAAGTTTCGAACTTATTATTAGTGTAATTACTTGTAATATATTTATTTATTTATTATAGGTGATTACTTACTACTTGGACTACTTAATAATTCATTTCAGTTCTGCCGTGGTGTAATAATATGGACACAAAAACAAATGCTCAGTCGAAAGGGAGAAACATTTTTGTGATGATGCACATATATACATAGCTTCGGTACTCGTGATGATGAAAACCCGCCACCTGAACGCTGCGTGGATACGTTTTGCCCTGGTTCAGTTTCTTCAGAACTAGGAGACAAGAACTTGCTTTTATACTCAGGGAATTTGATTGTCAGAGATACTTGTTGGATACGATCGTAAACAATTTTATATCAGAATGGTTATAACAAATTATAACAGTTTCAAAGAATTGTGAACGTCCTGTTCTATAATTATATAGTCAAAATTTTAAATATACTAAAAATGTAGCGGTGGAATTAGAAATATAAATTAGGGGACTAAAAATTACTCTTAAGTTTTGGTTGTTGAGCTCCTTATCCGGTCTTTATCCAGTTTTCGATCCGGTCCCGAACTACTTTTTACCTCAAATCTAAGACCAAAAATTGGATTGAATTGTTTATTATCCGATCCCGGCCCGATATCATTCCGGGTTATACGGTCCGGTTTCTAGTAAAACCAAAAACAGGCGGACCAAATAGCCAGCCCTACCACCTACTCGATCTATTTTTTAAATTTGTTACCAAATTTACACTTCAATTTACACAAATTGAAAGTTGAGTGGGCTATAGCCCCTCTTGCCAATAAGTGGCTCAGCAACGGCTAATATGAAAATGGGTTAGCCTCATTATTTACGCAATAATTTGAAATAAAGTTGCATATTAAAATGGGCTAGCATCATTCAGGGGAAAAAACAGACATCAATGGTTGTTTGCTTGATGGATTTGATGATGTACTTGGTGATGGATTTCGATTCATCGTGGACTTTGTCTAAAATTCATTGTTTGTTTCATGTATTTAGGGTCGTTTGGAAGTTGCGATTGTTAAATAGATGTATCGTTGAGAATGCATGTATAATATTATACATGTATTGTCGAATTTGATGCATTGTAGAATACAACGTTTGGTATGTGTGATTGTGTATGTCGCATAAGCTAAAAGCTGAGACAAAACAATCTCTACTCAACTATCTCAACAATCACAACTAAAAGTTGATATATAACAATCACTCAAAATGAGTGATAGTATCACATCATAGAAACAATCCATGTATTGTTTCTGCTAAAAAAAATTATGCATTGTAAACAATACATGCATAATGACAATCTCAACAAAACAATCGCAACTTCCGAACGACCCCTTAGAGTCAACTAATCCGCGGGACCCACAAATTTTAAGGGTCCAAATCTGTGGGAATTGATAATGAACTTTAAAATCCATCATTTAAGACTAAACTACCCCTCCTATTTTATTTCTCTTATCATACCAATGAGAGCAATAAACGAAAATTTCCCTTCATATATACAAATCTAATTAACCAATTCTATCATGAAATCTATAAAAAAATAATATTTTTCAAGTCCATAATAAATTCAAAACAACCATATATCCATAATTTTACAAAACTCAAATTTTACTAAAACCTATCATTTTTCAAATTTTACATCTCGTCCAATCAAGAGTCGAAACGCTAGTGACCTTTTTGCCGTTTCCCTACATTCCTTCCCGCCAGCGCGCCCTCCGAAATGACTAAGCCATCCTCACTCAGAATCGCTGCCGCCACATATGCAGCATTTTTTCAATCTCAGCCGTCCACTTCTTTCGCCTCGCACCACATGGCGCCACCTCAGCAAAACCCTTTTCTCCTCACCTCTATTTAAATCCACTAGACCCAACTTGCTCTTCGGTTCTGCGATCTTCTTCAAATAAGACTGCCCGAACTCAACCGAGGAACAAAACCATCAAAACGACGCGTCGTTTGAAGGAAATGGAGATCAGGCATCTGTCCGACGACCCTGAAGTCGAAGCCGCTGCCGAGGAATCACTCGCAGCATCCATCCCCAAAAGCAGGACGCCGCGGCCGCCGCCGGCGAGCGTTTCGCACGGATTGGTATCGATTATGGGCCGGAAGAGGACGATGTCGGACGCGGCGACGGCGGTGCCGCGGCTGGAAATTGGCGGGTTCGGGAATTGCTTCGATTTCTTCGCCGTCTACGGCGGCTCCGGCGCCGGCGTGTGCCAAACCACGATGCATCTCACGGTGGCAATGGAAGCGGACAGGATGAGAGGGGAATTCTGCAGGGGATGGGAATACTGGAACAGAGTGATGGGCAGCAGCTTTCAGAAGATGGAGGACGAGGTTCGCGACGACGACGGCTGTGGGTTGAAATCTGGGCGGTGGACGGCGGTTGTGGTGATGGTAGGGAAGGAAGAGCTAGTGGTGGCTGAGAGTAACAACATCGCCGGAGAATATTGTAGAGCTGTTCTGTTTCGCGGTGGAGTTGCCCTTCCTCTGTCGCGCGATCATCAAAACAGAGTAAAGTCCGATGACCTCTCAACCCTCTCAAAACGCAAGATCAGAAGAAGAAATCGGCGAATTGGGTTCGGATGCCGGAATCCGCACATTAAATTCCATCCAATTCTTGAACGAATTCGGTCTCTCTCCATTTCTACTACTTCTAGGCTCAGACGTCGTTTGCACGATGTAATTCCTCCTCCAACTTCTGCAAAATGCTCTGATTTAGTTTCCATTTCCCGCCCTGATATTGTTTTGACTCATCTTTTGCTTGCGTTTGAATCCTTTTTGTCACGACCAGCCGGCGCCGGAGGCAGAGCGAAAACAGGGGAAGGGCATAAGTTGGAACCTCAACCGCGACATCGATGGAGTTATTGGTACTGAGCTAGTTCTGTCTCATTTTGTCATGAATTTTTTTGGGCAAGTCATTGCTAATGGTTTTAATGCAGGAGATACTAGTCATCGTGATCGCCGTCATCGGGTGAAGCCGGCGGTGACAGTTATGGAGCGGGGAGAATCAATGGGGGAATTCGTGGTGATCGGATCGAAGGGGTTGTGGGATGTGGTCTCTAATGAGCTAGCCGGGGATATCGTCGCGAAATGTTTCAACGGCGGAATGAGGATGAGGTTTGCCGACGACACGACGGAGAACTGTGCATCGGCGGCGGCGGCGGCTTTTCTGGCGGAGCTGGCGGTGGCGCGAGGGAGCAAGGATAATGTCAGTGTTATAGTCGTCGAGCTGTAGCTATATGGAGTTTTTCTTAAAGTTTTGGTACGTGGAAATTGGAGTGAGGATGGATCAAGGTTCTCAAACCGGTTTACGCCGGTGTGCCGGTTTTATAAGTGGAATGGTCTGACCGTGGTACAACCAGTATTCATGCCGGTTGTGCCGGTTTTAATAAAATACATGAGGAAAATGAAAATCCTCAATTCCAAATAAATTATTCATAAAAAAGCAATTAGAAGAATTATTTCACACAAAATAATTTATAGCTAAGAATTGGTAACTAATACTAAACAATTAAATGCTTAAAAATAAAATTTTATTAAATAAATTTTATTAAAAATTATAATGATTTGTGTAAAATTTAGTATTAGATATATAACATATAAGGTTAATATAGACAACAAAATTGCTTGTAGCCTACTGGTGTACAAGTTATACTAAAATGAACAAGAGGTCCTTGGTTCAAATCCTATGGATGATTTTTATTTTTGGATATAATATGGGTAACATTAAATTCCGGTTTCTGGTCTAACCGGCCGGAATTTCCGGATTTGACCGGATTTGACCACAATTAAATATCGGCCCCTTTCCAGCCGGTTTGCTGACCGGTAACGGTTGAACCGGCCGGCATGAAACCGGTTTGACAACCATGGGATGGATGATTAGAAGGGAAGGTTTTTTCATCTTATTGTAGTTTGTTTAGATTGTGTCGAATAGAGTTTTGATTCTAGTTTGGGATGAGTTTGTTAATAAATAAGTCAGGTTCAACGTCGCTTTATATTAAAATTTTGTCTCGTAGTCGTTTGGACGAGGAATTCTAATGGATCAATCTGACACAATTGTCTCGTTTTGAGTCAATTGTGCTATATTGATCCGTTTGGCAGCTAAAAATTTGGATGAAGCAATTTGGGCTGGGGAATTCTGAATTGACTCATTTTGAGCCAATTACAATTGTCTGGGGTGGGGGCAGGTAATCTGAATTGACTCGTTTTAAATGACTTGTTTTGTAAAATGAAACAATTGATCAAATTGTCTCGTTTTACAATTGATCCATCCAAACGACCCTACACTTTTGGCATTGTCGTTATGTAGGTCTATCTATATATAAGGGGGTTTGAGAGAAATAGAGAGTGATTTGTTTGGAAGTGAGTGAGAAGTATAAAGGAGGAAAAGATCTCTCGACTTCTCAAATTGTTGTTTGAACGTCTTTGTTACTCTTAATTTCGTAGTCTTTTTGTCTTTGTTTCATTGTTGTAAACTTTACAACGCTTTTTTTGTGGTTTGTGAAAAAAGGCTAACACTCTAATCACAGCAGGTTGATTAGAGTGCTCGTTCACTTCGATTATGAGTTAGTCGTTCACTTTCTTTCTAAATAATTCGACAATTTTAGGGTAAATTTAATTTCGAATGAGTGCTCGTTCAACCCATCGGCGGATTTAGGGCTGGGCCAACCCGGGCCACGGCCCAGTCCTCCGTCGGATCCAGAGCCAGTATAGAGCTTATAAAATTTTCGATTTAGGTATTCGGCCCAGTATTATTTAATGGTTGATCGAGTGTGTAGTTAGAAAAATGGTATAGATGAACATATGCAAATCATTACTCTCAATTTAGTTAAGTAATTCTAGCGCGAATGATTTTCATTTGAAAAATAAAAATAAAACCTAAAAGTCTAAAATGTAAAAGAATGTATAAAGTTTCATTGAAATAAGAAAACCCTCTAAACAAATTGATTTGTGGGTTGATTCGTCTAGTGTTGACCTTGCCCGTTTCAGCGGCTACCATGGAGAGAACATTTTAAAAAATGAAATATGTGAAAACTAATTTTGATTAAATACAATTTATTAGTTAAACCTTTTAGACTTTCCAAATTATTAGCCAAACCTTTCGAAATACAAAATATTAGCTAAATATTTTGTAACACATCATAATATTAGTCATTTGTCTGTTATCGTTGGTAATCTTGTAACTATTTTTTTATTTGAAATACTAAAATTTAAAAATATTGACGATTTTTGTTTACAGTATATAATATTATATTGAAATGCGGCCCAGTGCTCTACTGTATTCTGAATCCGCCGCTGGTTCAACCTCTAACTAGACAACTATGTTGCAGCTTGCAAGTGAAATTTGATTTCGAGTGACTAGCATAGATAACTTTCAAGTTGTACTTAAAGATAAATGATTTTACGTACATTGATGAGTAAGGGCTTTGTAAAAAGATGTGGTAGTTAGTAAGCGATAGATTTTGTTCTCGATGAAGTTGTGAACTAGACTTCTTGGTCACAAGACAAGTAGACAACATATAGATGCAGCCACAATGTAGACTGTAGAGTGTGGTCATGTGAGGTGATCATGTAACCTTCCTTCTTGGAGTTTCGTGATTATGAATGGACTTTAGGAATGAAAAAAATATATGTAACAGTGGATATCCGTTCGAATCTGACTTAACCGGATAGGGTAAAACTCGAACCCGAAAGATATTTAGTGGGTACGGGTAAAACTCAAACCCGAATATTGCGAGTAATGGGTGGGCATAGGTTTCTCACTATCCAACCCGAACCCGCCCGATTATACATAGGAATGGCAATGGGGTAGGTCCCGGAAGGGTTTCTTGGTACCCTCCGCTTCGTGGCAGGTCGGGTCCAGGTCGGGTAATTTATTACGGGTCGCAGGTCGGGGCAGGTCGACCCAACGGGTATGCAATTTATATGAAAAACATTAAAAATATTCCTTATTTTTATTATAAGACCAAGAAAACAAACAATATTATGATAAATGTAGTTACTTATTAGAGAAATTGAGGTTTTCACTAATTTACAACTTTATTATAGCTAAATTATGATGTAATAAAAGAAAATTCCTAAGTAATTTGACTAAGATTACATGTAATTTAGGCAAGAATGGGTTGAGAATGGGGCGGGTTAGGGCAGGTCGGGTCGATGAAAGTACCCATGCCCGCCCCGCCACGCCTACGGGGCAAACAGGTCCGGTAAAATGGGTCAGGTCGAAATTGTCATCCCTAATTATACACATGCATATGTATTTTGTCTAGAAATCATCATTATTTTCCTCTAACATATTTTATATTTAGCATACAAGTATAATATTTTCATCAAAATTGTGTTATTTTAATTAATTTTCTTCATTCTATTGAATTGTGGTCGTACTTTTCCTCTTACGTAATGTGAGAATACGTGTGAATTTCAACATATTGATTCGAGTTATGAAGAGAAATTACAATCCATGGATAATCGTGTATACCCAAAATCCGAACGGGTATGAGCATGATTTTGATTTTCTACCCGTTTCACATATGGGTATAAGTAAAACACCAACTACTTTGGATAGGGTAACGGATATGCACTATCCGCCCCGACCCGAACCATTGTCATCCCTTACCAATAAGAACAAGCCGCGGGCTTAAACTGCATGGACAAGGCCCACCTCAAAGCTCCACCAAGTTCGCCAGCCCTTGAGCCCATCCTGTTTGATTGTTAACCTCGCGTTGCAAAATCAGTGAGCTCGGCCCACTCCAATCTGCGTGCAGCTGCTTGACTCCTTCTCCCTCAAATGGAGTACGGTCATCCTCCTCTATGCTGGCGTTTGCTTATTTAGGGTTTATCTATAAAGAATTTGTCTATCCCCCGATATAAATCTCATCAGGTTTTTTTTTTTTTAAATATTCGAACATGCCAAAAATTTCGAATTCTGATTAAGAAATTACATTGATAGCCTCTGCTCGTGCTGTAGCTCGTTACAGTGTTAGATTTGTCTCAATTATTATTCCTCTCTTGTCATCAATTGTCCATCGACTACGTACGCGACCGAACAAATCTTAGGCCCTAATTCGCTCTTTGTGGACGAATCTTACAGAGAAACTTTTAGATTTTTTCACCAATGCTTGGCGTTACCTGTTTTTTATTTATATCATGATCTTGTGGTTTGGGAGCAGCCATGAATCATGATAGCCAAGCTCTATGGTACAATGTATGGAGCTAAGAAAGAAAAAAAAACGGACCTGTTTGGAGGCAGTGACGTTAGTCGTTTTTCTCAATATCATATAATATAATATTATTCATATGGTGTTGGGAAATTTTGGACGGGTACACTGGACCATGATCCATGAAAAACGTAACGCGGATATCGTACCGAAAAAGTAATCAGTACGATATTTTATGATAAGCCATTGGACCAATGGACACGTACGTCAGACTTGCAATGATTTTTCCCGCTTAAACTATTTGCATTGCTTCATATTCATACGTGGCTGGAATTTGGACAGCGTGTCAAACCATGCAGATCCCCCCCCCCCCCCCCCCCCCCCCCCGAGTGCGGATCCAGTGACTAAGGGGGGGTGCTTAGTCACTTGACTAAGCCCCTCCCAGCTCTTAGATCTGGACACATCAATCTGATGGTTAAAAAGTGGGAAGGGCTATTTAATTAATGACAGGGGTAGTTTGGGTATTATGGAAGATTACAAAGTATACAAACTGGATTTACAATCAGTACAAACCATACAAACATACGAACAGTACAAACTAGAGCGACAAAACATACAAACATTACAAACGTATGAACTGTACAAACAATACAAACTAGACCGACAAACAATACAAACCATACAAAAAGAAAAAACAACCGGATTGACTTTGGAGGCTCCATCCATATATAGAGGGGCTCCTTCCCAAAGTCAACCCGGGTGTTTTTTAGACATACAAACAGTACGAACATGGTGGACAAAAATGACAAACTATACCGACAATCCATACGAACTGAAAAAACACCCGAGTTGACTTTGGAAGCTCCATCCCTATATAGAGGGGCTCCTTCCCAAAGTCAACCCGGGTGTTTTTTAGACATAAAAAACATTACAAACATGATTGACAAAAATGATAAACACGATACACAAAAATAACAAAGTTTACAAACATTACAAAATAACAAAGCGTACAAACATTACCAAAAAAAACCGACAAACATTACAAAATAACAAAGCGTACAAACATTACAAAATAAACTGACAAACAATACAAAGCATACTAACAGTACAAAATCTCTCTCTCTCTCTCTCTCTCTCTCTCTCTCTCTCTCTCTCTCTCTCTCTCTCTCTCTCTCTCTCTCTCTCGTGGGAACTTGGGGAATAAATTCCCATAACAAAAAGTGACCGCACAGAAATTCCCTGGTCGGCGATGGCGGATCCCGGCGGGGAAAAAAAAAACGAGACGGGCCGCAGGGAGAGTATAGCCGAAAAAAAAATGTAATAATTGAAAGTTAAAAATAAATATGGAATGACTACATTACCCTTCATTAAATTGGACTAATAGGAGCCCTTGGATTTTATTGAGGTGGAAGAGCTGAGATTGACTTAGTCATGTGACTAAGGCCTCCCCCCTTAGTCACCTGATCCTAGCCCCCCCCCCCCCCCCCCTCCAAAGAATCACATGGCGCCGCCACAAAATCAAATCTATGATTTGTAACTTGGACGCCCTTAATAACTCGATTGAACGAGTTTAGGACTAGTTTGGAGAATTGGAATCTAAATCTCTAGATTCTAGACAATCCAAAGATTTTAATTCTCTGAATTGTTGAAAAAAGATTTGAAAATATTTATTGTTTGGTAACTATAATTGTTAACATCCAATAAAAAAAGAAATTCTATTTTTTTTATCACATAACATATTTATCCTTAACCAAAATAATTAGATTGGCTCGAAAAATATTGAGAATTTATTGTTAAGGGTATTTAGTGGGATAAATGGAAAAAAAAAACAAGAGATCATAGGAGGAAGAAAATCTCCAAAATCAAGATGTAGAATCTCTCTAATTATGAGAGATTTGATATCTCTAGATTTTATAGATTTACAATTTCTGAAGATACAATCCACGATAGAAAAAGTAGCAAAAAAACATAACATTTTGCTAATTCTATGGATTCAATAAATCCACGATCCAAATCTTGTTCTCCAAACGACCCCTTAAGCTTTTTGAACTCCATCAAAAGGCAAGGCCATTGGCCAATGTTAGAGATCCAAAAAATCATGCAAAGGATCAACACCTGTGCCTAATAAACCCCAATGGATTATGTATATTACATGGCTATAGTTGTCGATACAATTTCCATTTGGCGCGTTCCGATATGAGCTAACATCGACGGGGTTACGGAGTTTTAAAATTTGAAAGATCTTACTAAAACTCTACGTATCTAAAGGATTTTTGTTGCCCCGTTTTTTTTCTCCGAGTGAGTTGCAAGAACCCCTCTTCTCAAAGACGTGGCTCAGCCACTACGTGCGAGACATATTAACAACAAGATTCGAAGAGTAGTAAAGCAACGCTCATTCCTTTGCACTTAGACTATCAACGAATAACGGTTAAGGAAAAGTATCAATATTAGGATTGCTTTCTAAGTATTTCTTCATCATCAAATCCAGTATATACAATACAAGATTTTTACTAACATATGACTGTACATTACCCCAATTGTAAGCAACAACAATGCAATGAACCAGGAGAACAGTACAAAATGAGGCCGGTGGCCGTGATTACAGCCTTACAGGCCAGTGGCCACTGGCCACCACAAAAATAGAAGCGGCCACGTCGTCCATCAAGGCATCTGTCGCTCCATTATTGTAATCGTTGTGCTCCCCTTTGTTTGGGTTTGGAATGAAATGAATGATGTCTGTTTAAAAAAAAAAAAAAAAAGGCATCTAGCCTGGCGACAGCCATTCTCTATGTTTGGCCCGGCTTTTAGAAGTGCTTTTCGGGTTCAAAAACTGAAGCAGGGCCAAACACCTGTAAAAGCTCGGCTTTTGAAAAACCGAAAAGCGCTTTTGTATAACATAAAAGCAGAAACTCATATTTGGAGCTTATGCGAAAAGCTGTTTTGAAAATGCAAGATTATCTTTACCATATTTTAATTTTATTTCAGAAAATATAATTTTCCTTAATTTATATTATTTTAATAATAAAATAGATTATAAAATCATATTATTTAATATAAAAGAAATCTAACAATATTCATTTTGACTACTTTTTATTGTTTATAATTTTTATTCATATTTTATATTATAAGTCCTTTATAGTCATTTACACAACCTCTTATATTAAAAAGCACTTCTAATAGTTTTACATCCAAACACTCAATTGCTTTTTTTTAAGTACTTATCTAAAAGCTTGAGCCAGAAGCTGCTTCTGCAAAAGCTACAGCAGGGCCAAACTAACCTATTTTGTGGTTTAAATTAATCCTTTATTTTTTTTCTTAACCCCATCCTTCCTTCAAAACAAGGTTGTCAAACCGGTTTAAATCATTGAACCGGTCAAGCTAGGAATTTGAGATTTAATGGTCTAATCGGGGTTTGGTCGTTTTGAGCCGTTTTAGACATTTTATATATATATAGTGGCGTCTTCGGTGAACTCACTTTTTTGGGTGAATTCAGGTGCACTCTCTTCATAACCGTCGTTTTAAACATACGATTTATGTCAAAATGATGTCAATCATCACTTATTATGTGATGAACAATAACGCACATGAATTTGCACAAAAACCATTGAAGATTTACTTTAATTTGAAGGATTTAGAGTTTAGAGATTTAAGGTTGGGGTTTACAATTTGGGGTTTAGGCATAGAACTCAAAATTGGAGGTCTAGGGCTTAGAGTAATTTGCTAATTAGTTGTTATCATATGTTATATCATCATATTACACTAATTCTACAAATTAAAATTCAAAATCCGACACTTTTTTAAGACTAGTTTTTGAGTTGGATGCATTGAATGCACTCATTTTTGCGAGTGCACCGAATAGTCACCATATATATATATATATATATTAAAAAATAGTAATTAAAGATTTAATAACTAAAATAAAATTTATCTTACATGTATATATTAAAATCTTATTTTTCACAAAATAAAACTACATAACTTTCCATGATTCACCTACCATCTCCATTCTTTCGTTCCTCTTCCTCTCTTCTTCTCCCTCTCTTTAGGGATTAGAACCGAGACTTTCTAAAATTCGCTTTGAAGCCCGACTTAAATCCGATCGAGTCCAATCGAGAACCCGATAGAGGTTTAAGCTTCAAAAAGTCCAAGCACGTTAGTCAGCCAGATTCCAGGGTTTCTGTTTGCCGCTCTTTTCCTCACTCACAATTGCTGCAGCCACGTCACGTATGCGCCATGTTCCAATCTCAGCCGTCCACGTGTTTCCCCCTCGCATCTGGTGGTTCCCGCCACCACATGACGCCACCTTAGCATCCGCCCCTCCCCTCGCCTTTTTTTTTTAAATCCCCGAGACCCAGCGAGCTTGCTCTTTCTTCAAAACACTTTTTTTTCTTCTATGGGGATTTCTATGAGAGGAAAACTGAACTGCACGGAGAAGGGAGAGAACTAAACCACTGATTCTTCCTCCCCAATTCTGCGGAATCGGAATGGTTACGTCCAAACCCAATCGAAGAACAACAGCATCAAAACGGCGCGTCGTTTGAATCAAATGGAGACGACCCAGCACCCGTTAGATCCGGTCGCCGGAGCCGCTGCTGAAGAATCACCACCCGTGGCATCCGTCCCCCGAAGCAGGACGACGCCGTCGCACGGCGTGGCATCGGTGGTCGGACGGGCTAGGACGATGATCGACGCCGTGAAGGCGGTGCCGCTGCTCGAAATCGGCGGGTTCGAGAATCAATTCGATTTCTTCGCCGTCTACGGCGGCGGTGGCGCCGCCGCGTGCCAAGCCGGGATGCATCTCACAGTGGCGACGGAGGCGGAGAGCATGAGAGGTAGCAGCAGCGCAGCAGGGGAATTCTGCAGGGGATGGGAATACTGGAACAGAGTGATGAGTAGCAGCTTTCAGGAGATGGAGGACGAGATTCGCCGGGCGGCGGAGGAATCCGATGGGAGAGGGGGGAAATCCGGACGATGGACGGCGGTTGTGGTGATGGTGGGGAAGGAAGAGATAGTGGTGGCTGATAGTAATAGCATCGCCGGAGATTTTAGAGCTGTTCTTTATCGCGGTGGAGTTGCCCTGCCTCTAACGCGCGATGATGAAAACAGAGTAAAGTCCGGTGATCTCTCAAATTGCAAAAGGAGGAGAAGAAATCGGCGAATTGGGTTCGGTTGCCCGCGTCCACACATCAAATTCCGCCCAATTATGAAACATATTCGGTCCCTCTCCATTTCGACTTCTTCTAGGCTCAGCCGCCATTTGGACAGAGTAATTCCTCTCTTCCATTCCTTAAAAGATGAGATCAGAAAATGAAATTCAATCTTTGTGGGACCTTCTTCAAAATGCTCCAAGGTCCCCTTTCTCCCTTGTGTTGATTGATTCTTGTGCGTGTGTTTGAATCCTTTTGTAACGCAGCCTAATGATCAGCCGGCGGCGGCGGAGCGGAAACAGGGGAAGGACAGTACTTGGAACCTCAACAGTGACATTGTTGGAATCATTGGTACGAGCTAATACTCTGTTGTCTGTCAGAAATTCTGGCTAATTCGTTCATAATGCAGGAGATCGTGTTCGTCATTGCCGTGTGAAGCCGGAGGTGACAGTTACAGAGCGGGGCGAATTGTCGTCGGAGGAATTCGTGGTGATCGGATCGAAGGGGTTGTGGGATGTGGTCTCGAATGAGCTGGCCTGTGATGTCGTCGCGAAATGCTTCAGCGGGGGGATGAAGATGAGATTTGCCGACGACACGACGGAGAACTGCGCGGCGGCGTTTCTGGCGGAGCTGGCGATGGCTCGAGGGAGCCGGAACAATGTCAGTGCCATAGTTGTGAAGCTGTAGTAGGTGGAATAAAACAGAGGTACCGGGATGGCGTTAGTTGTTGGAGTTGTTCTGCGTAGATTTTTTTTTTTTTTTTTAAGTTTTGGTATGTGGGAATTTGAGGGAGATAATTGTACAGAGGGAAGTTTTTTCATCTTATTGTAGTTTGTTTAGATGAGTTGGATCAGTTCAAATTGGTTTTAATATAATAAAGTCTCTAATTATAAATAAATTAATAATCTCACCAATCTATATATATTTTCAAAAGAATTATATATGACAAATTTATCAACCCTCTTTTTCAAACTCAACTTTAATTGGTTGAACATGGTTTTGACCAGTGAGATCATCCAGTTTTAATTGGTTTAACCCACTTTTTAACGTGATTTTTAATTTTTCGAAATCGTCCAATGTAGTTCAATCAATTAGACGATCGATTCTGATCGGACCCTGTTGAACCGTCCGATTGGATACCGGTTTTAAAACCTTGGTTTAGATCATGTGATCCATGGATAATGAAGAGAAGAGAACGGGGGACGTGGCATTTGTGTGGACATATATATGAAATGTCTCGCATAAAACAATTAAAATTAGATGGGATTTAATAAGCCATCTAATAAAAGTGACTTGTAAATTTGATAAGCTGAATAAGGCTCAACTCAAACGCCGTTCATTAATAAATAACCTAAATGTCAAATTGATAATATTTTGCTCGTTTTGATACTGAAAATATTAGATTCAAATTTATTAAGTAGCATCTAATTAAACACCAAACTTATATCACTGTTATCTATAAATGAAACTAGTGTCAAATGAGTTTATACCAAATCAAACATTGAACCGCAAACAATGGGAATCTTTTTGATGAAGCTGTCACGCAAATGTCAAAACTGTGAGATGGTATTGGCCTGGTACATGAAATGCGTGGGGAGAAAGTAAGGACTTAAGTGGACGACCGGGAAAAAAAAACATTTTTGAAAAAAGCATTTCCATATAAACAATAATATTTTATATTCTGGATTTTAATAAGTAACATGTATATATATATATATTGCATAATAGTTTGCAATCGGCGAACAAGACTACAGATCTGATCGGAGTGCCTAACCGTGCGGAAATGGAAATCGAGAGCCAGTTGGTCGTACTGTGCATCGAAGCGGCCTGCCGAAGCAAAGAAAGCATCGAGAAATGGAGGCGGCAGCGACGGACACTGGAGCGGATGCCGTCTGTTCTCGCCGACGCCTTGCTCCACCGCCTCCTCCACCGCCGCCTCCTCTTTCCTTCTTTGCTCGAGTAACTTCCTCCTCCTCCTCCTCCTCCTTCTCCAATTTGATTTCCTCGTCTTGTGTTTCTCTTGCCTTTGAATTGTGCCTACTGAAATTCAATCGACGATGAGAAGCTCCAAATCATCTCGTCGAATTCTCGCGGCGAACTCTTCCGCTAAAACGATTCCGTTGAGTTCATCCGTGAATTTGCAGGTGATCGGAGGAGGTCTTTGTTTTCCGTCATTTGGTTGATTGAGCTCGGGATTTCGTATTAGTTCCTTGTTCGTGGTTGTGATTATCCTTCCACGGTCAAGCAATTCAATTCGACATCGCTCACTGTTCACTGAACAATTCACCTTTGCTTCTATCTAGAATCGGTTGTTTGTGGAACTGGAGGAAGGGATTATTAGGATATCGTAGATAGTTGTGGGCATTGCCGAAGTTGTTGTGTTAACCTTATCGGATTTTTGTCTCTCTACCGTTGATATATATCATCGCCGAAACTTCTCTATTATGCCGCTGAGTGTTCCGTGTTTACAGGATGATATGTGTATTCGTGATGTGCTTAACCTAGCTATGCATGCTTGTGTAGAGTTTTCAAAAACAGCGTGGAGGATGTCGATCTCAGAGGCGAGAACGCAGTGGATGCGGAGTGGATGGCGTATTTGGGAGCTTTTCGTTACTTGCGATCTTTGAAGCTTGCCGATTGTTACAGAATCAATAGTTCTGCTCTCTGGCCTCTAGTTGGTATGGTTTGACTGAGAAGAAGTTCCCATCGTTCTGCACTGTTCTTTATTCAAATGTCTGTAGCTCAATGCTTCAACTAATTAGATTTCTTACTTTCAAAGATTTCCGCGTCGAGGCATTTGTGCAGTTGTGCTCTATTAAGATTGAGAAATTTGTCAATTATAGAATGGCTGCTTGTGAACAAAACTGCTCTCTGCTAAAGTGAGTGGGGTGAGTTATGGACTCTACATTATGACTTAGTCCTGCTTCTTGTCCTTGTAGGTTTGACCAGGTTAAAGGAAGTAGACCTTTCTAGATGTGTCAAGGTTACAGATGTTGGTATTCGGCATCTCACCTTTATCTCGACGTTGGAAGTATTGAGGCTTTCAGGAACTAGCCCAACTGAAGACGGGATTATGCTGCTCTCCTCACTTAGGGAGTTGTCAGTTTTAGAATTGGGTGATTTGCCGGTCACTGATAGAGTCCTGAGCTCTCTCCAGGTATCTTACTTTTTCTTATAATAGCTAGAAGTTCTTTGATTAGAAATATCTTCATGACTATGTTGGACCCTAGTTTAAACTTAATCGGCAGACCAATCTAATTGCTAATAACAACTAAAGATGAATATATTGTTTCCGTATAAAATTTTCATTAGCTAGTAAGTTTGAAAATGACTGTTTCTTTCTTCTTAGGTATTGAGAAAGCTAAAACACCTTGACCTTTGGGGGAGTCAAATTACAAATAAAGGTGTTTCTCTTCTCAAAAACTTCCCAAAGCTGAGTTATCTCAGTCTGGCGTGGACAGGTGTCACATTGTTTCCAAATATGCCATCTATTGAATACTTAAACTTAAGCAACTGCACCATTGACACTGCACTTGAAGGTGATGGTTATAAAGCTCCACTTGCAAAGCTTATTTTAGCTGGAACAAAGATACAAAATGAGGCTGATATGTTCTCATGGATTGGATCAAGTTCCATATCTTATTTGGATGTCTCCAATTCATCCCTTGTCGACTTCAGCTTTTTGTCCGAAATGGAAGCTCTCGAACATTTAAATCTGAGCTCTAGTATGATGGGAGATGACTCAATCGAATGGATATGCTGTATTGGAGCCAACTTGAGAAGTTTAAACCTTAGCAAAACGAGGGTTACTTCTGCTGGAATATCAAAGTTAGCAGAACACGTTCCCAGACTTGAAGTGCTATCATTATCTCACACTCTGATAACTGATGCTTCCATCTCATTTCTTGGTATGATGTCGTCACTCAAGGCGATCGACTTAAGCAGCACAAAAGTCAAAGGTATGGACTCTTTTACACATGCTTCCTTTGTGCACTAAATTAAGTTAGAAGAGTGATCGACTTAAGCAGCACAAAAGTCAAAGGTATGGACTCTTTTACACATGCTTCCTTTGTGCACTAAATTAAGTTAGAAAAGTTTGGGCGGGATGGGGGGCCGGAGAGTGGGATTCATTATCTTAAGGGGGGTGGATTTTAAGTATCACCAAATGTTTGAAATGCATGTTAATGCATTTGATATTGCATCTATGATTTCAAATGCACTCAAATGCATCAAAGTTGTCGACGGAAAACAATATAGGTGCACCCGACCGGACAATCTGTTGTCACTATTGGTTCAAACTATTTAAATCTATTGCTACATACCTGCTTCCTCATTCATTACATCTATGGTGTTGCTCTCTTAAGTTTGTCTATGGATGTTTGCTGGACTCGGTAGGTTTCATTCGCCAAGAAGGAGCTGAGCCTAACGAAATCGCCTCGCTGTTAAGCCTTCTCAGCCTCAATAGTTTGGAAAGCCTGAAATTGGAGCATACCCAAGTGGACGATGCAGCTCTAATGCCATTATCAAATATGAAGGAACTGAGTCATTTGTCTCTCAGAAGTGCTTCACTGACAGACACTGCCCTCCACCATCTATCAAAGCTGTCGAAGCTCACGCATCTCGGCCTTCAGGATGCCGTGTTGACAGACAAAGGTGTGGGGTCGTTCAAACCCCCGGGAGCCCTAAAAGTTCTCGATTTGAGTGATTGTTGGCTCCTAACAGTGGACACCCTCGTGTCTTTCTGCGGAAGGCACCCTCTAATTGAAGTAAAGCACGAACACTTACGGACCTCCTCATCAGCTCGAACTGGCTCTGGCAGCTCCCGCTCACCCTCGTCATCATCGCGACGCTCCCAAGGGTACCGGAAACAAGCGAGGAGGCCTGCGACCTCTTTGCCCGTGTCTCGGTATTTCATCGGTACGTATGTCGTCTGCTCAGCTGCAGAAATGTTCCTTTTCAGAAGAAAACCCGAGGTTTCGCGTTGTCTTTACATGGATTCTGATTGTTCTTTTTTTTGCTGTTCTGTAAATAGATCAAAGGCTGAAGTATAACAGAGAGGAGATGCTCGCAATGCAGTACCAACCCATGTGTCTTCTGACTACCCAAGAGATGGAAGCTGCTGTCTCCTATATGCAGTCGAATTGAAAAAAAAGAGTAAATATTTCTTCTCCCTTTTTGTAGTAAATATTTTTTCTTGTTGTAGTTTTAAGTACTTCTACCCTTCCATATCCTGGGTTTGTTGTAACTTCAATCATTTGAGACAGCGAGTTTTTCTTTAGTTTCTTTACTTTTTAGACAGGCTTTGCTCTTATCTATTGTCTCATCTCTTTTGCGTTTCCTGGTTTATCTGGTAGCTGAAAGAAATTGTTGTAATTTTGAAGTATCTGTGCAATAGTTTTGTTTGTTTTACTGAAAGAATTCAGACTGTAATTTTTATTATTATTAATTAACGGTTTTCTGTTTCAACCGAAATCATTATTGGCTTTGAAGGAAAATTGACAAGCTTGTAGACCGGGTTTGGTTTGGCTTTAACAAAAATGAAGAATAAACTATGAAATTGTGATTCTGTTAGTTTTTGTCATTTCTCCATTAAACTGAAACAGATTTACTATAAAAAAACAAAAAGCGAAAGGGGATGGGGGGAAAAAGAAATGAAAATGAGCGGTCTTATTGTAGATTCAGAAAAAATCGACTTAATGTGTGGTGGCGGACAAACTAATAAATAAATAGAGATTAGGGAGTTGATAAAAATTAACTATGTACACAACCACAAAGGAAACTTCGCAAAGAAAAAAGGCTTCAACACAAAACACACAGAAGCACGACAACGTCGGAGGGTTCATCCTTCTTGTCCCCTGTTCTCTCCTCCGCGGGACATGTTTCACTTGCGGTTGATGCTCTTGTACATTTCGTCGATAACGTTCTGCACATTGTTTACCAGAAGTTAGTTTTGTTCAATCAATGTCTAAAGTCGAAAGAAAGAACATCGGTTTCTTCTTGTCCGTGATTATACGAATTTCGATAGTTAGCTTAATCTAAGTCGTATAGATGAACTTCGTCGCCTAATTCGGATCGTATCCTCCAAATATTATCGGTTGATTCATATCATATCATATCATATCCGTAGTTTCTCTTTGGCAAGAGGAACAGATGTGGATGAGAGAGGAAAACCTGGTAATATTTGAGGAGCTGGGGTCTCTTCTTTTTGTACGTTGGAGTTAGGAGATCGCGCTCCATGTCGAAAGGTTCTGGATCAAGGTGTACAGCTTTCAGGAACTCGAATCCTTTCAACTGTCGGAATCCACGGCAATGCAGAAAATGAAAGAGTCAGAAAAGTGAGAACCTGATTCAATTCAAACTAATTTTCGACTATCATCAACGCAAGTAAACTGAAACGAACGGGGGCAAGTACCTTCTTCTCTTTCCCTATCTTGGAGAGTTCCTGGAGTATGTGTTCTTTGGCCTTTGGGTTCTCGCAGAGGGAGTTGAAGTCACCGCTGATACCGTTCTCTTCAGCCCATTTCTCAAGCGCTAGCTTGTTCGGATTCACCACCCCAACAAGGTACGACTCGAAGCTGTTCCCATAAACCCAAATCTAACAAGATTCGAGTTGAACAAAATCGCTTTGAAAATTAGAAGTCGTTGTTGGTTTACTTAATTAACCGAAGGACAAAACCAAATGAATTACCGAATCGATTCCAGGGGTTCCGCCATAGATGTTCTCAAGGTGCTCCACGGCAACGTACTCTCCCTGTGAGAGCTTGAAGATATTCTTCTTCCTGTCAATGATTTTCATGCTTCCATCGGGCTGCCATTCACCAACATCGCCTGTTGCAGTACAATAATCGAGATTAGAATTTACAGGAAAATGTTACAGAATCTGAAGAAATAGGGGGGAGAGTTCACGGACCAGTGTGGAACCATCCATCAATCAAGACTTCCTCAGTGAGATCATCACGTTTGTAGTAGCCAGAAAACAGGGTGTCGCCACGGATGCAGATTTCACCGCGAGGCGTGCTGGAGAGAGCATCGTAATTCATTTCGGGAACCGATTCAAGGCGGACATCAACGTTTGGCACTGGAGGACCTACGGTGCCAAGCATGGACATGTCATTTGGCAATGACACGAAGCTTCCAGCACAGCTCTCTGTGAGACCTGCATACATTCATATGTTCGTAAACAATGAGATGATTTGAGTGAATGAAATGTAAGTTGACCGCAGGGAGTAGAAGAGGGTTGATAATAGTCTTACCGTATCCTTGTAGAACATGGGCACATGTGACGACTCGAAGGTAAGCTTCCACATGGCTGGCGAGTGGTGCTGCTCCAGATAGGATTAGCCGCACATTTCCTCCCAACCCTTGCCTTACCTGTGAGGATGAGCCAAAATAGTTAAAGATCATAACAGTAATTTGCAATTCGACAACATGATTAGACTGCTTAAATGTGATCAAGCATCATAATTACCTTGCTGAAGACGAGCTTGTCGCTGAGTGGAGATGCCTCGTCTGTCTTACTCCCGCCTTTTAAATTACTCAGTTTGCTAAAGCCAGAGTGAGATCACCAGTTAGTCAAGAAACAGGAACCATAATCGCAAGCAAGATTAACGAACCTCAACCTTTAAATATCCCGCTTTTTGCCCAAGTTGAGCTCACAAGGACAGGCCAATGCAACAGTAGTATCAAAGCTGGAGATGAAAGACCAGACTAGAATGTCAAAACAACACTTACTGAGAGTAAGCAAAATTGAACAATGTCTTCTTCAACAAGCCCCCCGCAGAGATCTTCTGAGTCAAGCCTGGAAAAAGAGGAAAGAAGATGGCGTGAATTTGGAGACAAGCGTGTGCATTGAACTACAAAAATCAAAACAGTGGATTCCGCTCTCCGTAGTCCATGCTGACAAGGGCCAACAGCCCAAGGCTGAAACCAAAATGGGTCCGGGGGCTCTCTTGAACTATTTATGAACTATTTCCATATTCCAACATGATGTTAGAAGAGAAGGGAAAGTATTCAATCACAGTAAAGGTCTTACCTCCATATATTCTGTCAAGCACACGGGGAACGGCACAGAAGATGGATGGTTTTAACTCTCCAATGTCTTCAACCAATAGCTTGACATCCTGTAAGAACATAAGAAAAGCACCTGAGATCACTGAACTGGGTAGCATATGGTCATAGGTCAATCAAGTGAATTCTCGGTCCAACTGAAACAAGACAAATGAAAAAACCAATAACTTTTTTTACACGCTTACCCCTCGCCAGAAGCCTATGGATGCCCCATGAAAAATAAATAATTCCTCAATCACTCGATCAAAGATATGAGCAAGAGGAAGGTATGACAGATATACATCCTTTGAGGTCAGCTGGAAACATGACAACCAAAGAGCAGAAATAAATTAGAAAATTAAGAAGGCCACCTTAAGAACTCTGCAGAAGATTTAGAGCATTATCTGCAAGCTCGACAACTGATGATCAAATGCCAAAAGAGAATGTTCACCTTTTCATCCACACATTCTAGCACCCGCTTGACCCCAGCTATAAGAGTAATGATGTTGAGATTAGAAATCATAACTCCCTTTGGATCACCAGTTGTTCCACTAGTATACATAATTGTACATATATCACTTTTCTTCTTCTCTGGAAAGTCGTACTCTTTATTCTCTCCCTAAAGTTGACATGAAAGGAGCGGTATATGGAGTCAAAGAGCAGAATAAATCCCATAACAAAAATCACAACTAAGAGCTTATTTCTGGAAGCTCATAAGCAAACAAAAAGACTTAAACACATGACAGCGGCCTACCAGTTTGCCAAATTCTTCCCAAGAATAGACTGACAAGCCATACTTTTCAATCTCCTGTCTCTGCTCGGGAGTTACCTTACCAAAACTCACAATTGCTGCAAAATGAGATACATGTAATGAGAATCTCAGTAACACATAACAGTCGATTATACTCTGTCAAACTTGACTTACTTTTCAGATGTTGGGTTGCATTAGGAAATGTTTTCAATAGCTGAAAGACAAAAGCAAAAGAACATATCATTAGGAATGTTGGTGGCCCAAAGTAAAGCTCGTTTCGATTTCTAAAGCAATGAGCTAACATCAACCATAATCGCAGCATCAAAGCATTATATAATAATACATGCCTCCCCACAATATCAGTGGCACACTACGGCAACAATGCATAAGAAAAGGATGACAGTCTCATAAGAATTAATACCTCAGGAATCTTTTTCTCTTCTGTAAAAGCAATTGAAATCTCCGAATGACAAAGAATGTACTCGATAGCACCAGCACCTGAAACAATCACCAAAATATACAAGAAGTAGTTCGGTGTGAAAGTTCTCGAACTCAGAGGCTGGCATTCTCTACTTAAATCCATCAACAAACAAATATACTGCCATAATCATGCATAAAGTAGCAGATTATATGCTGATTCGATCATGATTATTGCTCTCTTATCAACAGACAATAGCCCATACCTAAGGTGTCGTATAATGGGACACAGTACAGTCCATGAGCATTGCAAGCCTGCATCAGTTTGCAGACATAATTAAGACATTCAGACCATAGATCTCAATTGATGCAAACAATAGAAAATACACTACACAGTAGCAATTAGCAAATAACAATCAAGCAATGAAATAGCACACAACTTAAATGTCTTCAACTACATCTGCACCGAAGATTATACCCTCTTTCAGATAAAAACAAAGCAGCTTGGTGATCCAGATAAGTAGGACAAGGATCCCAATGGCGTTGCAATCCAAGATTAAAAAAAAAAAAAAAGGGAATATAGGCAAACACACTCAAGTTTACAAATCAAACAATGGAGTAAAGACAATCCAGCCAAACAGCCCATCCCTTTCCAAGACAGAAACACAATTGTACTCTCCATCACATGCACCCCAAAACAAAAGGACAACGACATAAAAGAAAACTCGCAAGAATTAAAAGAAGCTCCGCCACAACAATCAGATCGGCCATTCAGGGTGAAAAAAGCTGACGTGAGTACCTCCATGCTGATAATCCATTCTGCACTGTTGGCGCCATAGATTCCACATTTCGCTCCCTGGCAACCAGGAATCATCAATACCAAAATTCAATGGCGAATGCTAAGCTCTGAAGCATCCTAAAAAAAAGCTCAAACATAGCTGTACCGGTTCAACACCGCAGCTGCGAATCGCATTTCCGACTTTGATAACTATGTCGTAGACTTGCTGGTACGTCTGCCACACATACTTTCCGGCCTAGAAGACAAACCAAAGGAAATCGAAATGTCTAAATAAATATCACAACAAACATCAGAAACGCATTTGACAATTAACAGTAAGGACCGGGAAAATAGACGGAAAATCCCTAGTCAATCGCCTATCAACAATCAACAACCACAAACCTTGCCGTCCACAATCTCCCGGCGGCCGAGCATAGGGTTGTTTGGATATTTCTCCACGCTCATGCTGCAAAAAAACAAGCGAGAATCGATCCATTAGCAGAACACATTTACAGAGGAGCTGAGCCAAACGAAGGATACTAAATTCTTTCCGAATCGAATCGCAGCGCTAAACGAAGAACAATTAAACTAGCATCCTCGCGATTTGCAGCAATCAAAACGACATTCTGAATGGCAGAAATTAGAAAACGAGCTAGATTTCAAAGTTCAACAAAATCATAGAGCAGGACGGAATCAGTATGCTCGGCAAACAATCGCCGCCGCCGTAGCAGACCAATGCAAGTCAACGGCATCCGACTGAAAACTGAAAAAAGCATTCAACTAGCTTAAGACTGATAACTTCTCTAATTCTCCAGAGCTCAATCTCCGAGCAACGAAAAGAGAAGAGAAAAAACGAAAACTCACCGGAAAACGTCCCAGCAGCTGTTCAATCCGGGAATAGGAGGAGGATATCCATCCTTGGCGAAAATACTGCGGTAAGCAGGTCCGATCGACGGCTTCCCGTCCTTGGCAGGCTGGCCTTTCTCGACCTCGATCAGATACTTCATCTGAGACATTTTCTTCTTCTCAATCGATCTCAGCTCCGATTGATCGGACTCTTCCTCTCTGCGCCAAACAAATGCAGACGAGGCAGAAACGTCCTGTAGCGTTTCTATTCACAGAAGAATTAAGAAGAGAGAACTGATAGTCAATAAATAGCGCGACGCAAGCGTGAAGTGACCGGAGGGAAGAAATAGAATCAGTTTTTGAAATTAATTCCGTTTCTAGAGAGAGAGAGAGAAAGAGGCGACTTGACTTGGTAAAGAGAGAGAGAGAGAAAGGGGAGTAATATGGATGCGGACGGAACTCGGAAGGAAGAAGCAGAGAGGTGAGAGACGGGGGAAAGAAGGAGCTGGAGGAATAACTGCGGTTTTCTCTTCTTCACTGAGTTGCGGGGCCGAGTTGGTTGCTGTTGTGTTGGTGAGTGGCGAGTTCGGCTGACAATTAGGTTAAATCGGGTAAGCTGATTTTAGAATTCTTATCATCAAACCCTTCTTCGTAAAGGTTGACGAATATTTCTTAATTAAAAAAACGAGTACAGGTTGTCATAGGGAAAGATTAAATAACACCAACCAATGAAAATGACAAAAAATTAAATTACACAACGGTAAATAAATTGGATTCCTAATGGATAATTATAATTTCCACTTTCATAGACTAAACGAAAATAATAGACGGGAGAAAAGTTTGTTTTTAGAGTTTCAACTTCTATTCTTATGGGAATATTAATCTAGGGTACATTTCGAGAAAATAAATTTGGGTGTGAGTTACTTTATTTCTAGTGGTAACTCGGTTCGTATTAATAAAATACTAGTGTTTTATGTGAGCAGATGATAATTTTGATATATGTCAAAAATGATAATATCATTGAAGACGCAAAAAGAAATGCATTGATTACCTAATGGAATGACATTTTTTACTCATCAGTTGGTACCAAATTGTGATCTTGTTACGGAATTCTTATACATCTTAATAGAGGAGAAAGAACACAAACTAGTATTATAGGCCACAATTCTTACAATAAAAAATACAAGATATATAGCAACCAACCAATGGCCATACTTGGAACGTGTGGGAATTTCTTGTTCACTAATCTCCAAATAAAAAGAAATAGTAAACTATTGTTTATAATGTTATAAACACCAATAGTTTTAGGTATAAGTTGATTTTGTACTATACCATTGAAAGTATAATTTTGCATCATAAATAAATTTGTAATGCATGTGAATATAATAATGAAGTTATTGAAAGAAATTTGTTTGTTTTCTATTTAGCGTAAGATCAACCTCAGATTACCGAAACTTATCGCAACGACTATCGATCGGAAAATATATGCGTAGTCAACATATTTGATTTGCTTGGAGGGTGTAATCCGACAAAAGTCTTTATAATTTTTCGTTGAACTGTTCAAAGAACCCCATTCACAAATACATACATGGACTTTATTTGTACGAAAGAGAGGACCGTGGTGCCTTATAAGTTAAGGGAGGTGACTCGATCGGACGTCGACTAACCACTCGGTTCACAAAATTTGTCCTCACTTGACCCGAAACTTCCATGAGACATCCTGTGGGTCAGTCCGAACATTTAAATGATTAAAAATGAAGGATTGTATCGATTTAGATTCCGGTGAGAGGATTTCTCAATTAGACCTACAGTACGGTATGATTTGTTCTCCTTTATCCCATAAGGAAATGTGCTTATTATGTTAATCATTATGTATGTTGTGAAACCAACGGCATCGGCAATAAGTTGGGAGGCATAAACATCATAATAATGGTAAATGACCATAACAAATTATTGGTTGACATGCGTGTCAAAAGAAAAAAAGAAAAAAAACTTGTTGATTAATAATTTTATTCTTATTGGTTTCTATTGGTTTCTCGGTTTTAATCAAACCAAAACCATTAAGTTGCTTATTGGTTTAAAACAAAAAAACTGAAACCATTAGCTTTCCAATTGGTTTGGTAAACAGAGGCTCTGCGTGATCACTTGGTCGGTTCATGAACAAAATCGCTGTATTACTTCTTGCAAGATGATGACGCTCTACGACTGGATGTCTTTGCTGACGATGATGATTCGTCCTGGCACTTCTTCGTCCAGTATGGGTGTTGAAACAAGGTTGAAGGGTGCCTGCGTAGCTGTAGTGGCAGTGGGTGGCATGGCTATTTCAGGAAAGCCCAAGGATTTCTTCACCGCAGGAACCTTGATCGCTGAAAGGCACATGTCAAAAGATCAGGCACACATCTTTGCTTGCAATTCTCATGGCAATATATATATATGTTCGTCTATCTTAGGGTTTTTCACAGGTACAGAAAGGAGCAACTTACCTAAACCACACAACACTAAGAAGAAGCTGTATGTTAACAGATAGCCACATATGGCCTGCAGATACACGAACAACATATTAGACTTCCATCCTAATTGGAATAACCTTGGAAGGGTATTCAAAACTCTTTCGTAGCCAAGATTTTGCATTCCTGCAACTAGTTTCAAAATATGAAAACAAGCAGGAATAGGAGAATTACAGAACAGCAAGCAAAAAGCTGACTGAGAATGCAGCAGATGATAAGATAATCATGTAGTGGAATGGAATGGAGTATATTTCCACACATAAAAATGAATACGAGCGTGTGATTTGTACCTAGAAAATTTGAACCACGAGGACAACATAAGAGGAGAAAGGAATTAGATTTCACAGCCTGTAGAAGGAACTGAAAGTTATATTGTCACAAAAATTTACCGTGGGGAAGGACGCTGATAATGGAGCAAGTCCCACAGCCAAGACTCTTGAGATTGTAATCCTGGTACCAGAAATGGGATTTCCCCCCAAACCTTCTGACAGGTGCCTCCAAACCTTCAGTCAATTCATTTTGTAAACTCAAGAAGTTGGAAATATAGATGGAAAAACACTAGTAGATTCAAAGTTGAAATGGGAACTAATTATCTACCTCGACTGATGTCAAAAAACCCAATCCGATCAAAACCGGAAGTAGGTACATACTGTCCGGAGTAGTCAGATCAGTGAACCAGTATGCTCCGCCATTTTTAAAGGAAGGCACTTTTTCCGCCATGTTCCATATCTGGAATGTTTGCACAATGTCAGTCGAAAATGGAACGAAAAGCAGATTTACTGTTTCGCAAACTCATTAACCTATACCAATGGAACTGTCAAAATATTGGAATCCACATACCGCAAGGAAAAAGCAGACGGAAATAGGACCCTGCAAGAAATTCCATTTCCATGGAGTAAAAGGAGTAACACCATATCTGCAAGAACAAAAAGAATTATAAATATGAATTTAAAGTATAGAGGATATGGAAATATCATGCTAGAGGAAATCAAAACATGCAAATGACTAATCCAGGCCCTATCAAGAGAAATTTTCGTTCAAAACATAACTAATCCAGCCTTAAATGCAAATAATAAACTATAGGAAATAGGAACTTAAGAGATCCAAAATAGTAACCAACAATAATTACACTACATGATGTGGGTTGCTAGTCATGAATAACCGAGTCTATCACTTCCATAACACAAGAAAGAGGTGGGAGAAGGAAAAATTCAATATTTTAAAAAATGAACTGCCCAATTAGTTCCCTTCCAAACATGTAGAGAAGTTGCTTACTCCTTGTAAAGCTTCTCTATTTTTTCCTGGTCTTCATAACCATATACAGCCTCTGGCTCTAAACCCTGTCAGATTGATGTAGCGTAAGAGACATATTAGTTGAAATCACTTTAAAAAGGTAATTCAATCACCCAGGCACATGAAGGATCAGAAATGTGTGTGGGTCAACAATATATATATATATATATATATATAATTTTGAGGGTGTACGAACAACTCTCCCATTTTAAAAATGAATGATTTCAACATCTTCATAGCGAGACCATCAGTTGAAGTTGCAATAGTGCCCATAAACTCTATATTTACCTAATTCAAACTGCCTAGCAAGAGCAGAGTTCCCCAATGTAAACCACAAACTTACAGTAGCAAAGACCACAAAAACAATAACGAACAAAAGGAAGCCTGGGGAAATAGTTCCTAAGCCATATTCAACTGCGAAAAAACATTATTCAAGCAAAATCTTTAGTTAGTGTGTGAAGATCTAACAACACAAAATGCAGAATACAACCTTATCTCGAATGACTTTCTAAATCTGCTTCAGCTGCAGCGTCCCAAGCTGAAACACAAACACAAGTAAGAAAATGCGGCACCAACATACAATGAGCATAAGGATAAAAGTGTATCAACAATGATGGTTGGACTTTAACTGAAAGCGAATGTGCACAACATTTTAACAGGCATAGGACTTACAAAAATCCTTATGTTATGTTTAAGCTGATTTATCAGGAAGGGAAGAGTTGTTGTCTTTAGGATCAGAGTTGTTAAAGCGATGGACAGAAACCTGCAAAAGGGTGATCGAAGAAGAAGCATTTATGACATCCTAGAAGGCATTTTTCAGAAGTAAAAGAAGGTGCTTCTGTGATTTAACCAAAGGTTTTCACTCATGTAACTTTTTCATGAATGCCCAACTGCACAATACATGTTACACCAGAGACTCATATAATAAGAGTGTTTTCCAGTTAAATCCATAATGATACTAGAAACCCTAAAGTCCTCATCCATGGTACATAAATAAGCTTGGATGAATCTAGGGATGTGAACTCACTGTTTTTCATGCATACTTCAAGGCATCACACGGCAAATTTTACACTAGGGTGCCACGAAGCAATTGAAGTACGATCCGAAAGAGAGAGCGCGGGGCAAAATCTCAAGTTCGCATTCTAGGCAGCAAGCTACCCCAGTTGAGGGACACGAAAACTAATTTCACGCAAGGGCAGGCCGAAGCACGAAAAGGGAAAAACACGTCTATCATTTCTAACCAAGCAATCCGTTCGAGATCAAGATTGTGACGAACAAAGGAAGACAGTTTTTAGGGTGGAACGATGATTCGCCAACCACAGTCCGGCGAAATATCAAACAGCGAAACCCTAAGGATCCGGAAGAGAGGCTTACCTGCTTGGCTGCTTTGGAGCTCAGTGGGGTTGGGGAAATTGAATTGAAGAAGGAACTGCCGAACTGTTAGGAAATCGAATTTGTTGTAGAGAGAATATTGATCCGATCAAAACGTGATCTTCATCTCTGTATTCAGTTTCATTTTATTCACTTTTACAGGGAAGTTTGTTGAGAGTGAGTGGGAACGTGTACAGAGAAAAGGGAGAGAGTACAGGGGTAATGGCTGAATAATAGGTACAATAAAAAGAATTATTATTCTTTTTTCTTTTGGTTAAATACACTTGTATATCCAAAATTTTCATGGTTGTATCAATAATATTCAAATTTTCCGAAATACCACTTATATCAAATTCCTTCACATTCTTTAACAGTGTTTTTGGATATACAAGTGTATTTAACCAAAAATATATTGGGAAATGGATAGATTTGACAAAGAACAACTTTAAAACATGGATATAAGTGGCATTTCGGGAAATTTGGATATTATTGGCACAATCGTGAAAGTTTTGGATATACAAGTGTATTAAACCTTTTCCTTTTCTCTAATAGGAACACTCGAGTCCAGGACAACAAATTAGTCGTGAAAAGTTGAGAGTGGAGCTTCGCCAAGCTGCGTGGAACTCATGACGATGAAAATGCAAAACTCGTCCTATTGGTGAGATACTTTTCTTTCTTGGGGAGGAAGTCAACCGGTTTAACCGTTGGAACGGTAAAACAACTGGGTTGAGGGTTAATGGTTCGATTACTCTAATCAGGTTAGGCCGAATTTATGGAAAAAAATCATTATATTGTTCATACATTGATAAATTGTATCAATTTTTTTTTTATCGAGTATCAAATTTTATCTAACATGGGTAATAACATATAACATTATACCAAAATAACAGTTTGTATTTAGATACAACATTTAATGATGATTCAAACACACTTAGTATACCATTTATATAAAAAATTTTAACTCAGAGTTCTAGAACATAATGTTAGATGAATGAGAAAACAAAAAAATATGCGCATTTTGCAAGTCAAAGAAAAAAAAAGATGTCAGTAAAAAAAAAAAGAAAAAAAAAGATGTCGTGTGATCTCCAATCCGAGAATCCTATAATGGGTCGACCCATGAATGTGTGCCGCCCATGTTTCCTCACCGAATTCGGATCAACTCATAGATCGGCCCGTTGATTGACAACCTTACGTTGTATTTGTATTTTGGTGTTTCTATTCCTTTGTGAATATTGAAGATGACTTTTCCATAATTTTTTTTTTGAAGATGACTTTACTCAAGTCGATACAAAGTCCTTATTTGATTGTTATCAAGAAGACAATAACACAAAGACAGAGTATGAATGAAACAAATAAAATGGTTACCGAAATTTGGATATAACTAATGATATTGTCACTTTCAAAGTAAGTTGTTATGATATTTTTTTGGCAAAATACACTTGTATAGCCAAAAAAACTCGGGTTGTGACAATAATAGCCATAATTTGAAAAAATCCCAAATGTAGCCACCTTTTCGAAACTATGTTGTCAACTTTAGCCATTTTCGTAAAAAACTTTAACGTCGTTAGACGCGCCGTCAGTAACGTCCTTGTGTCACCTACGTGGCCTCCACCTGGACGCCATGTCATCGCCAAGTAGACTGACCTTGCCCACATCAGCGGTGACGTGGACTTGATCATTACCACTTTGAGAAATAAATAAAAAAATCATTACCACTTTGAGAAATAAATAAAAAAATTACCTTATTTACTCTTTCATCTTCGTCGTCTCTGTTCGTCCAAATCCCCATTCTCTTCTCTTCTGCATTTAGGTTTCCACCCGAAACCCCCAGCGCCGTCGCACTCCCAAACCCCAACCCCCCCTCCCTCCCCCGCGCCGTCGCACTCCAATCCCAAACCCCAACCCCCCCCTCCCTCCCCCGCGTCGTCGCCTCGTCCTGAAAACCCCGCCACCGTCTCGTTCCCCCCCCCCCCCCCAAACCACTCAATCTGTCATCGTCCTCTAGTTGCCGACGCCTCTCTCAGCTGAATCATGTCACAGAGGACTCCTCGGAGGAATGGGGTTAGCTATGGCGCCTTCGTTTCCTTCTTCGCCTGATTCGATGTTGCCTTCTTCGCCTGATTCAGGAGTGGATTAGGGTTCGTTGCCGTCGTTGCAACTGGTCGAGGGGTGCGATGCTTCAGTTCTCTACTCGCCAGCCCGGATGATGCATGGCACAGTCGACTATCGAACAGAGATGAAGGGGCGGATCAACGAACAGGATAGGTGGGTGGATTGAGGGGTGGGTTCTGCTTCTCAATCCACCGTCGCCGTCGCCGTTGATCGGTAGAACTGGTGGAGGTTCGACTGTAGAAGGAGAAGGAGAAGGAGAGGATATCGGGTGGGTGAAAAGGTAGATGGAAATGGTAATTGGTAAAGTGACGGATCGAAAAAGGTAAAGTGAGTTTTTTGTTTCGTTTTTTTTTAAATGATTTCCATAATCCACCTGGCATCTTACGTGGCCGAAAAATTCCAACTTAGCCAATAACCTTCTATTTAGTCAACATCCGTTACTTTGCCATTAATCTTATGGACAGAATGGCTAGATCTGTGTATTTTGTAAAAAGTGGCTATTGTTGTCACAACTCGAATAGTTATGGCTATGCGAGTGTATTAAGCCTATTTTTTTTTTTATAATATCGTGTATGTTAAATTAATCGATTAAATATGTATTTAGAATTGTAAATGAGTCATGTCGAGTAAAACTTTATCCTAATTTTGGCTCGAATCAAACGAGCCAAGCCCATACTCAATTTGTTTATTAACGAGCTCTAAACGAGTCAGCTTATGAGTTGAACTCAACAAGCCCAGCGAGTTCATGAATCTCGTTAATAGACGAGTCGTGAGTTCCGAACAAATTTTCACCAATTCAAAACATCAAGCCATACTTGGATAGAAAACAAAGACTCATCATTCATCAAACATGACTTTATTGTTTCATATACGAGCTACATAATACATATCGTCTCGCGATAACCAAAAACCCAATAAAACACTTTCCCCCCTTCATTTTTCCATGCAGGATATAGAATTATTTCAATAGTCATAACTACTCCATCCATTATTCCTCACCGACTGCATCATCATCATCATCATCATCATCACTCATCAGGCCCTGCAAAAAAAAAAAAAGAACAGCTCAAATCAAACATTTTCCTACAAAAAAAAAACTTGGTTTTGTTTTCCGAAAATGGAAACAAAAGAAGAGAATTACTTGGAACAGTCAATGTCGAGAGAGAGCTTGGGAAGCTTGACGTTGACGTTGCACTTCTTCGGCAGCTTGGACGCGGCTGACAAATCGACCCCCGGGACCAAATTCACCATCGACTTCAGGCACTGGCAGATCGCCACCCGATTCGACTTCGCCTTGGAGTACGGCTGCAGCGCCTTCACCCCGCTGCAGCAATCTTTCGCCGGGTCCCCGCGTCCGGTGAAGTACGGGATGCACGGCTGCAGCTCGTCGTACACCGTGGAGCACGCCGGCGGCGCCGGCTCGTTGGCGCCCATTACTCCGACGATGGTGGCTACGACCAAGATAACCACGGCTGCCGAGTAGCGAAGAGGACTCATGGTGTACGTGGTCTGGTGGTTAATTAATGCTTGCTGCTTTCGAGATGATTTGATGGCGGGGATTGGATTTGGGGGGAGTGGGATTTATATGTGCAGGAGAGGTGTTCGATGAAATGTCTGAGTCATGTGGAATGTGTGCGTGGTTTTTCTTTTTTGACTCTCCGGCTGGAGATTCGGCTTTCCGGGTGGTTGCATTTGTCTCGGTACGTACTTTCGTTCATGCGCTTGATGTGGTGGTGGCTGAGATGCTGTGGAGAGTTTGTAGGGAGAGATGATATGGAGTTTCCACTCCAAGATTGTGTTGTGGTCATGTTAATTTATTGAGATGGATGGCATGGGAGCAACAGAGTGAATATGCAAATCGCATGATTGGTGATGAGAAAATCTAGTTGCATCAAAGTTACTGTAAAAGACAAAATGTTGGTAAATTATGTTATATATGCGGGTAAATCACTGATGACTTAATGTCGAAAATCAAAGAATATCGTTTGATGAACAACAGTGTACGTTAAAGGCCTGTATATGCACGCAACTACAAAATAAGTAGGTATGATCGATTCAACTTCTCAATATTCATTGCTCTCGTGTTGTAAAATTTGATGCCATGTAAATGGCATTGCAGACCATCAACAAGTCGAAGCATAACTAATACTGCACTTTCTGAATTACCTTCTCTACAACATAGACAATTATTTCATATACAGTGATCTTTCATACCAGGTTGATGCACCAATAGTTAGGCTCATGACACCATCTATATTGACTTTCAGTCCAAGTATTATGGAAGGAACCCAGATGACATACACACATAGTAAACCACAACCAACGATAACACAATTATGAAACACTAGTAACACATTCGAATAGATGTCACATCATTGAAGAATAACCGTCATTTTCAATATTTTTGCAGCGTAACCAAATTTGTGAAATTCATTTAAACGATTCAATTTAACTTGTGTGCATGTTGCTCTTTTAAAAATATGTTGTTATATAGCTGTATTGATAAGCTAGTCTACATATGAATTGACAAGAGTATAAAAAATACAAAATTTGTAATTCACCTAATTAAGAATAAAATTCATCTTGCTCTAAGTTCAAGAATCATCCAAAGGAAGTGTAGAAAAGCAAAAGATGTGGATTAGGAAGTCAAAGATGGATCATGGGCGAGCACATAGAAAACTACATGGGACGATTGTAAAGAACAAAAATGACAAATTGGAGGGAAGGAGCAATGGGGGAATTTCATACTGGCGGGAAAATGTCCTTACACTCCCTATCTCTTGTATAAAAACCCTAGTGTCCGTCACCCACTCTCTGTTTGACAATTTCCCGTCCCTTCCCCATGTCGAAATGATTCATTTTCACCATTTCTGAACCCTGCCAAAATCCAACAAGAGGTTTGTGAAAACCCTAGAATTCTTCGTTCGCTAATTCCACCAGGTAAGTTTCTACAGGGCGATTGTACACTGAACTACTCATTACAGTACCGGAAATGCTAGGGTTCGTGGTCTTACAGTATTCCGAGATTAAGCGCATCTTTCTTTTCCCCTTCTTAATCTATACCGTTGAGGATTTTTCACTAGGCATATTCTCGAATTGCAGGTCTAGAGTGGGGTTTTTCTGAATTTGTGGTCTTTGAGTGATCTCGTGTTTTCTGGTCGAGAAAATGGCTGATGCATTTGATGACGAGACTGAGCAGACGGTCACCATGGATGAGTATCTTAAAGAGGTTGAAGCTGAGGAACTGGTGAATATCCTTTACCATGTCATGTTCAAATTACAGTCTCCTTCCTTTCTCGTTGGCTAGTTCTGGATTGAACTTGTTGGTGGAAACAATGTTGAGCTTGTGGATAGCTCAGAGTGTGATGAGAACAAGGATAAACAATGTAGTTTTGCTGATTGGAATGGAGTCCTTTGCTTCGGACCTGAACCTATGAGCTATATGGACTCACATGGAAATAGTTACAGTTTGAGAGTATGCTTCAGAGCTTGTTGTTTTATTGGTGTGGTAGTCTATTTACTGGGGTTGGTAGGTTGCTTTTCAGTTTTCCATTCATAGATTTGGTTGGATTCGTTCCTTTGTCCATGCTTGATAGTGTGGGTTGAGAAGAAGTGAGTGAAGCAAGGGTCCCAAGAGAACAGCTATCCATCATTAAATTTGTGTTTCGGTTAATCTAATGTGTGATACAACAGTACAAAATGATATGATAATGAGGGGGTTCTTTTGATTGACGGGCCTGAATGTGCAACGTGGATTGTTTACTATCGTTTGTCAAGATGAATAAGTAGGACCAGCTTATTTAGTGTGTGTAATTGTCTGTATACCTGTGACTACTCTGTGCCTGTTTATTTAGTGTGTGTAATTGTCTCTATACCATGAATGTTGGTGAAACTTTGCAGCGTTTCATCTCTAATTTTCTTAGAAAGCCTGCATTTTCTACTCATCTAGGTTGCTTTTCCAAGAAAGTACAATGGTACAAAGAGTAGTGCTTAGTGCAAATTCAATTGCATATGGTCATTAACCAGTTGCTGATTCGATACTATTTCTTTTTGCTCTTATCCCATTATCCCCTTCCCTCAAATGTTACTTTAACTTGTTTTAATCAAGCCTGATTGTTTTCTTGAATGATGACTTCAAAGGAAGCTGATTTGGTATTGGGTGGAGACGAGGGTAAGGAATGCACCTATAACATGGGTTATATGAAGAGGCAGGCAATCTTTTCATGTCTGACTTGTACGCCTGAAGGGAATGCTGGAGTTTGTACAGCCTGCAGCTTGTCTTGCCATGATGGCCATGAGGTACAGTTTACATGTGTTCAGTGCAGTTTAATAGGTTTGAAAATGAACTTGCTAGAACTTTAGGCTTTAATCTTCCTAAGGGGATGTAACAATTTTACCGGTGTTTTTAAGTGACTGTTATGCTGTGCAAAAATTTACCATTTGCATTTAAGGTTGTGATGAATGAAGCTACAAACTTTCTTTAATCGGATTCTTGAAGCGGCCACTTGCACTTGTTGGAGTTATGAGTTCCCTCAGTATTGCTTTTGTGTTGTAGAAGGAGCCGCAGTTTTAGAACTATACTTGGGTATTTTATAGATTTTGATTTCATCAATTAAAATTTTTCTACTTACATTTGATGGTAATCTCATTACTGTTTGTGCAAACAGATTGTTGAATTATGGACCAAAAGAAATTTCAGGTGCGATTGTGGAAATTCAAAGTTTGGGGAGTTCTTTTGCAAGCTTTGCCCTAGCAAAGACGTCGAAAATGCTGACAATTCATACAATCAAAACTTCAAAGGTTTATACTGCACATGTGGGCGTCCCTATCCTGATCCAGATGCTAAAGAACAAGAGGAGATGATTCAGTGTATCTTGTGTGAGGATTGGTTTCATGAGGAGCATCTGGGTCTTGAGACTGTTAGCGAGGTTTGTAACTTTCTCAGTCCTTGCCTACTTGGATGACATTGAAATCTTCCTCGTTTCAAGTCTTTCTTGGCAGTCGTTACTTCTATACTACTAGCCATCAATTAGCTGGTCAATTGATTGGTAATTTTGTTACTGGTAATTGATTGTACTTATCAGTAGTCATTCCTCCTCTTTACATTGTAGATTCCTAAAGACAGTGATGGGGAACCACTGTATGAGGATTTCATTTGCAAAACATGCTCAGCAGTATGTTCTTTTCTGACACTGTATCCTCAAACCATCCGAGCTACAGAATGCCAGGCTGGTGTTTCCGCTTCTAATACCAGTAAAGATAAAGGCGTAATGGAAAGCAATCCTGCCCCTTGTGCAAGTGGCAAACTCGAGAACAATGTTTGTTCTGGTTCTTCTGCAAATAGTGATGCACTCAGTAGTAGTCCAAATCACGTGGCGGTTGAGAAGGGATCTTCAAGCAATGGAACTCTCGAGAAGAGCAATTGTTCAGATGCATGTGCAAAGGACACTGCTTGTGTCTTGGGTGTCGGTTCCATGGTATCCCCACCGACTACTTCAGAGACCAAATCCTTCTTTCTGGGCAAAAGCTGGAGGGAATCTTTGTGCAAATGTGGGAATTGCTTAGAAATGTATAAGCAGAAGCATATAAGCTATCTAATTGACCAGGAGGACTCAATTGCTGAGTATGAGAAAATTGCAAAGCAGAAGAGGGAAGAGAAGCTACAGAAACAAGAAGGTGCTGAGTTGGATTTTATCAATAATCTTGGTCATGTAGAGAAGATGGAGATACTCGGTGGCATTGCAGACTTCAAGGATGAGTTTCGTTCTTTCCTGGTAAGTCAGCATAGCTGCTGGCTTTTCTGCACCTTCTTAGTTCTTATGATTGATTAATTTATCTGTTTCTAACCTGACCTCAATAATGTACACCTACACAGGAGTCGTTTGATCCATCGAAGACAATAACTTCATCCGATGTGCATCAGATCTTCGAGAATCTGGCAAAGAAGCGCAAGCGCACGTAGCGTGATTTGCTAAGGAAATCTAAAGCAGCAGTCAGCTCTTGTTTTAAGTTAAAGCAAACCTTGTTGCGGGTTAGTTTGAGAACTGAACTACAACCTTCAACCTTGTGTAGTGATAGGAGGATGACCCTCATGGAAACAATATCATTGTGTTGAGTTATACCAGGAGTCCAGGTCTCCAGGACCTAACTCGGGCGGTTTTGTAGAATCCTGTGTTATCATGTTTGAATCATGCATGTGTTCAACTTTGATTTCCCTCAACGGTTGTCTCTGTCCTGTTCCCTTAAATTATCCAACATGGGTGACTCCAGTTGGCTTCTTCCTGAATTGGCAAGTCATCTTTGTGTGTAGTGACCTAGTGAATTTCTCATTGCCAAACTTGGGGGGTTGTTATCTTTCATCGAAGATCGGTTTGTTTCTCCAACATTTTTTCTAGTATTGTCCCCAGTCACAAAAGCAACATACATAAAAAGTACTCGCATAATTTAAATTGATCGAGCTTGTTGTACGAATAATGCCCAGAAAACCACAACTATCCGTGCATTTTAGTGCATCACTTGTGTAGTTTGTGTAACAATTTCCTAGCAAAAAAGCTTAATTTCCTCCCAAAACAAGGCTTGCAGACCAAAATGTGAAGAATGGGTGACTTGCCCAAACTCAAGATCCAGTAGTTGTCAACTGAAACCGTCGTTTGGGAAGTCATCAGTCAAACCTTTCACAGTCTCACTCCCCCAACTGAAAAAGACATGGCAACCATTTAGCATTCAAAACAATCCATTTCGTTTACCATGTCAAACCTCGACCATGTAAAATTAGGTGTACAAAGCATCATCATGATGCCTCCACTTCTGAGGTGGTAATTTTAACTTGACCCAAAAATGGATGTCTTGTAATTTCACAACCACATGTGACATATCACCGAACTTTTCTTCTTTCTCATTCAATAGGGTTGAAAATGGTACTAGGGGGATTTGAAGGTACAATTTTTTTTTTCATACTTCATTAATTGCCATGGGAAATTTCGACACCATGGTATGGAAATTTTAAAAGCTCAAAACAAGCTTAGCTTGCGCTTATGGGTCATCCGACACGACACAAAGGGAAGTGAATGAGCACGCACATAATTTACATAGTTTGCTAAACACGATGCATGTAGCTATTTCATGCACAGGGGAGACTAATTAAACTATTTTGTGGACAATGGACATACTTCAAAGCAAACTTTGAGCACATTAATCCGACTGACCAAATAACTAATTAGGGGTGCTAAATTGAGTATTTGTAGAACCGTTCTCCTAATCCTAAACAATAAGATCGAAAAGAGAAGGCCGACGAACAAAATCCATAGCAGATATTCAAGACATTCTAATAATGCTCACTAACACCAAATCTTAATAGTTTAGTCATCCTTTACTCAAGAAAGTCAATATCTACGACACGAATTCAAAACTCTCTCAAATGAAGATCAGTACATCATTAACAAAACGCACGCAGGTGAGGAGGATATATTTTACACCGATGATAGAATTAACGCAGACCTTAAACAACACATTTTTTCCTAAGAAGCAAGGAGTCGGGTAACTACTCGCTCTAACGTTCACACCATTCATTTCATTTGCTTTGATTTTGGGTGTTTTTTTTTTATCATTTCATTTTGGGTGTTTGGTTGAGAACTGTATATAACATTTGTCCGTACATGGGATATTAATTATATGGTAATTAACTAATTATGCCTCTAGAGTTGGTAAAATTGTTCCACAGAAGTCCACTCAATCGTACACAAATTCTGAGGAAGATTTTGTCAAGTGATCCTTGTTTTGTTTACTCAAGATAATTAGTATCTTAATTGCATCCAATCATTTCAGCTGACGATAACCTTTTTGAGGCATATCTTCCCGTCCAAGAGCGGTCGATCGGACGCTCCCGCTCAATTCAGGGATCGTTCTTTTAAAGACTGCAGGTTTTCTTGTGCTTTACCAGTCAATTGGCTAACTGAAAAACAGGAAGTGGCGAGAAGGAAAAGTAAGAACAGAAAAATCAACTTAGATATTGAATGAGTATTACTTTGTAATTTCTACACATGGAGACCATAATTAGCTAGATATTTGTCTTTGTGTGTACAGTTAGTTAGTGTGATTTTATTGTTGGAGATGCGGGATGATATTTTTTACCTGATCAGTTTTATCTCCTTCTCGTTGATATATAAGGGTTCACCTACTTGAGTCCTTTAAGTCATTCACTAAAATCTTTATTAGGGCTATCGGGAATACCATGAAAGGGTATCAAGGGGGGTCGAACTCAAAATCTCACACGTCCATAACAAGCGCCCAAAGAGAATTCACCAATCGGATTATGTGACCTTTGGCAAATGAGCATATATTTAAGTACAAAATACACAAACGGTATTCAAATGACTTAATTTGTCTCACCATAAAAAAAAAGACTTAATTTGGGTTTAATCTTCACCGTGGATTTCTCCTTAAAATCCTTAAATTATTTTCTGAACAAAACAAGAACCGCTTCAATTTAATAAAATTGCCCCGTCGATTATGGAACCGACTCCTTTATCGTTCCAACGAGTATATGGCTGTCCCTGGAATTAAATTCCCAAGTTCCCATTTCTACAGGTATCCCCTTCTCTTATATGTTCATATGGAGAAGTCACGATTTTATCTTAATATTCCTATAATTAATTTAAATTATTATGAGAGACTTCCTAATATTTTCAACTATGATATATCTCGCAACCGCCATGCAAATCATCGATCAAAAAAAGTCTACTCAATGAACAATTATTTTTATTGAGTGATCATGCCTTGTAGTGGATTAATTGAGCTAGTGTAACACCCTACCCTATACGTTTTGCCTAATCATATTGTTCATACAATTGCAGCGGAATTAATCTTGGGTGTTACATTAATTATCAAATTTTACCTAAATAAAATTTCGACATGAATTACTCGCGTAATGGGCTAACAGTTCTTGCAACTGAACCTGCAAAATAATTCATCACAAACATATATACTCACAACCATATGCATTGGCTTTTCTTAGCCATAGTCACACTTTTCATACTTCCTAACTGCATACCATACTTATACATACCATAATCGTCAAAACTTACACAGTTACACAACATATACACATATCATTAACTTTCCACACCTATGGATATCTCACACTACATCAGAAGCTAGTATGCACATGAAAAACGTTCTCAAAACATTTTTTTACAAAAAGGTGTGGATCACTGGCCAAAATCCCGAGTAGTAGACCAAGCACAGAATAGTTGAAGACCATACCTCATCCTGGCTTCAACTCTAGCTCCTCTCCCACCTAACACTTATCTACTGCTGCTGCTGATGATCTGCTTACACATAGCATAAGTAGAGAAGAAGGATAAAAGAGGGTCAGCTCATAGCTGAGTGAGATAATCATAGCATCGTGAGTTCATAACATAGCATACCACTACCATACATCTAGCAAACAAGCCAAAGCACTAGGATCAGATCTCAGCCCTCCGACATCCCAATAGGCAAAAGACTTAACCACCTTGACTTATGCATATGCATCTTATCATGTTTTAATCATAGGCGCCTGGCTACTCCCATGCTAATAACTCTCCCGGGAAACATACCCCACATCCCGTCGGATGTAGTCATACATACCCCAACATCCCGTCGGATGTGGTCATACATACCCCACACCACTATGGGTGTAGTCATACCCCGACACCGCTCTGGGTGTGGTCATATCTCGTAAGAATTCTTCAGTCACCACCACATGAGAGGTGTGACTATCATACATATCATAATAGAGTAATAGCATAGGGAGCCCTAATTACTATGTAGTTGACCGTGAGACCACAACACTCATATTTGGTATCCTTGTACATGATTCATATCTCATCTTGCTTAATCATAATTCATTACTTGCACATGTACTTGACCAGGCCACCATTGGCTCAACATAGGTAAATCAGGAGTCGCATAATTGCACTTCCTCGGGATAAACCCTCGTGCAAGTCATCCTGCTTAAAACATCATAATATCACCCTGGGAAGTTTATTTCCCCCACTTGTGAATCCAAATACAACCACAATATCACATCATATCAAAACACCTGATCGAACAACCATGAATTCATATCAACGGTTAAGCCACAAATGGCAACATGTATGCAATCATCAACATAAACAAGGTCCATATCGGCTAGGGCAAATCAATAATATCATACAACAGTCCAGGGTTCATCATATAACACAAAAGTCCATACACCCCTAATCATGCCATTCTAGTTCACCTAGGTCAATTCTAAGCATCAAAATAATTATCGTGATACGACAAACCCGGTATGCCGTGCTAATCCCTCACCAGTTCTGGTCGTTCAAACACCGGTTCTAGCCTCCCGTACTAAAACATCAATTTCACGAACGAACCCCGAATTAAAATCCGAGACCGTCCTAATATCCCCTGCAGTATCCCCGTCAATATTAGTTCTGGGCTCCAGGCCAAACTCTCGATAAAAACACATCAAACCCTGGTCGGAGCTAAATTCAGCGGTTTGGACCCCGGCCTAAATAATTGCCGAAATTCAGAGATTAGAACTAGAGGATTGATTACCTCGCTGCAGGAAGCTCGTATATGAAATTTGGGCTCAATCCGGCTTCCGGATACTCCGAAACCCTAATTTGGCAGATCGGGAATTCAAGAAATTCGGGATTTTTGGATCACTTATGCTCAAGAATTAAGCTGGAGAATTTTCCCCCGACGTTCCCTGAACTTCGCTTGCTCTGTTTTTTTTTCTCTCGGTTCGAAAGTGGAAGGAGAAATGGCATGAGAATGGAAATGGACGGTAAAATTTATATCCCGACCGCTTTTATATATATATATATATATATATATAATTAATACGTATACTTATCCGATCGATCGATAATCCGATTTTCGTCGAAATACTAACAAAACGCACAATTTTAAATCGCGAACTTTCTAGCGATCGAAAATACGATTTTAGCCGAAATGGGATGTTACAATTCTCCCCTCCTTAAAAGATTTCGTCCCCGAAATCTAACCTTGAGTCGTACTCTAACTCCTCTTACTTACCCTTAACTTGGTCTATCACACATAAAGTCATTACCTAACTCTTAGGTTTAGGCAATTCATAACATAGAAAGTAACACATAACACTCAAGTTCCCATGTTTAGGTTTCAAAAACCTATACTGGGCTATCACAACAAAAGCACATCAGCAAGTTCAAAACATAACTTACTAAGCAAGATTGTTAACCTGCAAAGTAGGTTGCTACTAACTCAGGGTACTTCTCTCGCATACTTGCTTCAGTTTCCCAGGTAGCACTCTCACTTTCTTGATTTCTCCAAACCACTTTCAACATTGGGATTTCCTTCCTACGAAGATTCTTAATCTGGTAATCAATAATCTCAACTGGAACCTCTTCAAATGTCAAATCTGAACCCAACTCGATCTCTTCTGGTTGTATAACATGGGAAGGATCCACTTTGTACCTCTTCAGCATACTCACATGAAATACATTGTGGATTTGAGATAGTTCTGGAGGCAATGCCAACTTATAAGCCACTGGTCCAATCTTCTCTGTGATTTCATAGGGACCAATATACCGAGGTGCAAGCTTTCCTTTCTTACCAAATCTCATCACCCCTTTCCATGGTGACACTTTGAGAAATACTTTCTCACCCACTTCGAAATTAACTTCACGCCTACTCGTGTCAACATAAACTTTCTGTCGATCTTGAGCCACCCTCAACCGCTCCCTGATTTCCTTGACCTTATCAACTGTGATCTGAACTATCTCTGGCCCTGAGATTTGCCTTGCTCCTTCTACATCCCAACATAATGGTGTTCTACATTTTCTCCCATAAAGTGCTTCATATGGTGGGACACCCAAACTACTATGGTACTGATTGTTGTAAGCAAACTCAATCAGGGGCAAATGGTCAATCCATGATTCCTCCCATTGCATTACACATGATCGAAGTAATTCCTCCAAAGTTAGGATGGTTCGTTCACTCTGCCCATCTGTTTGAGGATGATAAGCTGAAGTAAAATGCAGTTTAGTTCCCAAGGCATCATGTAAACTTTGCCAAAATCGAGATGTGAAGCTTGGGTCTCGATCAGAGACAATAGAAATTGGCACACCATGCAATCTGACGATCTCCTTAATATATAGTTGAGACAAAATCTCCAGTGATGGTTTCCATCTAATGGGTAAAAAGTGAGCCGATTTGGTTAGTCGGTCCACAATAACCCATACTGCATCTTTTCCCCTTGATGATGGGAGACCATATACAAAATCCATTGTGATTCTTTCCCACTTCCATTCTGGAATTGGAAGTGGTTGCAGTTTTCCCACAGGAGCTTGATGTTCTGCCTTAACTTTCTGACATACTAGACATGTGAAAACATGTTCAGCCGCTTCCTTTTTCATCCCACGCCACCAAAAATATGGTTTGATCGTGTGATACATTTTAGTTGCTCCTGGGTGCATAGCATAAGCAGAAGAATGA